GACATCTGCGAAATCGAGCGACATCTGGCTGGTCGACTCCGGGGCGACGCAGCACATGACGTGCTCCAAGAAGTTCATGCGGAACTACAAGGGGTTTGACGCTGTGGATGTCCATCTCGCGGATGATGGAATCGTCCAAGCAATCGGCAGTGGGGAAATTGTCACGTCGATGAAGACACCCCAAGGGATGAAGAAAGGTGTGCTCACAAACGTGTGGCACATCCCAAAGTTATCCAGAAACCTGTTCTCGGTCGGCCGCTTCACCAAGGATGTCGGCCCAGTGACGTTCACGAAGGATGGGTGCTATGGAGAAGCGAAAGGGACCAAGTGGAAAATTGGTGCCCGTGAAGGTAAAGGACTGTTCAAGCTGCAAATGACTCCAGTGGCGCCGGAACAAGCAAATGCAGCCAAGTCGTCGGGATGTCAAGGGGGCACCAAGTCGTACCTCTGGCACCTTCGACTTGGCCACATAGGTCACGATGGACTCAATTGCATCGTGACGAAGAACATTGGAATTGGCATCGACATATCTTCGGTGAAGAAGTGGGACGTGTGTGAAGGTTGTGCTCTGGGAAAACAGACTCGAGTGCGCTTCCAATCAAAACACTACAGCTCGCACCTCCAAACTCCTCGAAGTGATTCACAGCGACGTATGCGGACCGATGTCGATGGCAACATTCAGTGGAAAACGTTACTTCGTGACATTCATTGATGACAAGTCAAGATACTGTGTCGTCTATCTGCTCAAGAGCAAATCTGAAGTTGCGGCGAAGTTCATGGAATACGCTGCGATGGCCGAAACGCAAACCGGAAAGCGCGTGAAGTACCTTCAAAGCGACAATGGGGGTGAATACAAGTCCGACAAGCTGGCACGATTCTGCGCGGAACGGGGAATACAACAAAGGTTCACACCTCCATATACTCCTCAGCTAAACGGAGTAGCTGAGAGAATGAATCGCACGCTGGTCGAGTGTGCGCGTTGCATGATGGAACACGCTGGACTGGGAAAGAGCTACTGGGGTGAAGCAGTGATGACGGCGATGTTTCTTCGAAACCGCTGTCCAACACGTGCCATTCACCAAGACAAGTCTCCATATCAAGTGTGGACGATGAAGAAACCGATTCTGGCCAACCTTAAAGTGTTTGGATGCCACGCGTATGTTCAAGTGCCTCAAGACAAACGCGCGAAGTTCGACTCCAAGTCATCACTCTGTCGTTTCCTGGGATACGCCGAACACCAGAAGTCATATCGATTTGAGGAAGTGTCAACAGGAGCGATCAAGATCAGTCGCGATGCCACATTCATGGAAGACAAGTTTGATGAAGGTCCGCGCAACTACAACGATGAGTCAAGTGTCGTTGAGTTTGATGATCATGATGAGGACGAAGAAAAAGAAGAAGGTAAAACTGACGACGACATGGACTCGAGCGACGATGACAACGAAGACACCAGGTCTTCGAAGAGCAACATCAAGAGACACACGCGCACTCAATCACTTGAGAAAGCTACCGTCATTCCAAGCCCCAAGCGAAGAACATACAGAGGTCCGTCGCTTGAGCATGTGTCAGCGGCTGCAATGGATTTTGAAGCAGCCTACATCGTTGATTCAGTGGGGAAACGCCGACTACATTCAAGTCGGCGATGGAATCAAGTGACTCCGGCAAGTGGAAAGAAGCGTGTGACTCGGAGTTCGATTCGCTTCAGAGAAACGACACGTGGGAAATCGTGCCTCTTCCGAAAGGTCGCAAGGCCATCGGGTGCCGATGGGTTTTTCGTGTAAAGGAGAATCAAGATGGCGAAGTTGAACGTTTCAAGGCAAGACTTGTGGCCAAAGGATTCTCACAGAAATTCGGAGTTGACTATGAAGAAACTTTCGCACCGGTGGCCAAGTTCACATCGATTCGTGTGGTGCTCAGTATGGCGGCTAAGTACGGCCTAATGCTACATCAGATGGACGTCAAGACAGCGTTTCTTAACGGCTCCCTCAACGAAGACATCTACATGGACCAGCCGGACGGATACCTGGATACAACACAGCCGGACTATGTGTGCAAGCTAAAGAGATCACTCTACGGCTTGAAGCAATCGCCTCGCATGTGGAACCAAACAATCGATGGGTTCATGATCAAGATGGGATTCAAGAAGTGCGAATCGGACCACTGCATCTACATCAAGCGAGACGACCAAGACATGATTCTCGTGGTGCTCTACGTCGATGATCTCATCCTGGCCAGCAGCAACAACGAACTCCTCAAGTCAACCAAGATAGCGCTGAGCAAACGCTTCGAAATGACGGATCTCGGTGAGCTCGATTACTTTCTCGGCATGGAGATCAAGAACGACCGTAAGACGGGAATGGTGACTGTACAACAAACCAAGTTTCTCAAGTCCGTGTTAACCAAGTTCGGAATGGATAACAGCAAGCCAGTGAAGACGCCTCAAGATCCCGGCCTGAAGCTAACCAAGAACATGTGTGAACAAGAATGCAAGCACGAAGACACCATGTGCAACGTGCCATATCGAAGTGCTGTCGGAGGCATCATGTATCTCATGGTCGCCACACGTCCGGATCTAGCTGCTGCAGTGGGATCATTATCCCAGTTCTCGTCCGACCCATGCCCGACTCACTGGCAAGCTTTGAAGCGTGTGCTGAGATACCTGCAAGCAACGCCCAATCATGGTCTTGAGTTTACACGTGAAGAAGGAAGCCGTATCTGCGGGTACACCGACGCAGACTGGGCCGGCGACATTGAGTCAAGACGAAGTACAAGCGGCTATGTGTTCATGATGAGCGGAGGATGCATCAGCTGGAAAAGCCAGAAACAACGGACGGTCGCGCTATCTTCAACAGAAGCAGAATACATGGCGCTTTCCGAAGCAACCAAAGAAGCAGTATGGCTCAAAGTGCTTTTGGGGGAACTTGGTGAGATGACAAGCGACGAAGCGATCAAGATATATGAAGACAACCAAGGATCAATCGCTCTCGCCAAGAACCCGGAGTTCCATAAGAGAACGAAACACATCGACATACGCTACCATTTTGTACGTGAGAAGGTGGAATCAGGTGAAGTCGTTTTGGAGTATTGCCCGACTCAAGATATGCTGGCAGACATGATGACCAATCCGATCGCCGCTGTACAATTTGAAAACATTCGCGATCGACTTGGGATCCAAGGTGCCGCAGCTAACGAGTCGAGAGGGAGTGTTGAAAAGACAGCGGCTGTGAAGAAGACACCTCGTCAAGCTGCGTCAAGTGTTGAAGCAAGTGGAAGACCAAGCTTCGCTATACCGGTGGGTACCGGTATGTACCAGTAAGGGCGAAGTCAGGAAATGACGTCACTGGATGACGTCATTGCATGACGTCAGTGGGTGACGTCAGTGGGTGACGTCACTGGATGGCGTCACTGCGAATAATAGGCTTAGAGGTAGTATTCAAAGTTGCGAACTAAGTACCTATTATAAATATATATGCACTTTGCGTTTTGCACTCGGACCAAGAAGTCTAAAGTTCATCAGGTTATGAGCCCAAGTGCTCGCTGCAGACACCTCACCAAGGACCAACTTGTGCGAGGGACACCCCGTCAGAGAAGGCGCTCGATGCACGAGTAAGGCGCCGAAGAATTCATCGACAGGGATCGTTGACGGTGCGCGTGCAGTCGAAAAGGGTTTGTGCAAGGGTGGTGACGCGAGATGGTCTGAATGCGCGAGTGCTATCGAAGGAAGAGTCAAGTCAAGTGGTGACAAGTGTATTTGTGGTCAAGAAGAAGTGGAAACTACATCCAAGGCGAACGACGACTACGAGATGTCCAGATGTGACATGGTGCTGGACGATGGGGGAGCTGGAATACCTGGAACGCTCGGTATCATCGAGGTTGGCTGGAGCGCAGGGGCAAGACTCAATCAAGATTCCCATGGTGCACGGATGCAGCAGTGAGGATTACAGGCGGGTCGATACCAAAGTGGTCTGCATCTCATGTCGTCGAGGGGGAGTGTTGTAAGTGCATGATGCACTGGATTCGACTCCAGAGATTCGACCCATGATAGGGTATGTCTAGAATGTTCTTTAGGGTTCTATGCATTATTATAGGTCGTACGGCAGCTAGACGTATAGATAGTTCTCACTTGTAGATTGACAAACCACTGATAAGGCCCCCGGCGGGGGGCCGAAACGCGTCTGGTGCGCGGTAATATACAAGTCATTTACTTCACTTAACTCCTACTTCTTACAGGTTATGAGCCCAAGTTCGTCAGACTCTGAAACCGCCAACAATTCAAGCTTAGCTGCCATGGACGCCTCCTCCCTCCGCATCTCCAAGTTCGATGGAACTAACTTCCACGCCTGGAAGTTCAAGATGCAGATGGTGCTGGAGGAACGGGACCTATGGGAGGTCGTCAGCGGTGAGATCAAGGCGGAACAGTGCGAGACTCAGTTGGACCAAGCGACGTACAAGAGGAAGTCAAGAAAGGCGATGGCAGTGATCTGTCTAGCCATGGAAGATTCCCAGCTACCGTTGGTCCGGTCGGCAAGTGGTGCATGCGACGCATGGTCAAGGTTGGAAGACCACTTCGAGAAGAAGAGTCTTGCCAACAAGCTGTTCTTGCGCCGTCGCTTCTTCACGACAATGATGGAAGAAGGCGACGATGTGCTCGAACACATCAACAAGCTCAAGACGCTGGCGGAACAGCTAGAAGCGGTGGGGACTCCAGTCTGCGAGGACGATCTGGTGATCACACTCCTCGGCAGCCTGAGTGACTCGTATCAATTCTTGATCACAGCTTTGGAGTCGCGCTCAGACACTCTTAGCTGGGAGCTCGTGACGTCTCGACTGCTTCATGAAGAAATGAAGCGGAAGGAGCAAGGAAGTAAAGGTGATGAAGCTTCGCAAGGTCAAGCGTTCATCACAAGGGACAATCAGCGCAAAGGGCGACCAGTGAAGAAGTCCTGGCCGTGCCACAATTGCGGAAAGATTGGTCACTGGATGGCGGAGTGCCCCTCGCGCATCCAAGAAAACACGGAGAGACACCGGCCACAGCGTGCTCAAGACAGCGGCGACCGCTATCGATCACAACGTGCAAACGTCGCTCAAGAAGAAGACTCGGGCGACTACCTCTTTTCGATCGGTGAAACGACATCTGCGAAATCGAGCGACATCTGGCTGGTCGACTCCGGGGCGACGCAGCACATGACGTGCTCCAAGAAGTTCATGCGGAACTACAAGGGGTTTGACGCTGTGGATGTCCATCTCGCGGATGATGGAATCGTCCAAGCAATCGGCAGTGGGGAAATTGTCATGTCGATGAAGACACCCCAAGGGATGAAGAAAGGTGTGCTCACAAACGTGTGGCACATCCCAAAGTTATCCAGAAACCTGTTCTCGGTCGGCCGCTTCACCAATGATGTCGGCCCAGTGACGTTCACGAAGGATGGGTGCTATGGAGAAGCGAAAGGGACCAAGTGGAAAATTGGTGCCCGTGAAGGTAAAGGACTGTTCAAGCTGCAAATGACTCCAGTGGCGCCGGAACAAGCAAATGCAGCCAAGTCGTCGGGATGTCAAGGGGGCACCAAGTCGTACCTCTGGCACCTTCGGCTTGGCCACATAGGTCACGATGGACTCAATTGCATCGTGACGAAGAACATTGGAATTGGCATCGACATATCTTCGGTGAAGAAGTGGGACGTGTGTGAAGGTTGTGCTCTGGGAAAACAGACTCGAGTGCGCTTCCAATCAAACACTACAGCTCGCACCTCCAAACTCCTCGAAGTGATTCACAGCGACGTATGCGGACCGATGTCGATGGCAACTTTCAGTGGAAAACGGTACTTCGTGACATTCATTGATGACAAGTCAAGATACTGTGTCGTCTATCTGCTCAAGAGCAAATCTGAAGTTGCGGCGAAGTTCATGGAATACGCTGCGATGGCCGAAACGCAAACCGGAAAGCGCGTGAAGTACCTTCAAAGCGACAATGGGGGTGAATACAAGTCCGACAAGCTGGCACGATTCTGCGCGGAACGGGGAATACAACAAAGGTTCACACCTCCATATACTCCTCAGCTAAACGGAGTAGCTGAGAGAATGAATCGCACGCTGGTCGAGTGTGCGCGTTGCATGATGGAACACGCTGGACTGGGAAAGAGCTACTGGGGTGAAGCAGTGATGACGGCGATGTTTCTTCGAAACCGCTGTCCAACACGTGCCATTCACCAAGACAAGTCTCCATATCAAGTGTGGACGATGAAGAAACCGATTCTGGCCAACCTTAAAGTGTTTGGATGCCACGCGTATGTTCAAGTGCCTCAAGACAAACGCGCGAAGTTCGACTCCAAGTCATCACTCTGTCGTTTCCTGGGATACGCCGAACACCAGAAGTCATATCGATTTGAGGAAGTGTCAACAGGAGCGATCAAGATCAGTCGCGATGCCACGTTCATGGAAGACAAGTTTGATGAAGGTCCGCGCAACTACAACGATGAGTCAAGTGTCGTTGAGTTTGATGATCATGATGAGGACGAAGAAAAAGAAGAAGGTAAAACTGACGACGACATGGACTCGAGCGACGATGACAACGAAGACACCAGGTCTTCGAAGAGCAACATCAAGAGACACACGCGCACTCAATCACTTGAGAAAGCTACCGTCATTCCAAGCCCCAAGCGAAGAACATACAGAGGTCCGTCGCTTGAGCATGTGTCAGCGGCTGCAATGGATTTTGAAGCAGCCTACATCGTTGATTCAGTGGGGAAACGCCGACTACATTCAAGTCGGCGATGGAATCAAGTGACTCCGGCAAGTGGAAAGAAGCGTGTGACTCGGAGTTCGATTCGCTTCAGAGAAACGACACGTGGGAAATCGTGCCTCTTCCGAAAGGTCGCAAGGCCATCGGGTGCCGATGGGTTTTTCGTGTAAAGGAGAATCAAGATGGCGAAGTTGAACGTTTCAAGGCAAGACTTGTGGCCAAAGGATTCTCACAGAAATTCGGAGTTGACTATGAAGAAACTTTCGCACCGGTGGCCAAGTTCACATCGATTCGTGTGGTGCTCAGTATGGCGGCTAAGTACGGCCTAATGCTACATCAGATGGACGTCAAGACAGCGTTTCTTAACGGCTCCCTCAACGAAGACATCTACATGGACCAGCCGGACGGATACCTGGATGCAACACAGCCGGACTATGTGTGCAAGCTAAAGAGATCACTCTACGGCTTGAAGCAATCGCCTCGCATGTGGAACCAAACAATCGATGGGTTCATGATCAAGATGGGATTCAAGAAGTGCGAATCGGACCACTGCATCTACATCAAGCGAGACGACCAAGACATGATTCTCGTGGTGCTCTACGTCGATGATCTCATCCTGGCCAGCAGCAACAACGAACTCCTCAAGTCAACCAAGATAGCGCTGAGCAAACGCTTCGAAATGACGGATCTCGGTGAGCTCGATTACTTTCTCGGCATGGAGATCAAGAACGACCGTAAGACGGGAATGGTGACTGTACAACAAACCAAGTTTCTCAAGTCCGTGTTAACCAAGTTCGGAATGGATAACAGCAAGCCAGTGAAGACGCCTCAAGATCCCGGCCTGAAGCTAACCAAGAACATGTGTGAACAAGAATGCAAGCACGAAGACACCATGTGCAACGTGCCATATCGAAGTGCTGTCGGAGGCATCATGTATCTCATGGTCGCCACACGTCCGGATCTAGCTGCTGCAGTGGGATCATTATCTCAGTTCTCGTCCGACCCATGCCCGACTCACTGGCAAGCTTTGAAGCGTGTGCTGAGATACCTGCAAGCAACGCCCAATCATGGTCTTGAGTTTACACGTGAAGAAGGAAGCCGTATCTGCGGGTACACCGACGCAGACTGGGCCGGCGACATTGAGTCAAGACGAAGTACAAGCGGCTATGTGTTCATGATGAGCGGAGGATGCATCAGCTGGAAAAGCCAGAAACAACGGACGGTCGCGCTATCTTCAACAGAAGCAGAATACATGGCGCTTTCCGAAGCAACCAAAGAAGCAGTATGGCTCAAAGTGCTTTTGGGGGAACTTGGTGAGATGACAAGCGACGAAGCGATCAAGATGTATGAAGACAACCAAGGATCAATCGCTCTCGCCAAGAACCCGGAGTTCCATAAGAGAACAAAACACATCGACATACGCTACCATTTTGTGCGTGAGAAGGTGGAATCAGGTGAAGTCGTTTTGGAGTATTGCCCGACTCAAGATATGCTGGCAGACATGATGACCAATCCGATCGCCGCTGTACAATTTGAAAACATTCGCGATCGACTTGGGATCCAAGGTGCCGCAGCTAACGAGTCGAGAGGGAGTGTTGAAAAGACAGCGGCTGTGAAGAAGACACCTCGTCAAGCTGCGTCAAGTGTTGAAGCAAGTGGAAGACCAAGCTTCGCTATACCGGTGGGTACCGGTATGTACCAGTAAGGGCGAAGTCAGGAAATGACGTCACTGGATGACGTCATTGCATGACGTCAGTGGGTGACGTCAGTGGGTGACGTCACTGGATGACGTCACTGCGAATAATAGGCTTAGAGGTAGTATTCAAAGTTGCGAACTAAGTACCTATTATAAATATATATTCACTTTGCGTTTTGCACTCGGACCAAGAAGTCTAAAGTTCATCAAACACGACTTGAAACTTGCCGTGCTTGTTGATCTGCGGTACCGAAAGCAGATTCTTGCTCATGCTTGGTACGTAAAGCACGTTTTCGATCTCGATCTCACGCTCTTCACCGTCGGGCAGAACCACCTTTTCAAAGATAGTTCCAACACCCTTGATGGCCATTGTGTTGCCATCCGCCACCAAGATTTCACCGTCGTTGCGCTTGTTCATTCTTGCAAACTTGGTCTTGTCGTGTCATATGTGGTGTGTTGCACCACTGTCGACGGCTCACATTCCGGACACGTCCTTCTTCGCTGAGAGTCCACACTCTAGCGAAACTGCAAACGCTAATTGATCGTAGTCGCTGTCTTCATCACGATATTGTCCCCACTGGACATTGTTTGCCCCGCGTCCACGACCATTGCCGCCGCGTCGGTCTCCTCGACTTTCATTATTCTGCTTGGACCAACAGCGATCGACGGTGTGTCCCAGCTTCCCACAGTAGGTGCACTTGTATGGCTCGCGCTCAGTGTTGAAGGCCTTGGCTGCATCTTCAGTCTTGACCATCGTCGCTGTTGTTGTCACCTTCTCCCCTTGGCGCTTGGTGTGCTCATTCGTGAGCACCTTCACCACATCTTGGGTACGAAGCTCTGCGCTGCTCATCTCCAAGTTAAGAACAACGTTTTCTCAAAACTCTTAGGGAGGCTGAGCAGCAGGCAAATTGCGACGTCCTCATCGTCCATCTTCGCACCGATGCTGCTAAGCTTGGCAGCGATGTTCAGGACCTCGTTGCAGTGATGCATGACGATGGCGCCTTCATCCATCTTCATGCTGAAGAGTTGACGCTTGAGGTAGATCTTTCCCGCTTTCTGGGATCCACCGTACAGCACCTTCAGGCTCTGCCACGCAACCCACGCTTCCTTGCAGTTGTCGACCACATGGTGGTAGTCTGCGCCCATGTGTAGCAACATCTTTCCAAACGCGATGTTGTTGGTCTTGACGTAGTCGTCCTGCGCTCGAGGGTCCACGAACGTCGAGGAGCTCTCCCGGTTGACAGTATGCCACACTGACTTTGTCAGGAACACGCCACGCATATATCGACTCCAGGTTGAATAGTTGTCCCCATCGAACTTATCGATGAGGGCGTTGGAGGATGCATGGCCGGCAGAAGACATTGCGCTTGGGCTCATAACCTGTTAAAAGTATGGCACGGGTGTGACGAGAAGACTGGAAGAGACCGGAGGGAGCGAAGAGGCTGGAGGAGCGGAGCAGAGAAGACTTGCTCGGTAGAAGGAGAATTCGAAAGTGATTGATTGTCGGGGCTTACTTCTTACTACATTATTTATGTGTGGCTTACTTCTTACTACATGATTTATGTGTGGTGCACATATAAATCATGTAGTATGTAGTAAGCCCCGATAATCAATCACTTTCGAATTATCCTTCTGCCGAGCAAGTCTTCTCTGCTCCGCTCCGACAGCCTCTTCGCTTCCTCCGGTCTCTTCTGGTCTTCTCGTCACTCCCGTGTCACACCATCGACACGGTCCATCAAGAGCATCTTTAAACGTTGTCAGCTCAGACAATTCAGTACCTTCTGTTGCATTGTAGATCGGAGCGAGGAAAGCGGAGCAAACGGAGCGGAGAGACCGAAGAGAGTAGAGCAGAAAACACTTGCCCAATAGTTGGAAGATTCGAAAGTGATTGATTATCGGGGCTTACTACTTACTACATGATTTATATGTGGTGTACATATAAATCATGTGAAGCGTCTCATCATCCTACGCGTCTAATCAACTATGGTAATTACCGTAAGAACTACGTCGTAAATACTAAGCTGAACAGGCGGTTCGGATTGGATCGGTCACGGTTACCAATACTGGTAGAAAACCGATGATCGTCAACACGCCCCCTCAATCCGAATGCTCACGAATCCCGAGAGTCGCCGTCATCTCCTTGTGGCGTGGCCCGTGAAGTCCCTTCGTCATGATGTCCGCTAACATCACCGCAGTTTCACAGTACTTGAGCTTCACTTCACCGCGCTTGACCTCATCACGGATGTGATGGTACTTGATATCAATGTGCTTGGCACGGCCGTGGTTGACTGGGTTCTTCGTCATCTTGATACACGACTGATTGTCTTCATGGATCATGAGTTCCGGTCCTTCTTCATTGGCAGCCATCACGATCTCACAAAGCAGACGATAAATCCACTTGCCCTCTTGAATCGCCAAGCTGAGTGCGATGTATTCGGCTTCACTCGTGGACAACGAAACACTTGGCTGCTTCTTGCTGCCCCAACTGACTGGCGCACCGAGTAGCATGAACGTGTACCCCGATGTTGACTTGCGGTCGGTAAGATCACCAGCCCAATCCGCATCCGAAAATCCACGGAAGTCGATCCTTGCACTTGGCTTGTAGCAAATTCCATGCGTCTTGGTGCCTTGTAGGTAGCGAAAGATACGCTTAACTGCAACCCAGTGTTCTTCTTGGGGATTTTCCATGAACCGCGACACATAGCCCACAGCAAACGCAATGTCCGGACGCGTTGCAGTGGTCAGGTGCATCAACGCACCAACAGCTTCGCGAAAAGGAGCATCGACCTTGGTAGTTGCATCACTTGAAACAAGTAGAGAGCTCATGTCGACTGGACTTGCGACTGCCTTGCAATCATCCATGCCAAAGCGCTTGAGGATATCATCGACATACCGACGCTGACATAGTGTCACACTGCCATCTTCACCGTCCAAAAGCTCGATCCCAAGAACAAACGCACACTTGCCGCTGTCCGTCATTTCGAACCGCGTCTTCAGGTCGTTCTTGGTTTGTGCAATCAGCTCGAGTGAGCTTCCTGTCACCAACACGTCATCCACATAGACCAGTATAAACACGCAATGGCCGTCCGAAGTCTTGATGTAGAGACATGGGTCGAAGCCTGACACTTGAAATCCAATGGAACACACATACTCGTCGAACGTCTCGTTCCACACTCGCGACGCTTGCTTGAGGCCGTAAATTGACTTCACCAATTCCAGGCAGTCGAACGTACTGTCAAGTTCGACGCCTTCAGGAATCACGCAGAACACTTGTTCCTTCATGACGCCATACAGGAAAGCTGTCACCACATCAAGCTGGTCGATGGGCCATCCAAAATGCTTGGAAATTGCGATCACCATTCGCAGCGTCACATACTTGACCACAGGCGAAAACGTCTCCGTGTAGTCGATGCCATACTTTTGGCGGAAACCCTTGGCCACAAGTCGTGCCTTGTACTTCTCGATTGACCCATCCGCCTTGCGCTTGATCTTGAACACCCATTTTGTGCCAATGGCGCGTTGTCCGTTGGGCAGCTTGGCTGCACGAAACACACCGCGAAGTCGCATTGACTCGAGCTCTGCATGAATTGCTTTTCTCCAGTGCACTTGGTCAGGGCCGCTTACTGCTGCTTCAAATGTTGAGGGTTCTGATAAGTCCACTGCTGCTTCAACGGCATTTGCACTCGCACGCCAAAACACAGGCGGTGTTGAATCACCAGAATCCTTCGTTTCTTCGTCTTCTTCTTGTCGTGACGAGTTGTTTTCCGGCGCGCTTGACTCTTCTAGTCCTGGTCGTTGACGCACTGCACGCGGTCGTGGAGCTGCTGTATCTTCATCATTGAGTCGGTTCTTGCGCTTGCCTGTTTGCTTGTACTCCATTTGACGCAGCTCTTCGTCATCAAGATCCAGCAATTCGAAGTCCAGGTCATCGACATCTTCATCAATGATCGGCAGTTGAAGTCCAAAGGTGGACTCGTCGAAGTTGACATCGCGGCTGATAACCACCTGCCCCGCCTCGATGTCATAAACACGATATGCCTTCGAAACTTCTTCGTAGCCCACGAATATGCCAGCGCGAGCCTTTGGATCCCACTTGAGTCGATTCTCTTTAGGCGTCAGTATGTATGTCTGACACCCGAATGTTCGCATGTGCTTGACGCTTGGTTTCAAGTTGTAGACGATCTCAAACGGGGTCTTGTGCACGACTTTAGGTGACGGCAGTCGATTCTTGACGTAGATGGCCGTCATCGCTGCTTCGGCCCAGAAACACTTGTCCAGTTTGGCATGATGAAGCATGCTGCGGCCGATCGTGACAATAGTCCTAATGGCACGCTCTGCTGTTCCGTTTGTTTGATGTGCATACGGCACCGTTGTCTGCTGTTCAATGCCTTCGTCTTCGTAGAACAGTTGAAGCGAGTTGGTTGCAAACTCGCGAGCTCCGTCGTGTCGCACGAACTTGACCTTCTTACAGAATTGCGTCTGTACCATGGTGATATATTTCCGGATGTAGTCTTCACTCTCGGACTTCACTCGTAGACAAAAGCCCTTCATGCATCCACTGGCTTCGTCGATGATCAGCAGCAAATATTTGCTGCCACCGAGCGAATCCTTTTCCATGGGCCCGCAGATGTCCAGATGAAGTAGCTCAAACGTGTCGTAACTTCGCTTGTCACGATTGCTTGGGAATGGGTTTTGGACCATTTTCCCTTGCTGACATCCTCGACATGTACCTGATCCACTTGACTTGAGAGGCACTCCCACATCTTTGATCATGTTGTTGGAGACCATCTTGCGAAGCACGTCGACTGTAGCATGACCCATTCTCGCATGTAGATCGGCACAACTGGTTCCACTTGTTGTCACATTCGCTGATCGTTGAGTCGTCCGAAGCCAGTAGAGTCCATCCACGAGATCCGCTGTCGCCACCACTTGCTGTGAGTTCTTGAGAGTCACATACATCTTGGACCCGTCAAACACGACTTGAAACTTGCCATGGCTGTTAATCTGTGGCACCGAGAGCAGGTTCTTGCTCATACTTGGAACATATAGCGCGTTCTTGATTTCGATCTCACGCTCTTCACCGTTGGGCAGAACCACCTTTTCCATGATGGTTCCCACACCCTTGATGGCCACCTTGTTGCCATCAGCCACCAAGAGTTCGCCCTCATTGCGCTCTGCCAAACTTGCGAACTTGGTCTTGTCGTGGCAAATGTGGTGCGTTGCACCACTGTCGACGGCCCACATTCCAGACACGTCCTTGCTCGTCGAAACTCCACATTCGAACGAGACTGCAAACGCCACTCGATCGTAGCCATTGCCTTCATCATGATGTCCCCACTGGACATTGTTAGCCCCGCGTCCACGACCATTGCCGCCGCGTCGGGCTCCCCGACCTTCGTTCTTCTGCTTTGTCCAGCAACGATCCACCGTGTGTCCCACCTTGCCACAATACGTGCATTGGTAGGGCTCACGCTCGGCGCTGAATGCCTTGCTTGCATCTTCAGCCTTCACCGTAGTCGCTGTCGTTGTCCCTTTTTCTCCTTGACGCTTGGCATGCTCATTCGTCAGGACTCTCACCACATCTTGAGTGCGAAGCTCGGTGCTGCTCATTTCCATGTTGAGCACCACATTTTCGTAGCTCTTCGGAAGACTGAGTAGCAGACAAATTGCAACGTCTTCGTCTTCCATCTTCGCACCGATGCCGCTAAGCTTGGCGGAGATGTTGAGGACCTCGTTGCAGTGATGCATGACGTTCGCGCCTTCAGCCATCTTGATACTGAAAAGTTGTCGCTTGAGGTAGATGCGTCCTGCCTTCTGCGACCCACCGTACAGCGTCTTCAGACTTGTCCACGCAACCCAGGCTTCCTCGCAGTTGTCCAGCACATGATGGTAGTCCGCGTTCATGTGCAGCAGCATCATACCAAACGCGACGTTGCTTGCCTTGACGTAGTCATCGGACGCTCGCGGGTCGGTGAAAGTCGGAGTCACTTCACGGTTGACAACGTGCCAGACGGACTTCGTCAAAAACACACCGCGCATGTACCGGCTCCACGTTGCGTAATTGTCTCCGTTGAACTTGTCAATGGAAGCGTTGCTGGTGGACGACATGGCGCTTGGGCTCATAACCTGTTGCATTGTAGATCGGAGCGAGGAAAGCGGAGCAAACGGAGCGGAGAGACCGAAGAGAGTAGAGCAGAAAACACTTGCCCAATAGTTGGAAGATTCGAAAGTGATTGATTATCGGGGCTTACTACTTACTACATGATTTATATGTGGTGTACATATAAATCATGTGAAGCGTCTCATCATCCTACGCGTCTAATCAACTATGGTAATTACCGTAAGAACTACGTCGTAAATACTAAGCTGAACAGGCGGTTCGGATTGGATCGGTCACGGTTACCAATACTGGTAGAAAACCGATGATCGTCAACAGCAATTTCGTGTGGTAGAGTCGGCGAGAAACCAAGCGTTGATTCGTCGAATGTGACATCGCGAGATATCACCACTTGATCCGCTTCAATGTCGTAAACGCGATATGCCTTTACCACTTCTTCGTACCCCATGAATAGTCCTTCACGAGCCTTCGGATCCCGTTTCGATCTCTTTTCCTTAGGGGTCAGCACAAACGTTCGGCAGCCGAAAACCCGCACGTGCTTCACACTTGGTCGAAATCCGTTGACAATCTCGAACGGGGGTTTGATCTTGGCACTTGGGCGATGGTAGGCGATTCTTGATGTAGACCGCCGTCATTGCTGCTTCAACTCAAAAGCACTTGTCCAGCTCGGCGTAGTGAAGCATGCTGCGCCCGATCGTCACAATGGTCCGAATTGCCCGTTCCGCCGTGCCGTTGGTCTGATGCGCATATGGAACGGTAACTTGCTGCTCGATTCCTTGATCATCGTAAGATGCCTTGATCGAATCTGCCGTAAATTCGCGTGCACCATCGTGGCGTGATGAACTTTAGACTTCTTGGTCCGAGTGCAAAACGCAAAGTGAATATATATTTATAATAGGTACTTAGTTCGCAACTTTGAATACTACCTCTAAGCCTATTATTCACAGTGACGTCATCCAGTGACGTCACCCACTGACGTCACCCACTGACGTCATGCAATGACGTCATCCAGTGACGTCATTTCCTGACTTCGCCCTTACTGGTACATACCGGTACCCACCGGTATAGCGAAGCTTGGTCTTCCACTTGCTTCAACACTTGACGCAGCTTGACGAGGTGTCTTCTTCACAGCCGCTGTCTTTTCAACACTCCCTCTCGACTCGTTAGCTGCGGCACCTTGGATCCCAAGTCGATCGCGAATGTTTTCAAATTGTACAGCGGCGATCGGATTGGTCATCATGTCTGCCAGCATATCTTGAGTCGGGCAATACTCCAAAACGACTTCACCTGATTCCACCTTCTCACGCACAAAATGGTAGCGTATGTCGATGTGTTTTGTTCTCTTATGGAACTCCGGGTTCTTGGCGAGAGCGATTGATCCTTGGTTGTCTTCATACATCTTGATCGCTTCGTCGCTTGTCATCTCACCAAGTTCCCCCAAAAGCACCTTGAGCCATACTGCTTCTTTGGTTGCTTCGGAAAGCGCCATGTATTCTGCTTCTGTTGAAGATAGCGCGACCGTCCGTTGTTTCTGGCTTTTCCAGCTGATGCATACTCCGTTCATCATGAACACATAGCCGCTTGTGTTGACGGTCATCGGTTTTCTACCAGTATTGGTAACCGTGACCGATCCAATCCGAACCGCCTGTTCAGCTTAGTATTTACGACGTAGTTCTTACGGTAATTACCATAGTTGATTAGACGCGTAGGATGATGAGACGCTTCACATGATTTATATGTACACCACATATAAATCATGTAGTAAGTAGTAAGCCCCGATAATCAATCACTTTCGAATCTTCCAACTATTGGGCAAGTGTTTTCTGCTCTACTCTCTTCGGTCTCTCCGCTCCGTTTGCTCCGCTTTCCTCGCTCCGATCTACAATGCAACAGGTTATGAGCCCAAGCGCCATGTCGTCCACCAGCAACGCCTCCATTGACAAGTTCAACGGAGACAATTACGCAACGTGGAGCCGGTACATGCGCGGTGTGTTTTTGACGAAGTCCGTCTGGCACGTTGTCAACCGTGAAGTGACTCCGACTTTCACCGACCCGCGAGCGTCCGATGACTACGTCAAGGCAAGCAACGTCGCGTTTGGTATGATGCTGCTGCACATGAACGCGGACTACCATCATGTGCTGGACAACTGCGAGGAAGCCTGGGTTGCGTGGACAAGTCTGAAGACGCTGTACGGTGGGTCGCAGAAGGCAGGACGCATCTACCTCAAGCGACAACTTTTCAGTATCAAGATGGCTGAAGGCGCAAACGTCATGCATCACTGCAACGAGGTCCTCAACATCTCCGCCAAGCTTAGCGGCATCGGTGCGAAGATGGAAGACGAAGACGTTGCAATTTGTCTGCTACTCAGTCTTCCGAAGAGCTACGAAAATGTGGTGCTCAACATGGAAATGAGCAGCACCGAGCTTCGCACTCAAGATGTGGTGAGAGTCCTGACGAATGAGCATGCCAAGCGTCAAGGAGAAAAAGGGACAACGACAGCGACTACGGTGAAGGCTGAAGATGCAAGCAAGGCATTCAGCGCCGAGCGTGAGCCCTACCAATGCACGTATTGTGGCAAGGTGGGACACACGGTGGATCGTTGCTGGACAAAGCAGAAGAACGAAGGTCGGGGAGCCCGACGCGGCGGCAATGGTCGTGGACGCGGGGCTAACAATGTCCAGTGGGGACATCATGATGAAGGCAATGGCTACGATCGAGTGGCGTTTGCAGTCTCGTTCGAATGTGGAGTTTCGACGAGCAAGGACGTGTCTGGAATGTGGGCCGTCGACAGTGGTGCAACGCACCACATTTGCCACGACAAGACCAAGTTCGCAAGTTTGGCAGAGCGCAATGAGGGCGAACTCTTGGTGGCTGATGGCAACAAGGTGGCCATCAAGGGTGTGGGAACCATCATGGAAAAGGTGGTTCTGCCCAACGGTGAAGAGCGTGAGATCGAAATCAAGAACGCGCTATATGTTCCAAGTATGAGCAAGAACCTGCTCTCGGTGCCACAGATTAACAGCCATGGCAAGTTTCAAGTCGTGTTTGACGGGTCCAAGATGCATGTGACTCTCAAGAACTCACAGCAAGTGGTGGCGACAGCGGATCTCGTGGATGGACTCTACTGGCTTCGGACGACTCAACGATCAGCGAATGTGACAACAAGTGGAACCAGTTGTGCCGATCTACATGCGAGAATGAGTCATGCTCCAGTCGATGTACTTCGCAAGATGATCGCGACCAACATGATCAAGGATGTGCGAGTCCCTCTCAAGTCGGGTGGAGCAACTACATGTCGAGGATGTCAACAAGGGAAAATGGTCCAAAAACCATTTCCAAGCAACCGAGACAAGCGCAGCTACGATACGTTTGAGCTACTTCATCTGGACATCTGCGGGCCCATGGAAAAGGATTCGCTCGGTGGCAGCAAATATTTGCTGCTGATCATCGACGAAGCCAGTGGATGCATGAAGGGCTTTTGTCTACGAGTGAAGTCCGAGAGTGAAGACTACATCCGGAAATATATCACCATGGTACAGACGCAATTCTGTAAGAAGGTCAAGTTCGTGCGACACGACGGAGCTCGCGAGTTTGCAACCAACTCGTTTCAACTGTTCTACGAAGACGAAGGCATTGAACAGCAGACTGTTGACGGTCATCGGTTTCTACCAGTATTGGTAACCGTGACCGGTCCAATCCGAACCGCCTGTTCAGCTTAGTATTTACGACGTAGTTCTTACGGTAATTACCATAGTTGATTAGACGTGTAGGATGATGAGACGCTTCACATGATTTATATGTGCACCACATATAAATCATGTAGTAAGTAGTAAGCCCTGATAATCAATCACTTTCCAATCTTCCATCTACCCCCAAGTGTCTTCTCCGGTCTTCCGAGTAGACTCCCAGCATCACTCCCAGTTTCGGTCGTCAAGCTTTTCACCATTCAACAGGTTATGAGCCCAAGCACGATGTCCTCTGCTCATGATGCCACCACCAAGATCTCCATCGACAAGTTCGACGGCGACAACTACGCGACGTGGAGCCGCTACATGCGTGGCGTGTTCCTGACCAAGTCGGCGTGGCACGTGGTGAACCGGGGAGACCACCCCCCACCTTCGCCGATCCTCGCGCCAGTGACGACTACATCAAGACGAACAACATTGCGTTCGGCTTGATGCTGCTGCACATGAGCGCGGATTATCATCACGTGGTTGATGACTGTGAAGAGGCGTGGGTCGCGTGGGCGCGTTTGAAGACGCTGTACGGCGGGTCGCAGAAGGCTGGACGCATCTACTTGAAGCGCCAGCTGTTCAGCATGGAGATGGCGGAAGGCGGCAATGTGATGCATCATTGCAACGAAGTCCTCAACATCAGCGCGAAGCTCAGCAGCATCGGCGCCAAGATGGAGGACGAGGACGTGGCGATCTGCTTGTTGCGCAGCCTCCCCAAGAGCTACGAGAACGTCGTTCTCAACTTGGAGATGAGCAGCGCGGAACTGCGATCGCGAGACGTCGTGAGAGTGCTCACGAATGAGCACATCAAGAGACAAGGTGACAAGACGACATCGGTGAAGACTGAAGACGCGGCGAAGGCGTTCAGTGCCGAGCGTGAACCTCGCCAGTGTACATACTGCGGAAAATTGGGGCACACGGCGGAGCGGTGCTGGACCAAGCAGAAGGACGAAAATCAAGGTGGAGCTCGACGCGGCGGCAACAATGCTCGTGGACGCGGAGCCAACAACGTTCAGTGGCGAACCAACAGCAACTACGATGACAACTACGATCGAGTTGCGTTCGCGGTTTCGCTGGAGGCTGGACTTTCGACGGGCAAGAATATGCCAGGGATGTGGGCAGTCGACAGCGGTGCGACGCATCACATCTGCAACGACAAGGCCAAGTTTGCAAGCCTGAATGAGCGAGAGGAAGGCGAACTATCAGTGGCTGATGGCAGCAAGGCTGCGATCAAGGGTGTGGGAACCATCATGGAACGGGTGGTTCTGCCCAATGGTGACGAACTCGACATCGAGATCAAGGACGCACTGTTCGTACCAAGTATGAGCAAGAATCTGCTTTCGGTGCCACAGATCAACAAGGGTGGCAGGTTCCAAGTCGTGTTCGATGGATCCAAGATGCAAGTGAAGCGCAAGAATTCCACACAAGTCGTGGCAACAGCGGATCTCGTCGATGGACTTTACTGGCTGCGGACTCCTCAACGATCGGCAAATGCAGCAACACGCAATGGGACCATCGACTTGCATGCGCGCATGGGTCATGCACCCCTCGAAGTTCTGCGCAAGATGGTGGCCACTGGCATGATCAAGGACGCCAAGGCACCTCTCAACTCGACTGGTCCAAGTGTGTGTCGCGGTTGCCAGCAAGGAAAGATGGTTCAAAAACCATTCCCAACCAACCGTGACAAACGCCAATATGGTGTGTTCGAGTTGCTGCACTTCGACATCTGCGGGCCAATGGAACAAGTTTCGATCGGCGGCAGCAGATACTTACTGCTTGTGGTTGACGAAGCCAGCGGTTGCATGAAGGGCTTCTGTCTGCGGTCCAAGTCTGAGAGTGAAGACTGTATCAAGAACCACATTATCAAGATTCAAACTCAGTTCGGCACGAAGATCAAGTTTGTTCGGCACGATGGAGCGCATGAGTTTGCGACCAACTCCATCAAGACCTTCTACGAAGATCATGGTATCGAGCAACAACAGATCACGGTGCCGTATGCACACCAGACCAACGGCACCGCAGAACGCGCGATAAGGACCATCGTCACGATCGGACGCAGCTTGTTGCATCATGCAAAGCTGGAGAAGTGTTTCTGGGCTGAAGCGGCAATGACGGCGATCTACATCAAGAACCGCCTGCCTTCACCCAAGATCGACCACAAGACTCCGTTCGAAATCGTGTACAAGTCGAAACCAAGTGTCAAGCACATGCGCGTGTTTGGATGTCGGGCGTTTATCCTGACACCAAGGGAGAAGCGATTGAAGTGGGACCCGAAGGCTCGTGAAGAGATATTCATGGGCTACGAAGAAGCTTCAAAAGCTTATCGAGTGTACGACATTGAGGCGGGCCAAGTGGTGATCAGTCGTGACATCACCTTCGACGAATCGACTTTTGACTTTTCGATGGACCGACCAAGTGACGATGATGAAGATGCGGAGTTGGACCTCGACCTCCTGGCGATCAACGAGGACGACGTGCGTCAAACCGTCTACAAGCAGACTGGCAAGCGCAAGAGTGAAGCAAGACCCGGCATGTCACGGTCAGATCGCCCTCGAACTGGGTTGGAACAAGCAAGTGCGCCGGAACACGTCTCCAACCGTCACCAGAAACGACGATCAAGTGCTCCAGAAACGATGTCTGATGACGAAGAAGATGCAAGCGTGTACGATCAAGATGACGACTCGACGCCTCCAACATTTTGGCGTGCAAGTGCAAACGCAGTGGAAGCAACGGACCTAGCAGAACCTGTGACTTTTCAAGACGCGATCAATGGTCCTGATCAAACTCACTGGCGAAATGCTGTGAAGGCGGAACTCAAGTCGATGCATCTTCGTGGAGTTTTCCGTGCGGCAAAACTGCCAAGAGGCCAAGGCGCGATCGGCACCAAGTGGGTGTTCAAGATCAAGCGCAAAGCGGATGGATCGGTCGAGAAATACAAGGCGCGTCTCGTTGCCAAGGGCTTCAAGCAGAAGTACGGCATCGACTACACAGAGACGTTCTCGCCCGTGGTCAAGTACGTGACACTGCGTATGGCGATCGCGATCACCAAGTATTTCGACTGGCCACTGGACCAACTCGATGTGGTGACAGCCTTTCTCTACGGAGTGATGAAGGAGAAGGTGTACTGCGTGATACCAGAAGGCGTCGAGATGGATGGCGACTTCGACTGTCTCGAGTTGGTGAAGGCGATCTACGGTCTCAAGCAAGCTTCACGTGTGTGGAACGAGACTTTCGACGAGTTCGTATGCTCCATCGGTTTCGAAGCGTCGGCGTTCGACCCATGTCTCTACATCAAGGTTGTCGACGGTCACTGTGTGCTCGTGCTGGTCTACGTGGATGACGTGTTGGTCACCGGCAGCTCGCTCGAGTTGATTGCGCAGACGAAGGCCGACCTCAAGACGCGTTTCGAGATGACCGACAGTGGCAAGTGTACTTTTGTACTGGGCATCGAACTGGTGGACGAATCGGATGGCAGCGTGACAATGTGCCAGCGAAGGTATGTCAACGACATCCTCAAGCGCTTCGGCATGGATGAGTGCAAGGCCACAGCAAGTCCGGTCGACTTGAGCACTCGGCTTGTCGCAAGCACCGAAGCGGCCAAGATCGACGTTCCGTTTCGTGAAGCTGTGGGAGCTTTGATGCACTTGACGACTGCGACGCGCCCGGACATTGCGTATGCTGTGGGGTACGTCTCGCGCTTCATGGAGAATCCGCAGCAAGAACATTGGACGGCGGTGAAGCGCATCTTTCGTTACTTGCAAGGGACCAAGTCGCACGGACTCCGCTTCCAGCCAAGCGACAAGATCGACTTTCGTGGCTACTCGGACGCGGACTGGGCCGGCGACCACGCTGATCGCAAGTCGACTTCGGGTTACACTTTCATGCTGATGGGTGCTCCTGTGAGTTGGGGAAGCAAGAAGCAGTCAAGTGTGTCGCTGTCGACGAGTGAAGCGGAATACATCGCACTGAGTCTGGCCATCCAGGAAGGCAAGTGGGTGCATCGCCTGCTATGCGAGATTTTGGCGGCCGCAAACAAACCAGGACCGGACCTCGTCATCCGTGAAGACAACCAGTCGTGCATCAAGATGACGAAGAATCCGGTGAATCATGGCCGCGCCAAGCACATCGACATCAAGTACCATCACATCCGTGATGAGGTCAAGCGCGGGGAAGTGCAGCTCGAGTATTGCGAGACTTCCGTGATGATGGCGGACATCATGACCAAGGGACTTTCCGGACCTCGTCACAAGGACTTGACGACGGCTCTCGGCATTCGTGCGAGTTCGGATTGAGGGGGCGTGTTGACGGTCATCGGTTTCTACCAGTATTGGTAACCGTGACCGGTCCAATCCGAACCGCCTGTTCAGCTTAGTATTTACGACGTAGTTCTTACGGTAATTACCATAGTTGATTAGACGTGTAGGATGATGAGACGCTTCACATGATTTATATGTGCACCACATATAAATCATGTAGTAAGTAGTAAGCCCCGATAATCAATCACTTTCCAATCTTCCATCTACCCCCCAAGTGTCTTCTCCGGTCTTCCGAGTAGACTCCCAGCATCACTCCCAGTTTCGGTCGTCAAGCTTTTCACCATTCAACACAGACAACGGTGCCGTATGCACATCAAACAAACGGAACAGCAGAGCGTGCCATTAGGACTATTGTCACGATCGGCCGCAGCATGCTTCATCATGCCAAACTGGACAAGTATTTCTGGGCCAAAGCAGCGATGACGGCCATCTACGTCAAGAATCGACTGCCGTCACCTAAAGTCGTGCACAAGACCCCGTTCGAGATCGTCTACAACTTGAAACCAAGCGTCAAGCACATGCGAACATTCGGGTGTCAGACATACATACTGACGCCTAAAGAGAATCGACTCAAGTGGGATCCAAAGGCTCGCGCTGGCATATTCGTGGGCTACGAAGAAGTTTCGAAGGCATATCGTGTTTATGACATCGAGGCGGGGCAGGTGGTTATCAGCCGCGATGTCAACTTCGACGAGTCCACCTTTGGACTTCAACTGCCGATCACTGATGAAGATGTCGATGACCTGGACTTCGAATTGCTGGATCTTGATGACGAAGAGCTGCGTCAAATGGAGTACAAGCAAACAGGCAAGCGCAAGAACCGACTCAATGATGAAGATACAGCAGCTCCACGACCGCGTGCAGTGCGTCAACGACCAGGACTAGAAGAGTCAAGCGCGCCGGAAAACAACTCGTCACGACAAGAAGAAGACGAAGAAACGAAGGATTCTGGTGATTCAACACCGCCTGTGTTTTGGCGTGCGAGTGCAAATGCCGTTGAAGCAGCAGTGGACTTATCAGAACCCTCAACATTTGAAGCAGCAGTAAGCGGCCCTGACCAAGTGCACTGGAGAAAAGCAATTCATGCAGAGCTCGAGTCAATGCGACTTCGCGGTGTGTTTCGTGCAGCCAAGCTGCCCAACGGACAACGCGCCATTGGCACAAAATGGGTGTTCAAGATCAAGCGCAAGGCGGATGGGTCAATCGAGAAGTACAAGGCACGACTTGTGGCCAAGGGTTTCCGCCAAAAGTATGGCATCGACTACACGGAGACGTTTTCGCCTGTGGTCAAGTATTTGACACTGCGAATGGTGATCGCAATTTCCAAGCATTTTGGATGGCCCATCGACCAGCTTGATGTGGTGACAGCTTTCCTGTATGGCGTCATGAAGGAACAAGTGTTCTGCGTGATTCCTGAAGGCGTCGAACTTGACAGTACGTTCGACTGCCTGGAATTGGTGAAGTCAATTTACGGCCTCAAGCAAGCGTCGCGAGTGTGGAACGAGACGTTCGACGAGTATGTGTGCTCCATCGGATTTCAAGTATCGGACTTCGACCCATGTCTCTACATCAAGACTTCGGACGGCCATTGCGTGTTTATACTGGTCTACGTGGACGACTTCTTGGTGACTGGAAGCTCACTCGAGCTGATTGCACAAACCAAGAACGACCTGAAGACGCGGTTCAAAATGACGGACAGCGGCAAGTGTGCGTTTGTTCTTGGGATCGAGCTTTTGGACGGTGAAGATGGCAGTGTGACACTATGTCAGCGTCGGTATGTCGATGATATCCTCAAGCGCTTTGGCATGGATGATTTCAAGGCAGTCGCAAGTCCAGTCGACATGAGCTCTCTACTTGTTTCAAGTGATGCAACTACCAAGGTCGATGCTCCTTTTCGCGAAGCTGTTGGTGCGTTGATGCACCTGACCACTGCAACGCGTCCGGACATTGCGTTTGCTGTGGGCTATGTGTCGCGGTTCATGGAAAATCCCCAAGAAGAACACTGGGTTGCAGTTAAGCGTATCTTTCGCTACCTACAAGGCACCAAGACGCATGGAATTTGCTACAAGCCAAGTGCAAGGATCGACTTCCGTGGATTTTCGGATGCGGATTGGGCTGGTGATCTTACCGACCGCAAGTCAACATCGGGGTACACGTTCATGCTACTCGGTGCGCCAGTCAGTTGGGGCAGCAAGAAGCAGCCAAGTGTTTCGTTGTCCACGAGTGAAGCCGAATACATCGCACTCAGCTTGGCGATTCAAGAGGGCAAGTGGATTCATCGTCTGCTTTGTGAGATCGTGATGGCTGCCAATGAAGAAGGACCGGAACTCATGATCCATGAAGACAATCAGTCGTGTATCAAGATGACGAAGAACCCAGTCAACCACGGCCGTGCCAAGCACATTGATATCAAGTACCATCACATCCGTGATGAGGTCAAGCGCGGTGAAGTGAAGCTCAAGTACTGTGAAACTGCGGTGATGTTAGCGGACACCATGACGAAGGGACTTCACGGGCCACGCCACAAGGAGATGACGGCGACTCTCGGGATTCGTGAGCATTCGGATTGAGGGGGCGTGTTGACGATCATCGGTTTTCTACCAGTATTGGTAACCGTGACCGATCCAATCCGAACCGCCTGTTCAGCTTAGTATTTACGACGTAGTTCTTACGGTAATTACCATAGTTGATTAGACGCGTAGGATGATGAGACGCTTCACATGATTTATATGTGCACCACATATAAATCATGTAGTAAGTAGTAAGCCCCGATAATCAATCACTTTCGAATCTTCCAACTATTGGGCAAGTATTTTCTGCTCTACTCTCTTCGGTCTCTCCGCTCCGATCTACAATGCAACAGCTTGTACTTCGTCTTGACTCAATGTCGCCGGCCCAGTCTGCGTCGGTGTACCCGCAGATACGGCTTCCTTCTTCACGTGTAAACTCAAGACCATGATTGGGCGTTGCTTGCAGGTATCTCAGCACACGCTTCAAAGCTTGCCAGTGAGTCGGGCATGGGTCGGACGAGAACTGGGATAATGATCCCACTGCAGCAGCTAGATCCGGACGTGTGGCGACCATGAGATACATGATGCCTCCGACAGCACTTCGATATGGCACGTTGCACATGGTGTCTTCGTGCTTGCATTCTTGTTCACACATGTTCTTGGTTAGCTTCAGGCCGGGATCTTGAGGCGTCTTCACTGGCTTGCTGTTATCCATTCCGAACTTGGTTAACACGGACTTGAGAAACTTGGTTTGTTGTACAGTCACCATTCCCGTCTTACGGTCGTTCTTGATCTCCATGCCGAGAAAGTAATCGAGCTCACCGAGATCCGTCATTTCGAAGCGTTTGCTCAGCGCTATCTTGGTTGACTTGAGGAGTTCGTTGTTGCTGCTGGCCAGGATGAGATCATCGACGTAGAGCACCACGAGAATCATGTCTTGGTCGTCTCGCTTGATGTAGATGCAGTGGTCCGATTCGCACTTCTTGAATCCCATCTTGATCATGAACCCATCGATTGTTTGGTTCCACATGCGAGGCGATTGCTTCAAGCCGTAGAGTGATCTCTTTAGCTTGCACACATAGTCCGGCTGTGTTGTATCCAGGTATCCGTCCGGCTGGTCCATGTAGATGTCTTCGTTGAGGGAGCCGTTAAGAAACGCTGTCTTGACGTCCATCTGATGTAGCATTAGGCCGTACTTAGCCGCCATACTGAGCACCACACGAATCGATGTGAACTTGGCCACCGGTGCGAAAGTTTCTTCATAGTCAACCTCCCTCTTTTTTTGTGTGGGTTTTCCCCCCGCCTGTCCTTTCGTCGGGTTCCTTCCTCCCCCCCTTTTTTTTTCTCCTAAAAAAAAAACCCCCCCGCCCCCGGTGGCCTTGCGCCCTTTCGGAAGAGGCACGATTTCCCACGTGTCGTTTCTCTGAAGCGAATCGAACTCCGAGTCACACGCTTCTTTCCACTTGCCGGAGTCACTTGATTCCATCGCCGACTTGAATGTAGTCGGCGTTTCCCCACTGAATCAACGATGTAGGCTGCTTCAAAATCCATTGCAGCCGCTGACACATGCTCAAGCGACGGACCTCTGTATGTTCTTCGCTTGGGGCTTGGAATGACGGTAGCTTTCTCAAGTGATTGAGTGCGCGTGTGTCTCTTGATGTTGCTCTTCGAAGACCTGGTGTCTTCGTTGTCATCGTCGCTCGAGTCCATGTCGTCGTCAGTTTTACCTTCTTCTTTTTCTTCGTCCTCATCATGATCATCAAACTCAACGACACTTGACTCATCGTTGTAGTTGCGCGGACCTTCATCAAACTTGTCTTCCATGAATGTGGCATCGCGACTGATCTTGATCGCTCCTGTTGACACTTCCTCAAATCGATATGACTTCTGGTGTTCGGCGTATCCCAGGAAACGACAGAGTGATGACTTGGAGTCGAACTTCGCGCGTTTGTCTTGAGGCACTTGAACATACGCGTGGCATCCAAACACTTTAAGGTTGGCCAGAATCGGTTTCTTCATCGTCCACACTTGACGACTCTTGCGCTTGCCTGTTTGCTTGTACTGCGCTTGACCTGGCGCTTCATCATCCAGATCGAGGGAGTCGAAGTCAATGTCATCGGCGTCTTCAGCTGTGGTTGGCGGCGAAAATCCAAAGGCGGACTCGTCAAAGTTGACATGCGACTGATGACCACCTGCCCCGCCTCGATGTCATAAACGCGGTACGCTTTAGATGCTTCTTCGTAGCCCAAGAATATCCCAGTGCGAGCCTTGGGGTCCCACTTGAGCCGCTTCTCCTTCGGTGTCAGTATGTAAACCTGACAACCGAACACCCGCATGTGCTTGACACTTGGCTTGGAGTTGTGGACGATCTCGAACGGAGTCTTGTGCATAACGTTAGGCGACGGCAGACGGTTCTTGACGTAGATTGCCGTCATTGCTGCTTCGGCCCAGAAGCACTTTTCCAACTTATCATGGTAGAGCATGCTGCGACCAATTGTGACGATAGTCCGAATGGCGCGCTCTACCGTGCAGTTGGTCTGGTGTGCATATGGCACCGTCTTCTGCTTCTCAATGCCTTCATTTTCGTAGAATTCTTGAAGCGAGTTGGTTGTGAACTCGCGGGCTCCGTCGTGTCGGACGAGCTTGACCTTCTTGCCAAACTGCGCTTGCACCATCTTGATGTACCGTGTGATGTAGTTTTCACTCTCCGACTTCACACGTAGACAGAAGCCCTTCATGCATCCACTGGCTTCGTCAACGATCAGCAGTAGATACTTGCTGCCACCCAGAGAATTCATCTCCATGGGTCCGCATATGTCGACGTGAAGTAGCTCGAAGGTGTCGAATCTGCGCTTGTCCTGGTTGTGTGAGAATGGTTTTTGGACCATTTTCCCTCGTTGACATCCTCGGCATGCGCTTGATCCACTTGACGTGAGAGGTACCTTCACATCCTTGATCATGTTCGTGGCCACCATTTTGCGAAGAACATCAGCTGGAGCGTGTCCCATTCGCTCATGTAAGTCGACACCGTTGCTTCCGTTTGTTGCCGTATTGGCCGATCGATGAGCTGTGTGAAGCCAATAAAGGCCATCCACAAGATCTGCAGTTGCCACCAATTGGTGCGATCATTTGCGAGCGGCAAACATCTTGGTCCCGTCGAACACTGTTGAAAAGACAGCGGCTGTGAAGAAGACACCTCGTCAAGCTGCGTCAAGTGTTGAAGCAAGTGGAAGACCAAGCTTCGCTATACCGGTGGGTACCGGTATGTACCAGTAAGGGCGAAGTCAGGAAATGACGTCACTGGATGACGTCATTGCATGACGTCAGTGGGTGACGTCAGTGGGTGACGTCACTGGATGACGTCACTGCGAATAATAGGCTTAGAGGTAGTATTCAAAGTTGCGAACTAAGTACCTATTATAAATATATATTCACTTTGCGTTTTGCACTCGGACCAAGAAGTCTAAAGTTCATCAGGTTATGAGCCCAAGTGCTCGCTGCAGACACCTCACCAAGGACCAACTTGTGCGAGGGACACCCCGTCGGAGAAGGCGCTCGATGCACGAGTAAGGCGCCGAAGAATTCATCGACAGGGATCGTTGACGGTGCGCGTGCAGTCGAAAAGGGTTTGTGCAAGGGTGGTGACGCGAGATGGTCTGAATGCGCGAGTGCTATCGAAGGAAGAGTCAAGTCAAGTGGTGACAAGTGTATTTGTGGTCAAGAAGAAGTGGAAACTACATCCAAGGCGAACGACGACTACGAGATGTCCAGATGTGACATGGTGCTGGACGATGGGGGAGCTGGAATACCTGGAACGCTCGGTATCATCGAGGTTGGCTGGAGCGCAGGGGCAAGACTCAATCAAGATTCCCATGGTGCACGGATGCAGCAGTGAGGATTACAGGCGGGTCGATACCAAAGTGGTCTGCATCTCATGTCGTCGAGGGGGAGTGTTGTAAGTGCATGATGCACTGGATTCGACTCCAGAGATTCGACCCATGATAGGGTATGTCTAGAATGTTCTTTAGGGTTCTATGCATTATTATAGGTCGTACGGCAGCTAGACGTATAGATAGTTCTCACTTGTAGATTGACAAACCACTGATAAGGCCCCCGGCGGGGGGCCGAAACGCGTCTGGTGCGCGGTAATATACAAGTCATTTACTTCACTTAACTCCTACTTCTTACAGGTTATGAGCCCAAGTTCGTCAGACTCTGAAACCGCCAACAATTCAAGCTTAGCTGCCATGGACGCCTCCTCCCTCCGCATCTCCAAGTTCGATGGAACTAACTTCCACGCCTGGAAGTTCAAGATGCAGATGGTGCTGGAGGAACGGGACCTATGGGAGTTCGTCAGCGGTGAGATCAAGGCGGAACAGTGCGAGACTCAGTTGGACCAAGCGACGTACAAGAGGAAGTCAAGAAAGGCGATGGCAGTGATCTGTCTAGCCATGGAAGATTCCCAGCTACCGTTGGTCCGGTCGGCAAGTGGTGCATGCGACGCATGGTCAAGGTTGGAAGACCACTTCGAGAAGAAGAGTCTTGCCAACAAGCTGTTCTTGCGCCGTCGCTTCTTCACGACAATGATGGAAGAAGGCGACGATGTGCTCGAACACATCAACAAGCTCAAGACGCTGGCGGAACAGCTAGAAGCGGTGGGGGCTCCAGTCTGCGAGGACGATCTGGTGATCACACTCCTCGGCAGCCTGAGTGACTCGTATCAATTCTTGATCACAGCTTTGGAGTCGCGCTCAGACACTCTTAGCTGGGAGCTCGTGACGTCTCGACTGCTTCATGAAGAAATGAAGCGGAAGGAGCAAGGAAGTAAAGGTGATGAAGCTTCGCAAGGTCAAGCGTTCATCACAAGGGACAATCAGCGCAAAGGGCGACCAGTGAAGAAGTCCTGGCCGTGCCACAATTGCGGAAAGATTGGTCACTGGATGGCGGAGTGCCCCTCGCGCATCCAAGAAAACACGGAGAGACACCGGCCACAGCGTGCTCAAGACAGCGGCGACCGCTATCGATCACAACGTGCAAACGTCGCTCAAGAAGAAGACTCGGGCGACTACCTCTTTTCGATCGGTGAAACGACATCTGCGAAATCGAGCGACATCTGGCTGGTCGACTCCGGGGCGACGCAGCACATGACGTGCTCCAAGAAGTTCATGCGGAACTACAAGGGGTTTGACGCTGTGGATGTCCATCTCGCGGATGATGGAATCGTCCAAGCAATCGGCAGTGGGGAAATTGTCATGTCGATGAAGACACCCCAAGGGATGAAGAAAGGTGTGCTCACAAACGTGTGGCACATCCCAAAGTTATCCAGAAACCTGTTCTCGGTCGGCCGCTTCACCAAGGATGTCGGCCCAGTGACGTTCACGAAGGATGGGTGCTATGGAGAAGCGAAAGGGACCAAGTGGAAAATTGGTGCCCGTGAAGGTAAAGGACTGTTCAAGCTGCAAATGACTCCAGTGGCGCCGGAACAAGCAAATGCAGCCAAGTCGTCGGGATGTCAAGGGGGCACCAAGTCGTACCTCTGGCACCTTCGGCTTGGCCACATAGGTCACGATGGACTCAATTGCATCGTGACGAAGAACATTGGAATTGGCATCGACATATCTTCGGTGAAGAAGTGGGACGTGTGTGAAGGTTGTGCTCTGGGAAAACAGACTCGAGTGCGCTTCCAATCAAACACTACAGCTCGCACCTCCAAACTCCTCGAAGTGATTCACAGCGACGTATGCGGACCGATGTCGATGGCAACTTTCAGTGGAAAACGGTACTTCGTGACATTCATTGATGACAAGTCAAGATACTGTGTCGTCTATCTGCTCAAGAGCAAATCTGAAGTTGCGGCGAAGTTCATGGAATACGCTGCGATGGCCGAAACGCAAACCGGAAAGCGCGTGAAGTACCTTCAAAGCGACAATGGGGGTGAATACAAGTCCGACAAGCTGGCACGATTCTGCGCGGAACGGGGAATACAACAAAGGTTCACACCTCCATATACTCCTCAGCTAAACGGAGTAGCTGAGAGAATGAATCGCACGCTGGTCGAGTGTGCGCGTTGCATGATGGAACACGCTGGACTGGGAAAGAGCTACTGGGGTGAAGCAGTGATGACGGCGATGTTTCTTCGAAACCGCTGTCCAACACGTGCCATTCACCAAGACAAGTCTCCATATCAAGTGTGGACGATGAAGAAACCGATTCTGGCCAACCTTAAAGTGTTTGGATGCCACGCGTATGTTCAAGTGCCTCAAGACAAACGCGCGAAGTTCGACTCCAAGTCATCACTCTGTCGTTTCCTGGGATACGCCGAACACCAGAAGTCATATCGATTTGAGGAAGTGTCAACAGGAGCGATCAAGATCAGTCGCGATGCCACATTCATGGAAGACAAGTTTGATGAAGGTCCGCGCAACTACAACGATGAGTCAAGTGTCGTTGAGTTTGATGATCATGATGAGGACGAAGAAAAAGAAGAAGGTAAAACTGACGACGACATGGACTCGAGCGACGATGACAACGAAGACACCAGGTCTTCGAAGAGCAACATCAAGAGACACACGCGCACTCAATCACTTGAGAAAGCTACCGTCATTCCAAGCCCCAAGCGAAGAACATACAGAGGTCCGTCGCTTGAGCATGTGTCAGCGGCTGCAATGGATTTTGAAGCAGCCTACATCGTTGATTCAGTGGGGAAACGCCGACTACATTCAAGTCGGCGATGGAATCAAGTGACTCCGGCAAGTGGAAAGAAGCGTGTGACTCGGAGTTCGATTCGCTTCAGAGAAACGACACGTGGGAAATCGTGCCTCTTCCGAAAGGTCGCAAGGCCATCGGGTGCCGATGGGTTTTTCGTGTAAAGGAGAATCAAGATGGCGAAGTTGAACGTTTCAAGGCAAGACTTGTGGCCAAAGGATTCTCACAGAAATTCGGAGTTGACTATGAAGAAACTTTCGCACCGGTGGCCAAGTTCACATCGATTCGTGTGGTGCTCAGTATGGCGGCTAAGTACGGCCTAATGCTACATCAGATGGACGTCAAGACAGCGTTTCTTAACGGCTCCCTCAACGAAGACATCTACATGGACCAGCCGGACGGATACCTGGATACAACACAGCCGGACTATGTGTGCAAGCTAAAGAGATCACTCTACGGCTTGAAGCAATCGCCTCGCATGTGGAACCAAACAATCGATGGGTTCATGATCAAGATGGGATTCAAGAAGTGCGAATCGGACCACTGCATCTACATCAAGCGAGACGACCAAGACATGATTCTCGTGGTGCTCTACGTCGATGATCTCATCCTGGCCAGCAGCAACAACGAACTCCTCAAGTCAACCAAGATAGCGCTGAGCAAACGCTTCGAAATGACGGATCTCGGTGAGCTCGATTACTTTCTCGGCATGGAGATCAAGAACGACCGTAAGACGGGAATGGTGACTGTACAACAAACCAAGTTTCTCAAGTCCGTGTTAACCAAGTTCGGAATGGATAACAGCAAGCCAGTGAAGACGCCTCAAGATCCCGGCCTGAAGCTAACCAAGAACATGTGTGAACAAGAATGCAAGCACGAAGACACCATGTGCAACGTGCCATATCGAAGTGCTGTCGGAGGCATCATGTATCTCATGGTCGCCACACGTCCGGATCTAGCTGCTGCAGTGGGATCATTATCCCAGTTCTCGTCCGACCCATGCCCGACTCACTGGCAAGCTTTGAAGCGTGTGCTGAGATACCTGCAAGCAACGCCCAATCATGGTCTTGAGTTTACACGTGAAGAAGGAAGCCGTATCTGCGGGTACACCGACGCAGACTGGGCCGGCGACATTGAGTCAAGACGAAGTACAAGCGGCTATGTGTTCATGATGAGCGGAGGATGCATCAGCTGGAAAAGCCAGAAACAACGGACGGTCGCGCTATCTTCAACAGAAGCAGAATACATGGCGCTTTCCGAAGCAACCAAAGAAGCAGTATGGCTCAAAGTGCTTTTGGGGGAACTTGGTGAGATGACAAGCGACGAAGCGATCAAGATATATGAAGACAACCAAGGATCAATCGCTCTCGCCAAGAACCCGGAGTTCCATAAGAGAACGAAACACATCGACATACGCTACCATTTTGTACGTGAGAAGGTGGAATCAGGTGAAGTCGTTTTGGAGTATTGCCCGACTCAAGATATGCTGGCAGACATGATGACCAATCCGATCGCCGCTGTACAATTTGAAAACATTCGCGATCGACTTGGGATCCAAGGTGCCGCAGCTAACGAGTCGAGAGGGAGTGTTGAAAAGACAGCGGCTGTGAAGAAGACACCTCGTCAAGCTGCGTCAAGTGTTGAAGCAAGTGGAAGACCAAGCTTCGCTATACCGGTGGGTACCGGTATGTACCAGTAAGGGCGAAGTCAGGAAATGACGTCACTGGATGACGTCATTGCATGACGTCAGTGGGTGACGTCAGTGGGTGACGTCACTGGATGGCGTCACTGCGAATAATAGGCTTAGAGGTAGTATTCAAAGTTGCGAACTAAGTACCTATTATAAATATATATGCACTTTGCGTTTTGCACTCGGACCAAGAAGTCTAAAGTTCATCAGGTTATGAGCCCAAGTGCTCGCTGCAGACACCTCACCAAGGACCAACTTGTGCGAGGGACACCCCGTCAGAGAAGGCGCTCGATGCACGAGTAAGGCGCCGAAGAATTCATCGACAGGGATCGTTGACGGTGCGCGTGCAGTCGAAAAGGGTTTGTGCAAGGGTGGTGACGCGAGATGGTCTGAATGCGCGAGTGCTATCGAAGGAAGAGTCAAGTCAAGTGGTGACAAGTGTATTTGTGGTCAAGAAGAAGTGGAAACTACATCCAAGGCGAACGACGACTACGAGATGTCCAGATGTGACATGGTGCTGGACGATGGGGGAGCTGGAATACCTGGAACGCTCGGTATCATCGAGGTTGGCTGGAGCGCAGGGGCAAGACTCAATCAAGATTCCCATGGTGCACGGATGCAGCAGTGAGGATTACAGGCGGGTCGATACCAAAGTGGTCTGCATCTCATGTCGTCGAGGGGGAGTGTTGTAAGTGCATGATGCACTGGATTCGACTCCAGAGATTCGACCCATGATAGGGTATGTCTAGAATGTTCTTTAGGGTTCTATGCATTATTATAGGTCGTACGGCAGCTAGACGTATAGATAGTTCTCACTTGTAGATTGACAAACCACTGATAAGGCCCCCCGGCGGGGGGCCGAAACGCGTCTGGTGCGCGGTAATATACAAGTCATTTACTTCACTTAACTCCTACTTCTTACAGGTTATGAGCCCAAGTTCGTCAGACTCTGAAACCGCCAACAATTCAAGCTTAGCTGCCATGGACGCCTCCTCCCTCCGCATCTCCAAGTTCGATGGAACTAACTTCCACGCCTGGAAGTTCAAGATGCAGATGGTGCTGGAGGAACGGGACCTATGGGAGGTCGTCAGCGGTGAGATCAAGGCGGAACAGTGCGAGACTCAGTTGGACCAAGCGACGTACAAGAGGAAGTCAAGAAAGGCGATGGCAGTGATCTGTCTAGCCATGGAAGATTCCCAGCTACCGTTGGTCCGGTCGGCAAGTGGTGCATGCGACGCATGGTCAAGGTTGGAAGACCACTTCGAGAAGAAGAGTCTTGCCAACAAGCTGTTCTTGCGCCGTCGCTTCTTCACGACAATGATGGAAGAAGGCGACGATGTGCTCGAACACATCAACAAGCTCAAGACGCTGGCGGAACAGCTAGAAGCGGTGGGGACTCCAGTCTGCGAGGACGATCTGGTGATCACACTCCTCGGCAGCCTGAGTGACTCGTATCAATTCTTGATCACAGCTTTGGAGTCGCGCTCAGACACTCTTAGCTGGGAGCTCGTGACGTCTCGACTGCTTCATGAAGAAATGAAGCGGAAGGAGCAAGGAAGTAAAGGTGATGAAGCTTCGCAAGGTCAAGCGTTCATCACAAGGGACAATCAGCGCAAAGGGCGACCAGTGAAGAAGTCCTGGCCGTGCCACAATTGCGGAAAGATTGGTCACTGGATGGCGGAGTGCCCCTCGCGCATCCAAGAAAACACGGAGAGACACCGGCCACAGCGTGCTCAAGACAGCGGCGACCGCTATCGATCACAACGTGCAAACGTCGCTCAAGAAGAAGACTCGGGCGACTACCTCTTTTCGATCGGTGAAACGACATCTGCGAAATCGAGCGACATCTGGCTGGTCGACTCCGGGGCGACGCAGCACATGACGTGCTCCAAGAAGTTCATGCGGAACTACAAGGGGTTTGACGCTGTGGATGTCCATCTCGCGGATGATGGAATCGTCCAAGCAATCGGCGTTGGGGAAATTGTCATGTCGATGAAGACACCCCAAGGGATGAAGAAAGGTGTGCTCACAAACGTGTGGCACATCCCAAAGTTATCCAGAAACCTGTTCTCGGTCGGCCGCTTCACCAATGATGTCGGCCCAGTGACGTTCACGAAGGATGGGTGCTATGGAGAAGCGAAAGGGACCAAGTGGAAAATTGGTGCCCGTGAAGGTAAAGGACTGTTCAAGCTGCAAATGACTCCAGTGGCGCCGGAACAAGCAAATGCAGCCAAGTCGTCGGGATGTCAAGGGGGCACCAAGTCGTACCTCTGGCACCTTCGGCTTGGCCACATAGGTCACGATGGACTCAATTGCATCGTGACGAAGAACATTGGAATTGGCATCGACATATCTTCGGTGAAGAAGTGGGACGTGTGTGAAGGTTGTGCTCTGGGAAAACAGACTCGAGTGCGCTTCCAATCAAACACTACAGCTCGCACCTCCAAACTCCTCGAAGTGATTCACAGCGACGTAGGCGGACCGATGTCGATGGCAACTTTCAGTGGAAAACGGTACTTCGTGACATTCATTGATGACAAGTCAAGATACTGTGTCGTCTATCTGCTCAAGAGCAAATCTGAAGTTGCGGCGAAGTTCATGGAATACGCTGCGATGGCCGAAACGCAAACCGGAAAGCGCGTGAAGTACCTTCAAAGCGACAATGGGGGTGAATACAAGTCCGACAAGCTGGCACGATTCTGCGCGGAACGGGGAATACAACAAAGGTTCACACCTCCATATACTCCTCAGCTAAACGGAGTAGCTGAGAGAATGAATCGCACGCTGGTCGAGTGTGCGCGTTGCATGATGGAACACGCTGGACTGGGAAAGAGCTACTGGGGTGAAGCAGTGATGACGGCGATGTTTCTTCGAAACCGCTGTCCAACACGTGCCATTCACCAAGACAAGTCTCCATATCAAGTGTGGACGATGAAGAAACCGATTCTGGCCAACCTTAAAGTGTTTGGATGCCACGCGTATGTTCAAGTGCCTCAAGACAAACGCGCGAAGTTCGACTCCAAGTCATCACTCTGTCGTTTCCTGGGATACGCCGAACACCAGAAGTCATATCGATTTGAGGAAGTGTCAACAGGAGCGATCAAGATCAGTCGCGATGCCACATTCATGGAAGACAAGTTTGATGAAGGTCCGCGCAACTACAACGATGAGTCAAGTGTCGTTGAGTTTGATGATCATGATGAGGACGAAGAAAAAGAAGAAGGTAAAACTGACGACGACATGGACTCGAGCGACGATGACAACGAAGACACCAGGTCTTCGAAGAGCAACATCAAGAGACACACGCGCACTCAATCACTTGAGAAAGCTACCGTCATTCCAAGCCCCAAGCGAAGAACATACAGAGGTCCGTCGCTTGAGCATGTGTCAGCGGCTGCAATGGATTTTGAAGCAGCCTACATCGTTGATTCAGTGGGGAAACGCCGACTACATTCAAGTCGGCGATGGAATCAAGTGACTCCGGCAAGTGGAAAGAAGCGTGTGACTCGGAGTTCGATTCGCTTCAGAGAAACGACACGTGGGAAATCGTGCCTCTTCCGAAAGGTCGCAAGGCCATCGGGTGCCGATGGGTTTTTCGTGTAAAGGAGAATCAAGATGGCGAAGTTGAACGTTTCAAGGCAAGACTTGTGGCCAAAGGATTCTCACAGAAATTCGGAGTTGACTATGAAGAAACTTTCGCACCGGTGGCCAAGTTCACATCGATTCGTGTGGTGCTCAGTATGGCGGCTAAGTACGGCCTAATGCTACATCAGATGGACGTCAAGACAGCGTTTCTTAACGGCTCCCTCAACGAAGACATCTACATGGACCAGCCGGACGGATACCTGGATGCAACACAGCCGGACTATGTGTGCAAGCTAAAGAGATCACTCTACGGCTTGAAGCAATCGCCTCGCATGTGGAACCAAACAATCGATGGGTTCATGATCAAGATGGGATTCAAGAAGTGCGAATCGGACCACTGCATCTACATCAAGCGAGACGACCAAGACATGATTCTCGTGGTGCTCTACGTCGATGATCTCATCCTGGCCAGCAGCAACAACGAACTCCTCAAGTCAACCAAGATAGCGCTGAGCAAACGCTTCGAAATGACGGATCTCGGTGAGCTCGATTACTTTCTCGGCATGGAGATCAAGAACGACCGTAAGACGGGAATGGTGACTGTACAACAAACCAAGTTTCTCAAGTCCGTGTTAACCAAGTTCGGAATGGATAACAGCAAGCCAGTGAAGACGCCTCAAGATCCCGGCCTGAAGCTAACCAAGAACATGTGTGAACAAGAATGCAAGCACGAAGACACCATGTGCAACGTGCCATATCGAAGTGCTGTCGGAGGCATCATGTATCTCATGGTCGCCACACGTCCGGATCTAGCTGCTGCAGTGGGATCATTATCTCAGTTCTCGTCCGACCCATGCCCGACTCACTGGCAAGCTTTGAAGCGTGTGCTGAGATACCTGCAAGCAACGCATAATCATGGTCTTGAGTTTACACGTGAAGAAGGAAGCCGTATCTGCGGGTACACCGACGCAGACTGGGCCGGCGACATTGAGTCAAGACGAAGTACAAGCGGCTATGTGTTCATGATGAGCGGAGGATGCATCAGCTGGAAAAGCCAGAAACAACGGACGGTCGCGCTATCTTCAACAGAAGCAGAATACATGGCGCTTTCCGAAGCAACCAAAGAAGCAGTATGGCTCAAAGTGCTTTTGGGGGAACTTGGTGAGATGACAAGCGACGAAGCGATCAAGATGTATGAAGACAACCAAGGATCAATCGCTCTCGCCAAGAACCCGGAGTTCCATAAGAGAACAAAACACATCGACATACGCTACCATTTTGTGCGTGAGAAGGTGGAATCAGGTGAAGTCGTTTTGGAGTATTGCCCGACTCAAGATATGCTGGCAGACATGATGACCAAGCCGATCGCCGCTGTACAATTTGAAAACATTCGCGATCGACTTGGGATCCAAGGTGCCGCAGCTAACGAGTCGAGAGGGAGTGTTGAAAAGACAGCGGCTGTGAAGAAGACACCTCGTCAAGCTGCGTCAAGTGTTGAAGCAAGTGGAAGACCAAGCTTCGCTATACCGGTGGGTACCGGTATGTACCAGTAAGGGCGAAGTCAGGAAATGACGTCACTGGATGACGTCATTGCATGACGTCAGTGGGTGACGTCAGTGGGTGACGTCACTGGATGACGTCACTGCGAATAATAGGCTTAGAGGTAGTATTCAAAGTTGCGAACTAAGTACCTATTATAAATATATATTCACTTTGCGTTTTGCACTCGGACCAAGAAGTCTAAAGTTCATCAAACACGACTTGAAACTTGCCGTGCTTGTTGATCTGCGGTACCGAAAGCAGATTCTTGCTCATGCTTGGTACGTAAAGCACGTTTTCGATCTCGATCTCACGCTCTTCACCGTCGGGCAGAACCACCTTTTCAAAGATAGTTCCAACACCCTTGATGGCCATTGTGTTGCCATCCGCCACCAAGATTTCACCGTCGTTGCGCTTGTTCATTCTTGCAAACTTGGTCTTGTCGTGTCATATGTGGTGTGTTGCACCACTGTCGACGGCTCACATTCCGGACACGTCCTTCTTCGCTGAGAGTCCACACTCTAGCGAAACTGCAAACGCTAATTGATCGTAGTCGCTGTCTTCATCACGATATTGTCCCCACTGGACATTGTTTGCCCCGCGTCCACGACCATTGCCGCCGCGTCGGTCTCCTCGACTTTCATTATTCTGCTTGGACCAACAGCGATCGACGGTGTGTCCCAGCTTCCCACAGTAGGTGCACTTGTATGGCTCGCGCTCAGTGTTGAAGGCCTTGGCTGCATCTTCAGTCTTGACCATCGTCGCTGTTGTTGTCACCTTCTCCCCTTGGCGCTTGGTGTGCTCATTCGTGAGCACCTTCACCACATCTTGGGTACGAAGCTCTGCGCTGCTCATCTCCAAGTTAAGAACAACGTTTTCTCAAAACTCTTAGGGAGGCTGAGCAGCAGGCAAATTGCGACGTCCTCATCGTCCATCTTCGCACCGATGCTGCTAAGCTTGGCAGCGATGTTCAGGACCTCGTTGCAGTGATGCATGACGATGGCGCCTTCATCCATCTTCATGCTGAAGAGTTGACGCTTGAGGTAGATCTTTCCCGCTTTCTGGGATCCACCGTACAGCACCTTCAGGCTCTGCCACGCAACCCACGCTTCCTTGCAGTTGTCGACCACATGGTGGTAGTCTGCGCCCATGTGTAGCAACATCTTTCCAAACGCGATGTTGTTGGTCTTGACGTAGTCGTCCTGCGCTCGAGGGTCCACGAACGTCGAGGAGCTCTCCCGGTTGACAGTATGCCACACTGACTTTGTCAGGAACACGCCACGCATATATCGACTCCAGGTTGAATAGTTGTCCCCATCGAACTTATCGATGAGGGCGTTGGAGGATGCATGGCCGGCAGAAGACATTGCGCTTGGGCTCATAACCTGTTAAAAGTATGGCACGGGTGTGACGAGAAGACTGGAAGAGACCGGAGGGAGCGAAGAGGCTGGAGGAGCGGAGCAGAGAAGACTTGCTCGGTAGAAGGAGAATTCGAAAGTGATTGATTGTCGGGGCTTACTTCTTACTACATTATTTATGTGTGGCTTACTTCTTACTACATGATTTATGTGTGGTGCACATATAAATCATGTAGTATGTAGTAAGCCCCGATAATCAATCACTTTCGAATTATCCTTCTGCCGAGCAAGTCTTCTCTGCTCCGCTCCGACAGCCTCTTCGCTTCCTCCGGTCTCTTCTGGTCTTCTCGTCACTCCCGTGTCACACCATCGACACGGTCCATCAAGAGCATCTTTAAATGTTGTCAGCTCAGACAATTCAGTACCTTCTGTTGCATTGTAGATCGGAGCGAGGAAAGCGGAGCAAACGGAGCGGAGAGACCGAAGAGAGTAGAGCAGAAAACACTTGCCCAATAGTTGGAAGATTCGAAAGTGATTGATTATCGGGGCTTACTACTTACTACATGATTTATATGTGGTGTACATATAAATCATGTGAAGCGTCTCATCATCCTACGCGTCTAATCAACTATGGTAATTACCGTAAGAACTACGTCGTAAATACTAAGCTGAACAGGCGGTTCGGATTGGATCGGTCACGGTTACCAATACTGGTAGAAAACCGATGATCGTCAACACGCCCCCTCAATCCGAATGCTCACGAATCCCGAGAGTCGCCGTCATCTCCTTGTGGCGTGGCCCGTGAAGTCCCTTCGTCATGATGTCCGCTAACATCACCGCAGTTTCACAGTACTTGAGCTTCACTTCACCGCGCTTGACCTCATCACGGATGTGATGGTACTTGATATCAATGTGCTTGGCACGGCCGTGGTTGACTGGGTTCTTCGTCATCTTGATACACGACTGATTGTCTTCATGGATCATGAGTTCCGGTCCTTCTTCATTGGCAGCCATCACGATCTCACAAAGCAGACGATAAATCCACTTGCCCTCTTGAATCGCCAAGCTGAGTGCGATGTATTCGGCTTCACTCGTGGACAACGAAACACTTGGCTGCTTCTTGCTGCCCCAACTGACTGGCGCACCGAGTAGCATGAACGTGTACCCCGATGTTGACTTGCGGTCGGTAAGATCACCAGCCCAATCCGCATCCGAAAATCCACGGAAGTCGATCCTTGCACTTGGCTTGTAGCAAATTCCATGCGTCTTGGTGCCTTGTAGGTAGCGAAAGATACGCTTAACTGCAACCCAGTGTTCTTCTTGGGGATTTTCCATGAACCGCGACACATAGCCCACAGCAAACGCAATGTCCGGACGCGTTGCAGTGGTCAGGTGCATCAACGCACCAACAGCTTCGCGAAAAGGAGCATCGACCTTGGTAGTTGCATCACTTGAAACAAGTAGAGAGCTCATGTCGACTGGACTTGCGACTGCCTTGCAATCATCCATGCCAAAGCGCTTGAGGATATCATCGACATACCGACGCTGACATAGTGTCACACTGCCATCTTCACCGTCCAAAAGCTCGATCCCAAGAACAAACGCACACTTGCCGCTGTCCGTCATTTCGAACCGCGTCTTCAGGTCGTTCTTGGTTTGTGCAATCAGCTCGAGTGAGCTTCCTGTCACCAACACGTCATCCACATAGACCAGTATAAACACGCAATGGCCGTCCGAAGTCTTGATGTAGAGACATGGGTCGAAGCCTGACACTTGAAATCCAATGGAACACACATACTCGTCGAACGTCTCGTTCCACACTCGCGACGCTTGCTTGAGGCCGTAAATTGACTTCACCAATTCCAGGCAGTCGAACGTACTGTCAAGTTCGACGCCTTCAGGAATCACGCAGAACACTTGTTCCTTCATGACGCCATACAGGAAAGCTGTCACCACATCAAGCTGGTCGATGGGCCATCCAAAATGCTTGGAAATTGCGATCACCATTCGCAGCGTCACATACTTGACCACAGGCGAAAACGTCTCCGTGTAGTCGATGCCATACTTTTGGCGGAAACCCTTGGCCACAAGTCGTGCCTTGTACTTCTCGATTGACCCATCCGCCTTGCGCTTGATCTTGAACACCCATTTTGTGCCAATGGCGCGTTGTCCGTTGGGCAGCTTGGCTGCACGAAACACACCGCGAAGTCGCATTGACTCGAGCTCTGCATGAATTGCTTTTCTCCAGTGCACTTGGTCAGGGCCGCTTACTGCTGCTTCAAATGTTGAGGGTTCTGATAAGTCCACTGCTGCTTCAACGGCATTTGCACTCGCACGCCAAAACACAGGCGGTGTTGAATCACCAGAATCCTTCGTTTCTTCGTCTTCTTCTTGTCGTGACGAGTTGTTTTCCGGCGCGCTTGACTCTTCTAGTCCTGGTCGTTGACGCACTGCACGCGGTCGTGGAGCTGCTGTATCTTCATCATTGAGTCGGTTCTTGCGCTTGCCTGTTTGCTTGTACTCCATTTGACGCAGCTCTTCGTCATCAAGATCCAGCAATTCGAAGTCCAGGTCATCGACATCTTCATCAATGATCGGCAGTTGAAGTCCAAAGGTGGACTCGTCGAAGTTGACATCGCGGCTGATAACCACCTGCCCCGCCTCGATGTCATAAACACGATATGCCTTCGAAACTTCTTCGTAGCCCACGAATATGCCAGCGCGAGCCTTTGGATCCCACTTGAGTCGATTCTCTTTAGGCGTCAGTATGTATGTCTGACACCCGAATGTTCGCATGTGCTTGACGCTTGGTTTCAAGTTGTAGACGATCTCAAACGGGGTCTTGTGCACGACTTTAGGTGACGGCAGTCGATTCTTGACGTAGATGGCCGTCATCGCTGCTTCGGCCCAGAAACACTTGTCCAGTTTGGCATGATGAAGCATGCTGCGGCCGATCGTGACAATAGTCCTAATGGCACGCTCTGCTGTTCCGTTTGTTTGATGTGCATACGGCACCGTTGTCTGCTGTTCAATGCCTTCGTCTTCGTAGAACAGTTGAAGCGAGTTGGTTGCAAACTCGCGAGCTCCGTCGTGTCGCACGAACTTGACCTTCTTACAGAATTGCGTCTGTACCATGGTGATATATTTCCGGATGTAGTCTTCACTCTCGGACTTCACTCGTAGACAAAAGCCCTTCATGCATCCACTGGCTTCGTCGATGATCAGCAGCAAATATTTGCTGCCACCGAGCGAATCCTTTTCCATGGGCCCGCAGATGTCCAGATGAAGTAGCTCAAACGTATCGTAGCTGCGCTTGTCTCGGTTGCTTGGAAATGGTTTTTGGACCATTTTCCCTTGTTGACATCCTCGACATGTAGTTGCTCCACCCGACTTGAGAGGGACTCGCACATCCTTGATCATGTTGGTCGCGATCATCTTGCGAAGTACATCGACTGGAGCATGACCCATTCTCGCATGTAGATCGGCACAACTGGTTCCACTTGTTGTCACATTCGCTGATCGTTGAGTCGTCCGAAGCCAGTAGAGTCCATCCACGAGATCCGCTGTCGCCACCACTTGCTGTGAGTTCTTGAGAGTCACATACATCTTGGACCCGTCAAACACGACTTGAAACTTGCCATGGCTGTTAATCTGTGGCACCGAGAGCAGGTTCTTGCTCATACTTGGAACATATAGCGCGTTCTTGATTTCGATCTCACGCTCTTCACCGTTGGGCAGAACCACCTTTTCCATGATGGTTCCCACACCCTTGATGGCCACCTTGTTGCCATCAGCCACCAAGAGTTCGCCCTCATTGCGCTCTGCCAAACTTGCGAACTTGGTCTTGTCGTGGCGAATGTGGTGCGTTGCACCACTGTCGACGGCCCACATTCCAGACACGTCCTTGCTCGTCGAAACTCCACATTCGAACGAGACTGCAAACGCCACTCGATCGTAGCCATTGCCTTCATCATGATGTCCCCACTGGACATTGTTAGCCCCGCGTCCACGACCATTGCCGCCGCGTCGGGCTCCCCGACCTTCGTTCTTCTGCTTTGTCCAGCAACGATCCACCGTGTGTCCCACCTTGCCACAATACGTGCATTGGTAGGGCTCACGCTCGGCGCTGAATGCCTTGCTTGCATCTTCAGCCTTCACCGTAGTCGCTGTCGTTGTCCCTTTTTCTCCTTGACGCTTGGCATGCTCATTCGTCAGGACTCTCACCACATCTTGAGTGCGAAGCTCGGTGCTGCTCATTTCCATGTTGAGCACCACATTTTCGTAGCTCTTCGGAAGACTGAGTAGCAGACAAATTGCAACGTCTTCGTCTTCCATCTTCGCACCGATGCCGCTAAGCTTGGCGGAGATGTTGAGGACCTCGTTGCAGTGATGCATGACGTTCGCGCCTTCAGCCATCTTGATACTGAAAAGTTGTCGCTTGAGGTAGATGCGTCCTGCCTTCTGCGACCCACCGTACAGCGTCTTCAGACTTGTCCACGCAACCCAGGCTTCCTCGCAGTTGTCCAGCACATGATGGTAGTCCGCGTTCATGTGCAGCAGCATCATACCAAACGCGACGTTGCTTGCCTTGACGTAGTCATCGGACGCTCGCGGGTCGGTGAAAGTCGGAGTCACTTCACGGTTGACGACGTGCCAGACGGACTTCGTCAAAAACACACCGCGCATGTACCGGCTCCACGTTGCGTAATTGTCTCCGTTGAACTTGTCAATGGAGGCGTTGCTGGTGAACGACATGGCGCTTGGGCTCATAACCTGTTGCATTGTAGATCGGAGCGAGGAAAGCGGAGCAAACGGAGCGGAGAGACCGAAGAGAGTAGAGCAGAAAACACTTGCCCAATAGTTGGAAGATTCGAAAAGTGATTGATTATCGGGGCTTACTACTTACTACATGATTTATATGTGGTGTACATATAAATCATGTGAAGCGTCTCATCATCCTACGCGTCTAATCAACTATGGTAATTACCGTAAGAACTCGTTGACGGTCATCGGTTTTCTACCAGTATTGGTAACCGTGACCGATCCAATCCGAACCGCCTGTTCAGCTTAGTATTTACGACGTAGTTCTTACGGTAATTACCATAGTTGATTAGACGCGTAGGATGATGAGACGCTTCACATGATTTATATGTAGTCCACATATAAATCATGTAGTAAGTAGTAAGCCCCGATAATCAATCACTTTCGAATCTTCCAACTATTGGGCAAGTGTTTTCTGCTCTACTCTCTTCGGTCTCTCCGCTCCGTTTGCTCCGCTTTCCTCGCTCCGATCTACAATGCAACAGGTTATGAGCCCAAGCGCCATGTCGTCCACCAGCAACGCCTCCATTGACAAGTTCAACGGAGACAATTACGCAACGTGGAGCCGGTACATGCGCGGTGTGTTTTTGACGAAGTCCGTCTGGCACGTTGTCAACCGTGAAGTGACTCCGACTTTCACCGACCCGCGAGCGTCCGATGACTACGTCAAGGCAAGCAACGTCGCGTTTGGTATGATGCTGCTGCACATGAACGCGGACTACCATCATGTGCTGGACAACTGCGAGGAAGCCTGGGTTGCGTGGACAAGTCTGAAGACGCTGTACGGTGGGTCGCAGAAGGCAGGACGCATCTACCTCAAGCGACAACTTTTTGTTGAAAAGACAGCGGCTGTGAAGAAGACACCTCGTCAAGCTGCGTCAAGTGTTGAAGCAAGTGGAAGACCAAGCTTCGCTATACCGGTGGGTACCGGTATGTACCAGTAAGGGCGAAGTCAGGAAATGACGTCACTGGATGACGTCATTGCATGACGTCAGTGGGTGACGTCAGTGGGTGACGTCACTGCGAATAATAGGCTTAGAGGTAGTATTCAAAGTTGCGAACTAAGTACCTATTATAAATATATATGCACTTTGCGTTTTGCACTCGGACCAAGAAGTCTAAAGTTCATCAGGTTATGAGCCCAAGTTCGTCAGACTCTGAAACCGCCAACAATTCAAGCTTAGCTGCCATGGACGCCTCCTCCCTCCGCATCTCCAAGTTCGATGGAACTAACTTCCACGCCTGGAAGTTCAAGATGCAGATGGTGCTGGAGGAACGGGACCTGTGGGGGGTCTTCAGCGGCGAGATCAAGGTGGAACAGTGCGTGACTCAGTTGGACCAAGCGGCGTACAAGAGGAAGTCAAGAAAGGCGATGGCAGTGATCTGTCTAGCCATGGAAGATTCCCAGCTACCGTTGGTCCGGTCGGCAAGTGGTGCATGCGACGCATGGTCAAGGTTGGAAGACCACTTCGAGAAGAAGAGTCTTGCCAACAAGCTGTTCTTGCGCCGTCGCTTCTTCACGACAATGATGGAAGAAGGCGACGATGTGCTCGAACACATCAACAAGCTCAAGACGCTGGCGGAACAGCTAGAAGCGGTGGGGACTCCAGTCTGCGAGGACGATCTGGTGATCACACTCCTCGGCAGCCTGAGTGACTCGTATCAATTCTTGATCACAGCTTTGGAGTCGCGCTCAGACACTCTTAGCTGGGAGCTCGTGACGTCTCGACTGCTTCATGAAGAAATGAAGCGGAAGGAGCAAGGGAAGTAAAGGTGATGAAGCTTCGCAAGGTCAAGCGTTCATCACAAGGGACAATCAGCGCAAAGGGCGACCAGTGAAGAAGTCCTGGCCGTGCCACAATTGCGGAAAGATTGGTCACTGGATGGCGGAGTGCCCCTCGCGCATCCAAGAAAACACGGAGAGACACCGGCCACAGCGTGCTCAAGACAGCGGCGACCGCTATCGATCACAACGTGCAAACGTCGCTCAAGAAGAAGACTCGGGCGACTACCTCTTTTCGATCGGTGAAACGACATCTGCGAAATCGAGCGACATCTGGCTGGTCGACTCCGGGGCGACGCAGCACATGACGTGCTCCAAGAAGTTCATGCGGAACTACAAGGGGTTTGACGCTGTGGATGTCCATCTCGCGGATGATGGAATCGTCCAAGCAATCGGCAGTGGGGACATTGTCATGTCGATGAAGACACCCCAAGGGATGAAGAAAGGTGTGCTCACAAACGTGTGGCACATCCCAAAGTTATCCAGAAACCTGTTCTCGGTCGGCCGCTTCACCAATGATGTCGGCCCAGTGACGTTCACGAAGGATGGGTGCTATGGAGAAGCGAAAGGGACCAAGTGGAAAATTGGTGCCCGTGAAGGTAAAGGACTGTTCAAGCTGCAAATGACTCCAGTGGCGCCGGAACAAGCAAATGCAGCCAAGTCGTCGGGATGTCAAGGGGGCACCAAGTCGTACCTCTGGCACCTTCGGCTTGGCCACATAGGTCACGATGGACTCAATTGCATCGTGACGAAGAACATTGGAATTGGCATCGACATATCTTCGGTGAAGAAGTGGGACGTGTGTGAAGGTTGTGCTCTGGGAAAACAGACTCGAGTGCGCTTCCAATCCAACACTACAGCTCGCACCTCCAAACTCCTCGAAGTGATTCACAGCGACGTATGCGGACCGATGTCGATGGCAACTTTCAGTGGAAAACGGTACTTCGTGACATTCATTGATGACAAGTCAAGATACTGTGTCGTCTATCTGCTCAAGAGCAAATCTAAAGTTGCGGCGAAGTTCATGGAATACGCTGCGATGGCCGAAACGCAAACCGGAAAGCGCGTGAAGTACCTTCAAAGCGACAATGGGGGTGAATACAAGTCCGACAAGCTGGCACGATTCTGCGCGGAACGGGGAATACAACAAAGGTTCACACCTCCATATACTCCTCAGCTAAACGGAGTAGCTGAGAGAATGAATCGCACGCTGGTCGAGTGTGCGCGTTGCATGATGGAACACGCTGGACTGGGAAAGAGCTACTGGGGTGAAGCAGTGATGACGGCGATGTTTCTTCGAAACCGCTGTCCAACACGTGCCATTCACCAAGACAAGTCTCCATATCAAGTGTGGACGATGAAGAAACCGATTCTGGCCAACCTTAAAGTGTTTGGATGCCACGCGTATGTTCAAGTGCCTCAAGACAAACGCGCGAAGTTCGACTCCAAGTCATCACTCTGTCGTTTCCTGGGATACGCCGAACACCAGAAGTCATATCGATTTGAGGAAGTGTCAACAGGAGCGATCAAGATCAGTCGCGATGCCACATTTATGGAAGACAAGTTTGATGAAGGTCCGCGCAACTACAACGATGAGTCAAGTGTCGTTGAGTTTGATGATCATGATGAGGACGAAGAAAAAGAAGAAGGTAAAACTGACGACGACATGGACTCGAGCGACGATGACAACGAAGACACCAGGTCTTCGAAGAGCAACATCAAGAGACACACGCGCACTCAATCACTTGAGAAAGCTACCGTCATTCCAAGTCCCAAGCGAAGAACATACAGAGGTCCGTCGCTTGAGCATGTGTCAGCGGCTGCAATGGATTTTGATGCAGCCTACATCGTTGATTCAGTGGGGGAAACGCCGACTACATTCAAGTCGGCGATGGAATCAAGCGACTCCGGCAAGTGGAAAGAAGCGTGTGACTCGGAGTTCGATTCGCTTCAGAGAAACGACACGTGGGAAATCGTGCCTCTTCCGAAAGGTCGCAAGGCCATCGGGTGCCGATGGGTTTTTCGTGTAAAGGAGAATCAAGATGGCGAAGTTGAACGTTTCAAGGCAAGACTTGTGGCCAAAGGATTCTCACAGAAATTCGGAGTTGACTATGAAGAAACTTTCGCACCGGTGGCCAAGTTCACATCGATTCGTGTGGTGCTCAGTATGGCGGCTAAGTACGGCCTAATGCTACATCAGATGGACGTCAAGACAGCGTTTCTTAACGGCTCCCTCAACGAAGACATCTACATGGACCAGCCGGACGGATACCTGGATGCAACACAGCCGGACTATGTGTGCAAGCTAAAGAGATCACTCTACGGCTTGAAGCAATCGCCTCGCATGTGGAACCAAACAATCGATGGGTTCATGATCAAGATGGGATTCAAGAAGTGCGAATCGGACCACTGCATCTACATCAAGCGAGACGACCAAGACATGATTCTCGTGGTTCTCTACGTCGATGATCTCATCCTGGCCAGCAGCAACAACGAACTCCTCAAGTCAACCAAGATGGCGCTGAGCAAACGCTTCGAAATGACGGATCTCGGTGAGCTCGATTACTTTCTCGGCATGTGTTGACGGTCATCGGTTTTCTACCAGTATTGGTAACCGTGACCGATCCAATCCGAACCGCCTGTTCAGCTTAGTATTTACGACGTAGTTCTTACGGTAATTACCATAGTTGATTAGACGCGTAGGATGATGAGACGCTTCACATGATTTATATGTACACCACATATAAATCATGTAGTAAGTAGTAAGCCCCGATAATCAATCACTTTCGAATCTTCCAACTATTGGGCAAGTGTTTTCTGCTCTACTCTCTTCGGTCTCTCCGCTCCGTTTGCTCCGCTTTCCTCGCTCCGATCTACAATGCAACAGGTTATGAGCCCAAGCGCCATGTCGTCCACCAGCAACGCCTCCATTGACAAGTTCAACGGAGACAATTACGCAACGTGGAGCCGGTACATGCGCGGTGTGTTTTTGACGAAGTCCGTCTGGCACGTTGTCAACCGTGAAGTGACTCCGACTTTCACCGACCCGCGAGCGTCCGATGACTACGTCAAGGCAAGCAACGTCGCGTTTGGTATGATGCTGCTGCACATGAACGCGGACTACCATCATGTGCTGGACAACTGCGAGGAAGCCTGGGTTGCGTGGACAAGTCTGAAGACGCTGTACGGTGGGTCGCAGAAGGCAGGACGCATCTACCTCAAGCGACAACTTTTCAGTATCAAGATGGCTGAAGGCGCGAACGTCATGCATCACTGCAACGAGGTCCTCAACATCTCCGCCAAGCTTAGCGGCATCGGTGCGAAGATGGAAGACGAAGACGTTGCAATTTGTCTGCTACTCAGTCTTCCGAAGAGCTACGAAAATGTGGTGCTCAACATGGAAATGAGCAGCACCGAGCTTCGCACTCAAGATGTGGTGAGAGTCCTGACGAATGAGCATGCCAAGCGTCAAGGAGAAAAAGGGACAACGACAGCGACTACGGTGAAGGCTGAAGATGCAAGCAAGGCATTCAGCGCCGAGCGTGAGCCCTACCAATGCACGTATTGTGGCAAGGTGGGACACACGGTGGATCGTTGCTGGACAAAGCAGAAGAACGAAGGTCGGGGAGCCCGACGCGGCGGCAATGGTCGTGGACGCGGGGCTAACAATGTCCAGTGGGGACATCATGATGAAGGCAATGGCTACGATCGAGTGGCGTTTGCAGTCTCGTTCGAATGTGGAGTTTCGACGAGCAAGGACGTGTCTGGAATGTGGGCCGTCGACAGTGGTGCAACGCACCACATTTGCCACGACAAGACCAAGTTCGCAAGTTTGGCAGAGCGCAATGAGGGCGAACTCTTGGTGGCTGATGGCAACAAGGTGGCCATCAAGGGTGTGGGAACCATCATGGAAAAGGTGGTTCTGCCCAACGGTGAAGAGCGTGAGATCGAAATCAAGAACGCGCTATATGTTCCAAGTATGAGCAAGAACCTGCTCTCGGTGCCACAGATTAACAGCCATGGCAAGTTTCAAGTCGTGTTTGACGGGTCCAAGATGTATGTGACTCTCAAGAACTCACAGCAAGTGGTGGCGACAGCGGATCTCGTGGATGGACTCTACTGGCTTCGGACGACTCAACGATCAGCGAATGTGACAACAAGTGGAACCAGTTGTGCCGATCTACATGCGAGAATGGGTCATGCTCCAGTCGATGTACTTCGCAAGATGATCGCTACCAACATGATCAAGGATGTGCGAGTCCCTCTCAAGTCGGGTGGAGCAACTACATGTCGAGGATGTCAACAAGGGAAAATGGTCCAAAAACCATTTCCAAGCAACCGAGACAAGCGCAGCTACGATACGTTTGAGCTACTTCATCTGGACATCTGCGGGCCCATGGAAAAGGATTCGCTCGGTGGCAGCAAATATTTGCTGCTGATCATCGACGAAGCCAGTGGATGCATGAAGGGCTTTTGTCTACGAGTGAAGTCCGAGAGTGAAGACTACATCCGGAAATATATCACCATGGTACAGACGCAATTCTGTAAGAAGGTCAAGTTCGTGCGACACGACGGAGCTCGCGAGTTTGCAACCAACTCGCTTCAACTGTTCTACGAAGACGAAGGCATTGAACAGCAGACAACGGTGCCGTATGCACATCAAACAAACGGAACAGCAGAGCGTGCCATTAGGACTATTGTCACGATCGGCCGCAGCATGCTTCATCATGCCAAACTGGACAAGTGTTTCTGGGCCGAAGCAGCGATGACGGCCATCTACGTCAAGAATCGACTGCCGTCACCTAAAGTCGTGCACAAGACCCCGTTTGAGATCGTCTACAACTTGAAACCAAGCGTCAAGCACATGCGAACATTCAGGTGTCAGACATACATACTGACGCCTAAAGAGAATCGACTCAAGTGGGATCCAAAGGCTCGCGCTGGCATATTCGTGGGCTACGAAGAAGTTTCGAAGGCATATCGTGTTTATGACATCGAGGCGGGGCAGGTGGTTATCAGCCGCGATGTCAACTTCGACGAGTCCACCTTTGGACTTCAACTGCCGATCACTGATGAAGATGTCGATGACCTGGACTTCGAATTGCTGAATCTTGATGACGAAGAGCTGCGTCAAATGGAGTACAAGCAAACAGGCAAGCGCAAGAACCGACTCAATGATGAAGATACAGCAGCTCCACGACCGCGTGCAGTGCGTCAACGACCAGGACTAGAAGAGTCAAGCGCGCCGGAAAACAACTCGTCACGACAAGAAGAAGACGAAGAAACGAAGGATTCTGGTGATTCAACACCGCCTGTGTTTTGGCGTGCGAGTGCAAATGCCGTTGAAGCAGCAGTGGACTTATCAGAACCCTCAACATTTGAAGCAGCAGTAAGCGGCCCTGACCAAGTGCACTGGAGAAAAGCAATTCATGCAGAGCTCGAGTCAATGCGACTTCGCGGTGTGTTTCGTGCAGCCAAGCTGCCCAACGGACAACGCGCCATTGGCACAAAATGGGTGTTCAAGATCAAGCGCAAGGCGGATGGGTCAATCGAGAAGTACAAGGCACGACTTGTGGCCAAGGGTTTCCGCCAAAAGTATGGCATCGACTACACGGAGACGTTTTCGCCTGTGGTCAAGTATGTGACGCTGCGAATGGTGATCGCAATTTCCAAGCATTTTGGATGGCCCATCGACCAGCTTGATGTGGTGACAGCTTTCCTGTATGGCGTCATGAAGGAACAAGTGTTCTGCGTGATTCCTGAAGGCGTCGAACTTGACAGTACGTTCGACTGCCTGGAATTGGTGAAGTCAATTTACGGCCTCAAGCAAGCGTCGCGAGTGTGGAACGAGACGTTCGACGAGTATGTGTGCTCCATCGGATTTCAAGTATCGGACTTCGACCCATGTCTCTACATCAAGACTTCGGACGGCCATTGCGTGTTTATACTGGTCTACGTGGACGACGTCTTGGTGACTGGAAGCTCGCTCGAGCTGATTGCACAAACCAAGAACGACCTGAAGACGCGGTTCGAAATGACGGACAGCGGCAAGTGTGCGTTTGTTCTTGGGATTGAGCTTTTGGACGGTGAAGATGGCAGTGTGACACTATGTCAGCGTCGGTATGTCGATGATATCCTCAAGCGCTTTGGCATGGATGATTGTAAGGCAGTCGCAAGTCCAGTCGACATGAGCTCTCGACTTGTTTCAAGTGATGCAACTACCAAGGTCGATGCTCCTTTTCGCGAAGCTGTTGGTGCGTTGATGCACCTGACCACTGCAACGCGTCCGGACATTGCGTTTGCTGTGGGCTATGTGTCGCGGTTCATGGAAAATCCCCAAGAAGAACACTGGGTTGCAGTTAAGCGTATCTTTCGCTACCTACAAGGCACCAAGACGCATGGAATTTGCTACAAGCCAAGTGCAAGGATCGACTTCCGTGGATATTCGGATGCGGATTGGGCTGGTGATCTTACCGACCGCAAGTCAACATCGGGGTACACGTTCATGCTACTCGGTGCGCCAGTCAGTTGGGGCAGCAAGAAGCAGCCAAGTGTTTCGTTGTCCACGAGTGAAGCCGAATACATCGCACTCAGCTTGGCAATTCAAGAGGGCAAGTGGATTCATCGTCTGCTTTGTGAGATCGTGATGGCTGCCAATGAAGAAGGACCGGAACTCATGATCCATGAAGACAATCAGTCGTGTATCAAGATGACGAAGAACCCAGTCAACCACGGCCGTGCCAAGCACATTGATATCAAGTACCATCACATCCGTGATGAGGTCAAGCGCGGTGAAGTGAAGCTCAAGTACTGTGAAACTGCGGTGATGTTAGCGGACATCATGACGAAGGGACTTCACGGGCCACGCCACAAGGAGATGACGGCGACTCTCGGGATTCGTGAGCATTCGGATTGAGGGGGCGTGTTGACGGTCATCGGTTTTCTACCAGTATTGGTAACCGTGACCGATCCAATCCGAACCGCCTGTTCAGCTTAGTATTTACGACGTAGTTCTTACGGTAATTACCATAGTTGATTAGACGCGTAGGACGATGAGACGCTTCACATGATTTATATGTACACTGTTGACGGTCATCGGTTTCTACCAGTATTGGTAACCGTGACCGGTCCAATCCGAACCGCCTGTTCAGCTTAGTATTTACGACGTAGTTCTTACGGTAATTACCATAGTTGATTAGACGCGTAGGATGATGAGACGCTTCACATGATTTATATGTACACCACATATAAATCATGTAGTAAGTAGTAAGCCCCGATAATCAATCACTTTCCAATCTTCCATCTACCCCCAAGTGTCTTCTCCGGTCTTCCGAGTAGACTCCCAGCATCACTCCCAGTTTCGGTCGTCAAGCTTTTCACCAATCAACAGGTTATGAGCCCAAGCACGATGTCCTCTGCTCATGATGCCACCACCAAGATCTCCATCGACAAGTTCGACGGCGACAACTACGCGACGTGGAGCCGCTACATGCGTGGCGTGTTCCTGACCAAGTCGGCGTGGCACGTGGTGAACCGGGAGACCACCCCCACCTTCGCCGATCCTCGCGCCAGTGACGACTACATCAAGACGAACAACATTGCGTTCGGCTTAATGCTGCTGCACATGAGCGCGGATTATCATCACGTGGTTGATGACTGTGAAGAGGCGTGGGTCGCGTGGGCGCGTTTGAAGACGCTGTACGGCGGGTCGCAGAAGGCTGGACGCATCTACTTGAAGCGCCAGCTGTTCAGCATGGAGATGGCGGAAGGCGGCAATGTGATGCATCATTGCAACGAAGTCCTCAACATCAGCGCGAAGCTCAGCAGCATCGGCGCCAAGATGGAGGACGAGGACGTGGCGATCTGCTTGTTGCGCAGCCTCCCCAAGAGCTACGAGAACGTCGTTCTCAACTTGGAGATGAGCAGCGCGGAACTGCGATCGCGAGACGTCGTGAGAGTGCTCACGAATGAGCACATCAAGAGACAAGGTGACAAGACGACATCGGTGAAGACTGAAGACGCGGCGAAGGCGTTCAGTGCCGAGCGTGAACCTCGCCAGTGTACATACTGCGGAAAATTGGGGCACACGGCGGAGCGGTGCTGGACCAAGCAGAAGGACGAAAATCAAGGTGGAGCTCGACGCGGCGGCAACAATGCTCGTGGACGCGGAGCCAACAACGTTCAGTGGCGAACCAACAGCAACTACGATTACAACTACGATCGAGTTGCGTTCGCGGTTTCGCTGGAGGCTGGACTTTCGACGGGCAAGAATATGCCAGGGATGTGGGCAGTCGACAGCGGTGCGACGCATCACATCTGCAACGACAAGGCCAAGTTTGCAAGCCTGAATGAGCGAGAGGAAGGCGAACTATCAGTGGCTGATGGCAGCAAGGCTGCGATCAAGGGTGTGGGAACCATCATGGAACGGGTGGTTCTGCCCAATGGTGACGAACGCGACATCGAGATCAAGGACGCACTGTTCGTACCAAGTATGAGCAAGAATCTGCTTTCGGTGCCACAGATCAACAAGGGTGGCAGGTTCCAAGTCGTGTTCGATGGATCCAAGATGCAAGTGAAGCGCAAGAATTCCACACTAGTCGTGGCAACAGCGGATCTCGTCGATGGACTTTACTGGCTGCGGACTCCTCAACGATCGGCAAATGCAGCAACACGCAATGGGACCATCGACTTGCATGCGCGCATGGGTCATGCACCCCTCGAAGTTCTGCGCAAGATGGTGGCCACTGGCATGATCAAGGACGCCAAGGCACCTCTCAACTCGACTGGTCCAAGTGTGTGTCGCGGTTGCCAGCAAGGAAAGATGGTCCAAAAACCATTCCCAACCAACCGTGACAAACGCCAATATGGTGTGTTCGAGTTGCTGCACTTCGACATCTGCGGGCCAATGGAACAAGTCTCGATCGGCGGCAGCAGATACTTACTGCTTGTGGTTGACGAAGCTAGCGGTTGCACGGAGGGCTTCTGTCTGCGGTCCAAGTCTGAGAGTGAAGACTGTATCAAGAACCACATCATCAAGATTCAAACTCAGTTCGGCACGAAGATCAAGTTTGTTCGGCACGATGGAGCGCATGAGTTTGCGACCAACTCCATCAAGACCTTCTACGAAGATCATGGTATCGAACAACAGATCACGGTGCCGTATGCACACCAGACCAACGGCACCGCAGAACGCGCGATAAGGACCATCGTCACGATCGGACGCAGCTTGTTGCATCATGCAAAACTGGAGAAGTGTTTCTGGGCTGAAGCGGCAATGACGGCGATCTACATCAAGAACCGCCTGCCTTCACCCAAGATCGACCACAAGACTCCGTTCGAAATCGTGTACAAGTCGAAACCAAGTGTCAAGCACATGCGCGTGTTTGGATGTCGGGCGTTTATCCTGACACCAAGGGAGAAGCGATTGAAGTGGGACCCGAAGGCTCGTGAAGGGATGTTCATGGGCTACGAAGAAGCGTCAAAAGCTTATCGAGTGTACGACATTGAGGCGGACCAAGTGGTGATCAGTCGTGACATCACCTTCGACGAATCGAATTTTGACTTTTCGATGGACCGACCAAGTGACGATGATGAAGATGCGGAGTTGGACCTCGACCTCCTGGCGATCAACGAGGACGACGTGCGTCAAACCGTCTACAAGCAGACTGGCAAGCGCAAGAGTGAAGCAAGACCCGGCATGTCACGTTCAGCTCGCCCTCGAACTGGGTTGGAACAAGCAAGTGCGCCGGAACACGTCTCCAACCGTCACCAGAAACGACGATCAAGTGCTCCAGAAACGATGTCTGATGACGAAGAAGATGCAAGCGTCTACAATCAAGATGACGACTCGACGCCTCCAACATTTTGGCGTGCAAGTGCAAACGCAGTGGAAGCAACGGACCTAGCAGAACCTGTGACTTTTCAAGACGCGATCAATGGTCCTGATCAAGCTCACTGGCGAAATGCTGTGAAGGCGGAACTCAAGTCGATGCATCTTCGTGGAGTTTTCCGTGCGGCAAAACTGCCAAGAGGCCAAGGCGCGATCGGCACCAAGTGGGTGTTCAAGATCAAGCGCAAAGCGGATGGATCGGTCGAGAAATACAAGGCGCGTCTCGTTGCCAAGGGCTTCAAGCAGAAGTACGGCATCGACTACACAGAGACGTTCTCGCCCGTGGTCAAGTACGTGACACTGCGTATGGTGATCGAGATCACCAAGTATTTCGACTGGCCACTGGACCAACTCGATGTGGTGACAGCCTTTCTCTACGGAGTGATGAAGGAGAAGGTGTACTGCGTGATACCAGAAGGCGTCGAGATGGATGGCGACTTCGACTGTCTCGAGTTGGTGAAGGCGATCTACGGTCTCAAGCAAGCTTCACGTGTGTGGAACGAGACTTTCGACGAGTTTGTATGCTCTATCGGTTTCGAGGCGTCGGCGTTCGACCCATGTCTCCACATCAAGGTTGTCGACGGTCACTGTGTGCTCGTGCTGGTCTACATGGATGACGTGTTGGTCACCGGCAGCTCGCTCGAGTTGATTGCGCAGACGAAGGCCGACCTCAAGACGCGTTTCGAGATGACCGACAGTGGCAAGTGTACTTTTGTACTGGGCATCGAACTGGTGGATGAATCGGATGGCAGCGTGACGATGTGCCAGCGACGGTATGTCAACGACATCCTCAAGCGCTTCGGCATGGATGAGTGCAAGGCCACAGCAAGTCCGGTCGACTTGAGCACTCGGCTTGTCGCAAGCACCGAAGCGGCCAAGATCGACGTTCCGTTTCGTGAAGCTGTGGGAGCTTTGATGCACTTGACGACTGCGACGCGCCCGGACATTGCGTATGCTGTGGGGTACGTCTCGCGCTTCATGGAGAACCCGCAGCAAGAACATTGGACGGCGGTGAAGCGCATCTTTCGTTACTTGCAAGGGACCAAGTCGCACGGACTCCGCTTCCAGCCAAGCGACAAGATCGACTTTCGTGGCTACTCGGACGCGGACTGGGCCGGCGACCACGCTGATCGCAAGTCGACTTCGGGTTACACTTTCATGCTGATGGGTGCTCCTGTGAGTTGGGGAAGCAAGAAGCAGTCAAGTGTGTCGCTGTCGACGAGTGAAGCGGAATACATCGCACTGAGTCTGGCCATCCAGGAAGGCAAGTGGGTGCATCGCCTGCTATGCGAGATTTTGGCGGCCGCAAACGAACCAGGACCGGACCTCGTCATCCGTGAAGACAACCAGTCGTGCATCAAGATGACGAAGAATCCGGTGAATCATGGCCGCGCCAAGCACATCGACATCAAGTACCATCACATCCGTGATGAGGTCAAGCGCGGTGAAGTGAAGCTCGAGTATTGCGAGACTTCCGTGATGATGGCGGACATCATGACCAAGGGACTTTCCGGACCTCGTCACAAGGACTTGACGACGGCTCTCGGCATTCGTGCGAGTTCGGATTGAGGGGGCGTGTTGACGGTCATCGGTTTCTACCAGTATTGGTAACCGTGACCGGTCCAATCCGAACCGCCTGTTCAGCTTAGTATTTACGACGTAGTTCTTACGGTAATTACCATAGTTGATTAGACGCGTAGGATGATGAGACGCTTCACATGATTTATATGTGCACCACATATAAATCATGTAGTAAGTAGTAAGCCCCGATAATCAATCACTTTCGAATCTTCCATCTACCCCCAAGTGTCTTCTCCGGTCTTCCGAGTAGACTCCCAGCATCACTCCCAGTTTCGGTCGTCAAGCTTTTCACCATTCAACATACACCACATATAAATCATGTAGTAAGTAGTAAGCCCCGATAATCAATCACTTTCGAATCTTCCAACTATTGGGCAAGTGTTTTCTGCTCTACTCTCTTCGGTCTCTCCGCTCCGTTTGCTCCGCTTTCCTCGCTCCGATCTACAATGCAACACGTCTCGTTCCACACTCGCGACGCTTGCTTGAGGCCGTAAATTGACTTCACCAATTCCAGGCAGTCGAACGTACTGTCAAGTTCGACGCCTTCAGGAATCACGCAGAACACTTGTTCCTTCATGACGCCATACAGGAAAGCTGTCACCACATCAAGCTGGTCGATGGGCCATCCAAAATGCTTGGAAATTGCGATCACCATTCGCAGCGTCACATGCTTGACCACGGGCGAAAACGTCTCCGTGTAGTCGATTCCATACTTTGAGCGAAAGCCCTTTGCCGCGAGACGTGCCTTGTACTTCTCGATGGATCCGTCCGCCTTGCGCTTGATCTTGAACACCCATTTTGTGCCAATGGCACGTTGTCCGTTGAGCACCTTGGCTGCACGAAACACTCCGCGAAGTCGCATTGACTCGAGCTCTGCATGAATTGCTTTTCTCCAGTGCACTTGGTCAGGGCCGCTTACTGCTGCTTCAAATGTTGAGGGTTCTGATAAGTCCACTGCTGCTTCAACGGCATTTGCACTCGCACGTTAAAACATAGGCGGTGTTGAATCACCAGAATCCTTCGTTTCTTCGTCTTCTTCTTGTCGTGACGAGTTGTTTTCCGGCGCGCTTGACTCTTCTAGTCCTGGTCGTTGACGCACTGCACGCGGTCGTGGAGCTGCTGTATCTTCATCATTGAGTCGGTTCTTGCGCTTGCCTGTTTGCTTGTACTCCATTTGACGCAGCTCTTCGTCATCAAGATCCAGCAATTCGAAGTCCAGGTCATCGACATCTTCATCAGTGATCGGCAGTTGAATTCCAAAGGTGGACTCGTCGAAGTTGACATCGCGGCTGATAACCACCTGCCCCGCCTCGATGTCATAAACACGATATGCCTTCGAAACTTCTTCGTAGCCCACGAATATGCCAGCGCGAGCCTTTGGATCCCACTTGAGTCGATTCTCTTTAGGCGTCAGTATGTATGTCTGACACCCGAATGTTCGCATGTGCTTGACGCTTGGTTTCAAGTTGTAGACGATCTCAAACGGGGTCTTGTGCACGACTTTAGGTGACGGCAGTCGATTCTTGACGTAGATGGCCGTCATCGCTGCTTCGGCCCAGAAACACTTGTCCAGTTTGGCATGATGAAGCATGCTGCGGCCGATCGTGACAATAGTCCTAATGGCACGCTCTGCTGTTCCGTTTGTTTGATGTGCATACGGCACCGTTGTCTGCTGTTCAATGCCTTCGTCTTCGTAGAACAGTTGAAGCGAGTTGGTTGCAAACTCGCGAGCTCCGTCGTGTCGCACGAACTTGACCTTCTTACAGAATTGCGTCTGTACCATGGTGATATATTTCCGGATGTAGTCTTCACTCTCGGACTTCACTCGTAGACAAAAGCCCTTCATGCATCCACTGGCTTCGTCGATGATCAGCAGCAAATATTTGCTGCCACCGAGCGAATCCTTTTCCATGGGCCCGCAGATGTCCAGATGAAGTAGCTCAAACGTATCGTAGCTGCGCTTGTCTCGGTTGCTTGGAAATGGTTTTTGGACCATTTTCCCTTGTTGACATCCTCGACATGTAGTTGCTCCACCCGACTTGAGAGGGACTCGCACATCCTTGATCATGTTGGTCGCGATCATCTTGCGAAGTACATCGACTGGAGCATGACCCATTCTCGCATGTAGATCGGCACAACTGGTTCCACTTGTTGTCACATTCGCTGATCGTTGAGTCGTCCGAAGCCAGTAGAGTCCATCCACGAGATCCGCTGTCGCCACCACTTGCTGTGAGTTCTTGAGAGTCACATACATCTTGGACCCGTCAAACACGACTTGAAACTTGCCATGGCTGTTAATCTGTGGCACCGAGAGCAGGTTCTTGCTCATACTTGGAACATATAGCGCGTTCTTGATTTCGATCTCACGCTCTTCACCGTTGGGCAGAACCACCTTTTCCATGATGGTTCCCACACCCTTGATGGCCACCTTGTTGCCATCAGCCACCAAGAGTTCGCCCTCATTGCGCTCTGCCAAACTTGCGAACTTGGTCTTGTCGTGGCAAATGTGGTGCGTTGCACCACTGTCGACGGCCCACATTCCAGACACGTCCTTGCTCGTCGAAACTCCACATTCGAACGAGACTGCAAACGCCACTCGATCGTAGCCATTGCCTTCATCATGATGTCCCCACTGGACATTGTTAGCCCCGCGTCCACGACCATTGCCGCCGCGTCGGGCTCCCCGACCTTCGTTCTTCTGCTTTGTCCAGCAACGATCCACCGTGTGTCCCACCTTGCCACTATACGTGCATTGGTAGGGCTCACGCTCGGCGCTGAATGCCTTGCTTGCATCTTCAGCCTTCACCGTAGTCGCTGTCGTTGTCCCTTTTTCTCCTTGACGCTTGGCATGCTCATTCGTCAGGACTCTCACCACATCTTGAGTGCGAAGCTCGGTGCTGCTCATTTCCATGTTGAGCACCACATTTTCGTAGCTCTTCGGAAGACTGAGTAGCAGACAAATTGCAACGTCTTCGTCTTCCATCTTCGCACCGATGCCGCTAAGCTTGGCGGAGATGTTGAGGACCTCGTTGCAGTGATGCATGACGTTCGCGCCTTCAGCCATCTTGATACTGAAAAGTGATGAACTTTAGACTTCTTGGTCCGAGTGCAAAACGCAAAGTGAATATATATTTATAATAGGTACTTAGTTCGCAACTTTGAATACTACCTCTAAGCTTATTATTCGCAGTGACGTCACCCACTGACGTCACCCACTGACGTCATGCAATGACGTCATCCAGTGACGTCATTTCCTGACTTCGCCCTTACTGGTACATACCGGTACCCACCGGTATAGCGAAGCTTGGTCTTCCACTTGCTTCAACACTTGACGCAGCTTGACGAGGTGTCTTCTTCACAGCCGCTGTCTTTTCAACACTCCCTCTCGACTCGTTAGCTGCGGCACCTTGGATCCCAAGTCGATCGCGAATGTTTTCAAATTGTACAGCGGCGATCGGCTTGGTCATCATGTCTGCCAGCATATCTTGAGTCGGGCAATACTCCAAAACGACTTCACCTGATTCCACCTTCTCACGCACAAAATGGTAGCGTATGTCGATGTGTTTCGTTCTCTTATGGAACTCCGGGTTCTTGGCGAGAGCGATTGATCCTTGGTTGTCTTCATACATCTTGATCGCTTCGTCGCTTGTCATCTCACCAAGTTCCCCCAAAAGCACTTTGAGCCATACTGCTTCTTTGGTTGCTTCGGAAAGCGCCATGTATTCTGCTTCTGTTGAAGATAGCGCGACCGTCCGTTGTTTCTGGCTTTTCCAGCTGATGCATCCTCCGCTCATCATGAACACATAGCCGCTTGTACTTCGTCTTGACTCAATGTCGCCGGCCCAGTCTGCGTCGGTGTACCCGCAGATACGGCTTCCTTCTTCACGTGTAAACTCAAGACCATGATTGGGCGTTGCTTGCAGGTATCTCAGCACACGCTTCAAAGCTTGCCAGTGAGTCGGGCATGGGTCGGACGAGAACTGGGATAATGATCCCACTGCAGCAGCTAGATCCGGACGTGTGGCGACCATGAGATACATGATGCCTCCGACAGCACTTCGATATGGCACGTTGCACATGGTGTCTTCGTGCTTGCATTCTTGTTCACACATGTTCTTGGTTAGCTTCAGGCCGGGATCTTGAGGCGTCTTCACTGGCTTGCTGTTATCCATTCCGAACTTGGTTAACACGGACTTGAGAAACTTGGTTTGTTGTACAGTCACCATTCCCGTCTTACGGTCGTTCTTGATCTCCATGCTGTTGCATTGTAGATCGGAGCGAGGAAAGCGGAGCAAACGGAGCGGAGAGACCGAAGAGAGTAGAGCAGAAAACACTTGCCCAATAGTTGGAAGATTCGAAAGTGATTGATTATCGGGGCTTACTACTTACTACATGATTTATATGTGGTGTACATATAAATCATGTGAAGCGTCTCATCATCCTACGCGTCTAATCAACTATGGTAATTACCGTAAGAACTACGTCGTAAATACTAAGCTGAACAGGCGGTTCGGATTGGATCGGTCACGGTTACCAATACTGGTAGAAAACCGATGACCGTCAACACGCCCCCTCAATCCGAATGTTCACGAATCCCGAGAGTCGCCGTCATCTCCTTGTGGCGTGGCCCGTGAAGTCCCTTCGTCATGATGTCCGCTAACATCACCGCAGTTTCACAGTACTTGAGCTTCACTTCACCGCGCTTGACCTCATCACGGATGTGATGGTACTTGATATCAATGTGCTTGGCACGGCCGTGGTTGACTGGGTTCTTCGTCATCTTGATACACGACTGATTGTCTTCATGGATCATGAGTTCCGGTCCTTCTTCATTGGCAGCCATCACGATCTCACAAAGCAGACGATGAATCCACTTGCCCTCTTGAATTGCCAAGCTGAGTGCGATGTATTCGGCTTCACTCGTGGACAACGAAACACTTGGCTGCTTCTTGCTGCCCCAACTGACTGGCGCACCGAGTAGCATGAACGTGTACCCCCGATGTTGACTTGCGGTCGGTAAGATCACCAGCCCAATCCGCATCCGAATATCCACGGAAGTCGATCCTTGCACTTGGCTTGTAGCAAATTCCATGCGTCTTGGTGCCTTGTAGGTAGCGAAAGATACGCTTAACTGCAACCCAGTGTTCTTCTTGGGGATTTTCCATGAACCGCGACACATAGCCCACAGCAAACGCAATGTCCGGACGCGTTGCAGTGGTCAGGTGCATCAACGCACCAACAGCTTCGCGAAAAGGAGCATCGACCTTGGTAGTTGCATCACTTGAAACAAGTCGAGAGCTCATGTCGACTGGACTTGCGACTGCCTTGCAATCATCCATGCCAAAGCGCTTGAGGATATCATCGACATACCGACGCTAACATAGTGTCACACTGCCATCTTCACCGTCCAAAAGCTCAATTCCAAGAACAAATGCACACTTGCCGCTATCAGTCATTTCGAAGCGTGTCTTCAGGTCTTCCTTGGTGTGTGCAATCAGCTCGAGCGAGCTTCCAGTCACCAAGACGTCGTCCACGTAGACCAGTATAAACACGCAATGGCCGTCCGAAGTCTTGATGTAGAGACATGGGTCGAAGCCTGACACTTGAAATCCAATGGAACACACATACTCGTCGAACGTCTCGTTCCACACTCGCGACGCTTGCTTGAGGCCGTAAATTGACTTCACCAATTCCAGGCAGTCGAACGTACTGTCAAGTTCGACGCCTTCAGGAATCACGCAGAACACTTGTTCCTTCATGACGCCATACAGGAAAGCTGTCACCACATCAAGCTGGTCGATGGGCCATCCAAAATGCTTGGAAATTGCGATCACCATTCGCAGCGTCACATACTTGACCACAGGCGAAAACGTCTCCGTGTAGTCGATGCCATACTTTTGGCGGAAACCCTTGGCCACAAGTCGTGCCTTGTACTTCTCGATTGACCCATCCGCCTTGCGCTTGATCTTGAACACCCATTTTGTGCCAATGGCGCGTTGTCCGTTGGGCAGCTTGGCTGCACGAAACACACCGCGAAGTCGCATTGACTCGAGCTCTGCATGAATTGCTTTTCTCCAGTGCACTTGGTCAGGGCCGCTTACTGCTGCTTCAAATGTTGAGGGTTCTGATAAGTCCACTGCTGCTTCAACGGCATTTGCACTCGCACGCCAAAACACAGGCGGTGTTGAATCACCAGAATCCTTCGTTTCTTCGTCTTCTTCTTGTCGTGACGAGTTGTTTTCCGGCGCGCTTGACTCTTCTAGTCCTGGTCGTTGACGCACTGCACGCGGTCGTGGAGCTGCTGTATCTTCATCATTGAGTCGGTTCTTGCGCTTGCCTGTTTGCTTGTACTCCATTTGACGCAGCTCTTCGTCATCAAGATTCAGCAATTCGAAGTCCAGGTCATCGACATCTTCATCAGTGATCGGCAGTTGAAGTCCAAAGGTGGACTCGTCGAAGTTGACATCGCGGCTGATAACCACCTGCCCCGCCTCGATGTCATAAACACGATATGCCTTCGAAACTTCTTCGTAGCCCACGAATATGCCAGCGCGAGCCTTTGGATCCCACTTGAGTCGATTCTCTTTAGGCGTCAGTATGTATGTCTGACACCTGAATGTTCGCATGTGCTTGACGCTTGGTTTCAAGTTGTAGACGATCTCAAACGGGGTCTTGTGCACGACTTTAGGTGACGGCAGTCGATTCTTGACGTAGATGGCCGTCATCGCTGCTTCGGCCCAGAAACACTTGTCCAGTTTGGCATGATGAAGCATGCTGCGGCCGATCGTGACAATAGTCCTAATGGCACGCTCTGCTGTTCCGTTTGTTTGATGTGCATACGGCACCGTTGTCTGCTGTTCAATGCCTTCGTCTTCGTAGAACAGTTGAAGCGAGTTGGTTGCAAACTCGCGAGCTCCGTCGTGTCGCACGAACTTGACCTTCTTACAGAATTGCGTCTGTACCATGGTGATATATTTCCGGATGTAGTCTTCACTCTCGGACTTCACTCGTAGACAAAAGCCCTTCATGCATCCACTGGCTTCGTCGATGGTCAGCAGCAAATATTTGCTGCCACCGAGCGAATCCTTTTCCATGGGCCCGCAGATGTCCAGATGAAGTAGCTCAAACGTATCGTAGCTGCGCTTGTCTCGGTTGCTTGGAAATGGTTTTTGGACCATTTTCCCTTGTTGACATCCTCGACATGTAGTTGCTCCACCCGACTTGAGAGGGACTCGCACATCCTTGATCATGTTGGTCGCGATCATCTTGCGAAGTACATCGACTGGAGCATGACCCATTCTCGCATGTAGATCGGCACAACTGGTTCCACTTGTTGTCACATTCGCTGATCGTTGAGTCGTCCGAAGCCAGTAGAGTCCATCCACGAGATCCGCTGTCGCCACCACTTGCTGTGAGTTCTTGAGAGTCACATACATCTTGGACCCGTCAAACACGACTTGAAACTTGCCATGGCTGTTAATCTGTGGCACCGAGAGCAGGTTCTTGCTCATACTTGGAACATATAGCGCGTTCTTGATTTCGATCTCACGCTCTTCACCGTTGGGCAGAACCACCTTTTCCATGATGGTTCCCACACCCTTGATGGCCACCTTGTTGCCATCAGCCACCAAGAGTTCGCCCTCATTGCGCTCTGCCAAACTTGCGAACTTGGTCTTGTCGTGGCAAATGTGGTGCGTTGCACCACTGTCGACGGCCCACATTCCAGACACGTCCTTGCTCGTCGAAACTCCACATTCGAACGAGACTGCAAACGCCACTCGATCGTAGCCATTGCCTTCATCATGATGTCCCCACTGGACATTGTTAGCCCCGCGTCCACGACCATTGCCGCCGCGTCGGGCTCCCCGACCTTCGTTCTTCTGCTTTGTCCAGCAACGATCCACCGTGTGTCCCACCTTGCCACTATACGTGCATTGGTAGGGCTCACGCTCGGCGCTGAATGCCTTGCTTGCATCTTCAGCCTTCACCGTAGTCGCTGTCGTTGTCCCTTTTTCTCCTTGACGCTTGGCATGCTCATTCGTCAGGACTCTCACCACATCTTGAGTGCGAAGCTCGGTGCTGCTCATTTCCATGTTGAGCACCACATTTTCGTAGCTCTTCGGAAGACTGAGTAGCAGACAAATTGCAACGTCTTCGTCTTCCATCTTCGCACCGATGCCGCTAAGCTTGGCGGAGATGTTGAGGACCTCGTTGCAGTGATGCATGACGTTCGCGCCTTCAGCCATCTTGATACTGAAAAGTTGTCGCTTGAGGTAGATGCGTCCTGCCTTCTGCGACCCACCGTACAGCGTCTTCAGACTTGTCCACGCAACCCAGGTTTCTTTGCAGTTGTCCAGCACATGATGGTAGTCCGCGTTCATGTGCAGCAGCATCATACCAAACGCGACGTTGCTTGCCTTGACGTAGTCATCGGACGCTCGCGGGTCGGTGAAAGTCGGAGTCACTTTACGGTTGACGACGTGCCAGACGGACTTCGTCAAAAACACACCGCGCATGTACCGGCTCCACGTTGCGTAATTGTCTCTGTTGAACTTGTCAATGGAGGCGTTGCTGGTGGACGACATGGCGCTTGGGCTCATAACCTGTTGCATTGTAGATCGGAGCGAGGAAAGCGGAGCAAACAGAGCGGAGAGACCGAAGAGAGTAGAGCAGAAAACACTTGCCCAATAGTTGGAAGATTCGAAAGTGATTGATTATCGGGGCTTACTACTTACTACATGATTTATATGTGGTGTACATATAAATCATGTGAAGCGTCTCATCGTCCTACGCGTCTAATCAACTATGGTAATTACCGTAAGAACTACGTCGTAAATACTAAGCTGAACAGGCGGTTCGGATTGAATCGGTCACGGTTACCAATACTGGTAGAAAACCGATGACCGTCAACAAGACGTTCGACGAGTATGTGTGCTCCATCGGATTTCAAGTATCGGACTTCGACCCATGTCTCTACATCAAGACTTCGGACGGCCATTGCGTGTTTATACTGGTCTACGTGGACGACGTCTTGGTGACTGGAAGCTCACTCGAGCTGATTGCACAAACCAAGAACGACCTGAAGACGCGGTTCGAAATGACGGACAGCGGCAAGTGTGCGTTTGTTCTTGGGATCGAGCTTTTGGACGGTGAAGATGGCAGTGTGACACTATGTCAGCGTCGGTATGTCGATGATATCCTCAAGCGCTTTGGCATGGATGATTGCAAGGCAGTCGCAAGTCCAGTCGACATGAGCTCTCAACTTGTTTCAAGTGATGCAACTACCAAGGTCGATGCTCCTTTTCGCGAAGCTGTTGGTGCGTTGATGCACCTGACCACTGCAACGCGTCCGGACATTGCGTTTGCTGTGGGCTATGTGTCGCGGTTCATGGAAAATCCCCAAGAAGAACACTGGGTTGCAGTTAAGCGTATCTTTCGCTACCTACAAGGCACCAAGACGCATGGAATTTGCTACAAGCCAAGTGCAAGGATCGACTTCCGTGGATATTCGGATGCGGATTGGGCTGGTGATCTTACCGACCGCAAGTCAACATCGGGGTACACGTTCATGCTACTCGTTGCGCCAGTCAGTTGGGGCAGCAAGAAGCAGCCAAGTGTTTCGTTGTCCACGAGCGAAGCCGAATACATCGCACTCAGCTTGGCAATTCAAGAGGGCAAGTGGATTCATCGTCTGCTTTGTGAGATCGTGATGGCTGCCAATGAAGAAGGACCGGAACTCATGATCCATGAAGACAATCAGTCGTGTATCAAGATGACGAAGAACCCAGTCAACCACGGCCGTGCCAAGCACATTGATATCAAGTACCATCACATCCGTGATGAGGTCAAGCGCGGTGAAGTGAAGCTCAAGTACTGTGAAACTGCGGTGATGTTAGCGGACATCATGACGAAGGGACTTCATGGACCACGCCACAAGGAGATGACGACGGCTCTCGGGATTCGTGAGCATTCGGATTGAGGGGGCGTGTTGACGGTCATCGGTTTTCTACCAGTATTGGTAACCGTGACCGGTCCAATCCGAACCGCCTGTTCAGCTTAGTATTTACGACGTAGTTCTTACGGTAATTACCATAGTTGATTAGACGCGTAGGATGATGAGACGCTTCACATGATTTATATGTGCACCACATATAAATCATGTAGTAAGTAGTAAGCCCCGATAATCAATCACTTTCCAATCTTCCATCTACCCCCCAAGTGTCTTCTCCGGTTTTCCGAGTAGACTCCCAGCATCACTCCCAGTTTCGGTCGTCAAGCTTTTCACCAATCAACAGGTTATGAGCCCAAGCACGATGTCCTCTGCTCATGATGCCACCACCAAGATCTCCATCGACAAGTTCGACGGCGACAACTACGCGACGTGGAGCCGCTACATGCGTGGCGTGTTCCTGACCAAGTCGGCGTGGCACGTGGTGAACCGGGAGACCACCCCCACCTTCGCCGATCCTCGCGCCAGTGACGACTACATCAAGACGAACAACATTGCGTTCGGCTTGATGCTGCTGCACATGAGCGCGGATTATCATCACGTGGTTGATGACTGTGAAGAGGCGTGGGTCGCGTGGGCGCGTTTGAAGACGCTGTACGGCGGGTCGCAGAAGGCTGGACGCATCTACTTGAAGCGCCAGCTGTTCAGCATGGAGATGGCGGAAGGCGGCAATGTGATGCATCATTGCAACGAAGTCCTCAACATCAGCGCGAAGCTCAGCAGCATCGGCGCCAAGATGGAGGACGAGGACGTGGCGATCTGCTTGTTGCGCAGCCTCCCCAAGAGCTACGAGAACGTCGTTCTCAACTTGGAGATGAGCAGCGCGGAACTGCGATCGCGAGACGTCGTGGAGAGTGCTCACGAATGAGCACATCAAGAGACAAGGTGACAAGACGACATCGGTGAAGACTGAAGACGCGGCGAAGGCGTTCAGTGCCGAGCGTGAACCTCGCCAGTGTACATACTGCGGAAAATTGGGGCACACGGCGGAGCGGTGCTGGACCAAGCAGAAGGACGAAAATCAAGGTGGAGCTCGACGCGGCGGCAACAATGCTCGTGGACGCGGAGCCAACAACGTTCAGTGGCGAACCAACAGCAACTACGATTACAACTACGATCGAGTTGCGTTCGCGGTTTCGCTGGAGGCTGGACTTTCGACGGGCAAGAATATGCCAGGGATGTGGGCAGTCGACAGCGGTGCGACGCATCACATCTGCAACGACAAGGCCAAGTTTGCAAGCCTGAATGAGCGAGAGGAAGGCGAACTATCAGTGGCTGATGGCAGCAAGGCTGCGATCAAGGGTGTGGGAACCATCATGGAACGGGTGGTTCTACCCAATGGTGACGAACGCGACATCGAGATCAAGGACGCACTGTTCGTACCAAGTATGAGCAAGAATCTGCTTTCGGTGCCACAGATCAACAAGGGTGGCAGGTTCCAAGTCGTGTTCGATGGATCCAAGATGCAAGTGAAGCGCAAGAATTCCACACTAGTCGTGGCAACAGCGGATCTCGTCGATGGACTTTACTGGCTGCGGACTCCTCAACGATCGGCAAATGCAGCAACACGCAATGGGACCATCGACTTGCATGCGCGCATGGGTCATGCACCCCTCGAAGTTCTGCGCAAGATGGTGGCCACTGGCATGATCAAGGACGCCAAGGCACCTCTCAACTCGACTGGTCCAAGTGTGTGTCGCGGTTGCCAGCAAGGAAAGATGGTCCAAAAACCATTCCCAACCAACCGTGACAAACGCCAATATGGTGTGTTCGAGTTGCTGCACTTCGACATCTGCGGGCCAATGGAACAAGTCTCGATCGGCGGCAGCAAATACTTACTGCTTGTGGTTGACGAAGCTAGCGGTTGCATGAAGGGCTTCTGTCTGCGGTCCAAGTCTGAGAGTGAAGACTGTATCAAGAACCACATTATCAAGATTCAAACTCAGTTCGGCACGAAGATCAAGTTTGTTCGGCACGATGGAGCGCATGAGTTTGCGACCAACTCCATCAAGACCTTCTACGAAGATCATGGTATCGAACAACAGATCACGGTGCCGTATGCACACCAGACCAACGGCACCGCAGAACGCGCGATAAGGACCATCGTCACGATCGGACGCAGCTTGTTGCATCATGCAAAACTGGAGAAGTGTTTCTGGGCTGAAGCGGCAATGACGGCGATCTACATCAAGAACCGCCTGCCTTCACCCAAGATCGACCACAAGACTCCGTTCGAAATCGTGTACAAGTCGAAACCAAGTGTCAAGCACATGCGCGTGTTTGGATGTCGGGCGTTTATCCTGACACCAAGGGAGAAGCGATTGAAGTGGGACCCGAAGGCTCGTGAAGGGATGTTCATGGGCTACGAAGAAGCGTCAAAAAGCTTATCGAGTGTACGACATTGAGGCGGACCAAGTGGTGATCAGTCGTGACATCACCTTCGACGAATCGAATTTTGACTTTTCGATGGACCGACCAAGTGACGATGATGAAGATGCGGAGTTGGACCTCGACCTCCTGGCGATCAACGAGGACGACGTGCGTCAAACCGTCTACAAGCAGACTGGCAAGCGCAAGAGTGAAGCAAGACCCGGCATGTCACGTTCAGCTCGCCCTCGAACTGGGTTGGAACAAGCAAGTGCGCCGGAACACGTCTCCAACCGTCACCAGAAACGACGATCAAGTGCTCCAGAAACGATGTCTGATGACGAAGAAGATGCAAGCGTCTACAATCAAGATGACGACTCGACGCCTCCAACATTTTGGCGTGCAAGTGCAAACGCAGTGGAAGCAACGGACCTAGCAGAACCTGTGACTTTTCAAGACGCGATCAATGGTCCTGATCAAGCTCACTGGCGAAATGCTGTGAAGGCGGAACTCAAGTCGATGCATCTTCGTGGAGTTTTCCGTGCGACAAAACTGCCAAGAGGCCAAGGCGCGATCGGCACCAAGTGGGTGTTCAAGATCAAGCGCAAAGCGGATGGATCGGTCGAGAAATACAAGGCGCGTCTCGTTGCCAAGGGCTTCAAGCAGAAGTACGGCATCGACTACACAGAGACGTTCTCGCCCGTGGTCAAGTACGTGACACTGCGTATGGTGATCGCGATCACCAAGTATTTCGACTGGCCACTGGACCAACTCGATGTGGTGACAGCCTTTCTCTACGGAGTGATGAAGGAGAAGGTGTACTGCGTGATACCAGAAGGCGTCGAGATGGATGGCGACTTCGACTGTCTCGAGTTGGTGAAGGTGATCTACGGTCTCAAGCAAGCTTCACGTGTGTGGAACGAGACTTTCGACGAGTTTGTATGCTCTATCGGTTTCGAGGCGTCGGCGTTCGACCCATGTCTCCACATCAAGGTTGTCGACGGTCACTGTGTGCTCGTGCTGGTCTACGTGGATGACGTGTTGGTCACCGGCAGCTCGCTCGAGTTGATTGCGCAGACGAAGGCCGACCTCAAGACGCGTTTCGAGATGACCGACAGTGGCAAGTGTACTTTTGTACTGGGCATCGAACTGGTGGATGAATCGGGTGGCAGCGTGACGATGTGCCAGCGACGGTATGTCAACGACATCCTCAAGCGCTTCGGCATGGATGAGTGCAAGGCCACAGCAAGTCCGGTCGACTTGAGCACTCGGCTTGTCGCAAGCACCGAAGCGGCCAAGATCGACGTTCCGTTTCGTGAAGCTGTGGGAGCTTTGATGCACTTGACGACTGCGACGCGCCCGGACATTGCGTATGCTGTGGGGTACGTCTCGCGCTTCATGGAGAATCCGCAGCAAGAACATTGGACGGCGGTGAAGCGCATCTTTCGTTACTTGCAAGGGACCAAGTCGCACGGACTCCGCTTCCAGCCAAGCGACAAGATCGACTTTCGTGGCTACTCGGACGCGGACTGGGCCGGCGACCACGCTGATCGCAAGTCGACTTCGGGTTACACTTTCATGCTGATGGGTGCTCCTGTGAGTTGGGGAAGCAAGAAGCAGTCAAGTGTGTCGCTGTCGACGAGTGAAGCGGAATACATCGCACTGAGTCTGGCCATCCAGGAAGGCAAGTGGGTGCATCGCCTGCTATGCGAGATTTTGGCGGCCGCAAACGAACCAGGACCGGACCTCGTCATCCGTGAAGACAACCAGTCGTGCATCGAGATGACGAAGAATCCGGTGAATCATGGCCGCGCCAAGCACATCGACATCAAGTACCATCACATCCGTGATGAGGTCAAGCGCGGTGAAGTGAAGCTCGAGTATTGCGAGACTTCCGTGATGATGGCGGACATCATGACCAAGGGACTTTCCGGACCTCGTCACAAGGACTTGACGACGGCTCTCGGCATTCGTGCGAGTTCGGATTGAGGGGGCGTGTTGACGGTCATCGGTTTTCTACCAGTATTGGTAACCGTGACCGGTCCAATCCGAACCGCCTGTTCAGCTTAGTATTTACGACGTAGTTCTTACGGTAATTACCATAGTTGATTAGACGCGTAGGATGATGAGACGCTTCACATGATTTACATGTACACCACATATAAATCATGTAGTAAGTAGTAAGCCCCGATAATCAATCACTTTCCAATCTTCCATCTACCCCCAAGTGTCTTCTCCGGTCTTCCGAGTAGACTCCCAGCATCACTCCCAGTTTCGGTCGTCAAGCTTTTCACCAATCAACAGGTTATGAGCCCAAGCACGATGTCCTCTGCTCATGATGCCACCACCAAGATCTCCATCGACAAGTTCGACGGCGACAACTACGCGACGTGGAGCCGCTACATGCGTGGCGTGTTCCTGACCAAGTCGGCGTGGCACGTGGTGAACCGGGAGACCACCCCCACCTTCGCCGATCCTCGCGCCAGTGACGACTACATCAAGACGAACAACATTGCGTTCGGCTTGATGCTGCTGCACATGAGCGCGGATTATCATCACGTGGTTGATGACTGTGAAGAGGCGTGGGTCGCGTGGGCGCGTTTGAAGACGCTGTACGGCGGGTCGCAGAAGGCTGGACGCATCTACTTGAAGCGCCAGCTGTTCAGCATGGAGATGGCGGAAGGCGGCAATGTGATGCATCATTGCAACGAAGTCCTCAACATCAGCGCGAAGCTCAGCAGCATCGGCGCCAAGATGGAGGACGAGGACGTGGCGATCTGCTTGTTGCGCAGCCTCCCCAAGAGCTACGAGAACGTCGTTCTCAACTTGGAGATGAGCAGCGCGGAACTGCGATCGCGAGACGTCGTGAGAGTGCTCACGAATGAGCACATCAAGAGACAAGGTGACAAGACGACATCGGTGAAGACTGAAGACGCGGCGAAGGCGTTCAGTGCCGAGCGTGAACCTCGCCAGTGTACATACTGCGGAAAATTGGGGCACACGGCGGAGCGGTGCTGGACCAAGCAGAAGGACGAAAATCAAGGTGGAGCTCGACGCGGCGGCAACAATGCTCGTGGACGCGGAGCCAACAACGTTCAGTGGCGAACCAACAGCAACTACGATTACAACTACGATCGAGTTGCGTTCGCGGTTTCGCTGGAGGCTGGACTTTCGACGGGCAAGAATATGCCAGGGATGTGGGCAGTCGACAGCGGTGCGACGCATCACATCTGCAACGACAAGGCCAAGTTTGCAAGCCTGAATGAGCGAGAGGAAGGCGAACTATCAGTGGCTGATGGCAGCAAGGCTGCGATCAAGGGTGTGGGAACCATCATGGAACGGGTGGTTCTACCCAATGGTGACGAACGCGACATCGAGATCAAGGACGCACTGTTCGTACCAAGTATGAGCAAGAATCTGCTTTCGGTGCCACAGATCAACAAGGGTGGCAGGTTCCAAGTCGTGTTCGATGGATCCAAGATGCAAGTGAAGCGCAAGAATTCCACACTAGTCGTGGCAACAGCGGATCTCGTCGATGGACTTTACTGGCTGCGGACTCCTCAACGATCGGCAAATGCAGCAACACGCAATGGGACCATCGACTTGCATGCGCGCATGGGTCATGCACCCCTCGAAGTTCTGCGCAAGATGGTGGCCACTGGCATGATCAAGGACGCCAAGGCACCTCTCAACTCGACTGGTCCAAGTGTGTGTCGCGGTTGCCAGCAAGGAAAGATGGTCCAAAAACCATTCCCAACCAACCGTGACAAACGCCAATATGGTGTGTTCGAGTTGCTGCACTTCGACATCTGCGGGCCAATGGAACAAGTCTCGATCGGCGGCAGCAAATACTTACTGCTTGTGGTTGACGAAGCTAGCGGTTGCATGAAGGGCTTCTGTCTGCGGTCCAAGTCTGAGAGTGAAGACTGTATCAAGAACCACATTATCAAGATTCAAACTCAGTTCGGCACGAAGATCAAGTTTGTTCGGCACAATGGAGCGCATGAGTTTGCGACCAACTCCATCAAGACCTTCTACGAAGATCATGGTATCGAACAACAGATCACGGTGCCGTATGCACACCAGACCAACGGCACCGCAGAACGCGCGATAAGGACCATCGTCACGATCGGACGCAGCTTGTTGCATCATGCAAAACTGGAGAAGTGTTTCTGGGCTGAAGCGGCAATGACGGCGATCTACATCAAGAACCGCCTGCCTTCACCCAAGATCGACCACAAGACTCCGTTCGAAATCGTGTACAAGTCGAAACCAAGTGTCAAGCACATGCGCGTGTTTGGATGTCGGGCGTTTATCCTGACACCAAGGGAGAAGCGATTGAAGTGGGACCCGAAGGCTCGTGAAGGGATGTTCATGGGCTACGAAGAAGCGTCAAAAGCTTATCGAGTGTACGACATTGAGGCGGGCCAAGTGGTGATCAGTCGTGACATCACCTTCGACGAATCGACTTTTGACTTTTCGATGGACCGACCAAGTGACGATGATGAAGATGCGGAGTTGGACCTCGACCTCCTGGCGATCAACGAGGACGACGTGCGTCAAACCGTCTACAAGCAGACTGGCAAGCGCAAGAGTGAAGCAAGACCCGGCATGTCACGTTCAGCTCGCCCTCGAACTGGGTTGGAACAAGCAAGTGCGCTGGAATACGTCTCCAACCGTCACCAGAAACGACGATCAAGTGCTCCAGAAACGATGTCTGATGACGAAGAAGATGCAAGCGTCTACAATCAAGATGACGACTCGACGCCTCCAACATTTTGGCGTGCAAGTGCAAACGCAGTGGAAGCAACGGACCTAGCAGAACCTGTGACTTTTCAAGACGCGATCAATGGTCCTGATCAAGCTCACTGGCGAAATGCTGTGAAGGCGGAACTCAAGTCGATGCACCTTCGTGGAGTTTTCCGTGCGACAAAACTGCCAAGAGGCCAAGGCGCGATCGGCACCAAGTGGGTGTTCAAGATCAAGCGCAAAGCGGATGGATCGGTCGAGAAATACAAGGCGCGTCTCGTTGCCAAGGGCTTCAAGCAGAAGTACGGCATCGACTACACAGAGACGTTCTCGCCCGTGGTCAAGTACGTGACACTGCGTATGGTGATCGCGATCACCAAGTATTTCGACTGGCCACTGGACCAACTCGATGTGGTGACAGCCTTTCTCTACGGAGTGATGAAGGAGAAGGTGTACTGCGTGATACCAGAAGGCGTCGAGATGGATGGCGACTTCGACTGTCTCGAGTTGGTGAAGGTGATCTACGGTCTCAAGCAAGCTTCACGTGTGTGGAACGAGACTTTCGACGAGTTTGTATGCTCTATCGGTTTCGAGGCGTCGGCGTTCGACCCATGTCTCCACATCAAGGTTGTCGACGGTCACTGTGTGCTCGTGCTGGTCTACGTGGATGACGTGTTGGTCACCGGCAGCTCGCTCGAGTTGATTGCGCAGACGAAGGCCGACCTCAAGACGCGTTTCGAGATGACCGACAGTGGCAAGTGTACTTTTGTACTGGGCATCGAACTGGTGGATGAATCGGGTGGCAGCGTGACGATGTGCCAGCGACGGTATGTCAACGACATCCTCAAGCGCTTCGGCATGGATGAGTGCAAGGCCACAGCAAGTCCGGTCGACTTGAGCACTCGGCTTGTCGCAAGCACCGAAGCGGCCAAGATCGACGTTCCGTTTGGTGAAGCTGTGGGAGCTTTGATGCACTTGACGACTGCGACGCGCCCGGACATTGCGTATGCTGTGGGGTACGTCTCGCGCTTCATGGAGAATCCGCAGCAAGAACATTGGACGGCGGTGAAGCGCATCTTTCGTTACTTGCAAGGGACCAAGTCGCACGGACTCCGCTTCCAGCCAAGCGACAAGATCGACTTTCGTGGCTACTCGGACGCGGACTGGGCCGGCGACCACGCTGATCGCAAGTCGACTTCGGGTTACACTTTCATGCTGATGGGTGCTCCTGTGAGTTGGGGAAGCAAGAAGCAGTCAAGTGTGTCGCTGTCGACGAGTGAAGCGGAATACATCGCACTGAGTCTGGCCATCCAGGAAGGCAAGTGGGTGCATCGCCTGCTATGCGAGATTTCGGCGGCCGCAAACGAACCAGGACCGGACCTCGTCATCCGTGAAGACAACCAGTCGTGCATCGAGATGACGAAGAATCCGGTGAATCATGGCCGCGCCAAGCACATCGACATCAAGTACCATCACATCCGTGATGAGGTCAAGCGCGGTGAAGTGAAGCTCGAGTATTGCGAGACTTCCGTGATGATGGCGGACATCATGACCAAGGGACTTTCCGGACCTCGTCACAAGGACTTGACGACGGCTCTCGGCATTCGTGCGAGTTCGGATTGAGGGGGCGTGTTGACGGTCATCGGTTTTCTACCAGTATTGGTAACCGTGACCGGTCCAATCCGAACCGCCTGTTCAGCTTAGTATTTACGACGTAGTTCTTACGGTAATTACCATAGTTGATTAGACGCGTAGGATGATGAGACGCTTCACATGATTTACATGTACACCACATATAAATCATGTAGTAAGTAGTAAGCCCCGATAATCAATCACTTTCCAATCTTCCATCTACCCCCCAAGTGTCTTCTCCGGTCTTCCGAGTAGACTCCCAGCATCACTCCCAGTTTCGGTCGTCAAGCTTTTCACCAATCAACAGCCTTCGGATCCCATTTCGATCTCTTTTCTTTAGGGGTCAGCACAAATGGTTGGCAGCCAAAAACTTGCATGTGCTTCACACTTGGTCGAAATCCGTTGACGATCTCGAACGGGGTTTGATCTTGGCACTTGGGCGATGGTAGGTGATTCTTGATGTAGATCGCCGTCATTGCTGCTTAAACTCAAAAGAACTTGTCCAGCTTGGCGTAGTGAAGCATGCTGCGCCCGATCATCACAATTGCCCGAATTGCCCGTTCCGCCGTGCCGTTGGTCTGATGCGCATATTGAACGGTAACTTGCTGCTCGATTCCTTGATCATTGTAAAATGCCTTGAGCGAATTTGCCGCAAATTCGCGTGCACCATCGTGTCGAGCGAACTTGACCTTGTAGTTAAACTGCGTCTGTACTGCCATGATGTACTTCTTGATGCACTCTTCGCTGTCGGAATTGGCGCGCAGACTGAAACCCTTTATACATCCGCTGCCTTCATCTACGGTCAGTAGCAAGTACTTGCTTCAACCTAGTGAGTCGACTTCCATTGGACCACAAGTGTCGATGTGCTTGGCCCGACCATGGTTCACAGGATTCTTCGTCATCTTGATGCACGATTGGTTGTCTTCCATGATCTTGAGCTCGGGTCCAGAATTGTCCTATGCAGCATCCAGAATCTCGCACGGCAATCGATGCACCCACTTTCCTTCATGAATCGCCAGACTTAGTGCAATGTACTCAGCTTCACTTGTTGACAGCGACACACTTGACTGCTTTTTGCTTCTCCAGCTCACCGGAGCACCCATCAGGATTAACGCATATCCCGAAGTCGACTTGCGGTCTGCATGGTCGCCGGCCCAGTCTGCATCCAAGTAGCCGCAGAAGTCTACCTTGTCATCAGACTTTAAACAGATGCCGTGCGACTTAGTCCCTTGTAAGTATCGCAAAATGCGCTTGACCGCCATCCAATGCTCAACTTGGGAGTTTTCCACGAAGCGCGAAACGTAACTCACAGCAAAGGCAATGTCCGGTCGTGTCGCGGTCATCAAGTGCATTAAAGCGCCTACTGCTTCACAAAACGGGGCATCGATTTTGGTTACTGCGGTGCCTGGTATGAGTCGAAAACTGATGTCTGTTGGGCTGGTGACGGCTTTGCAGTCGCTCATGCCAAAACGCTTGAGAACATCTTCCACGTAGCGTCGCTGGCACATCGTCACGCTACCATTGTCGTTGTCCACCAGCTCGATACCCAACACAAATGCGCACTTGCCGCTGTCAGTCATTTCGAAACGCGCCTTCAAGTCACTCTTGGTGCGCATAATCAGTTCAGTCGAGCTGCCAGTCACCAACACATCATCAACGTATACCAGCAAAAGCTGATGAACTTTAGACTTCTTGGTCCGAGTGCAAAACGCAAAGTGAATATATATTTATAATAGGTACTTAGTTCGCAACTTTGAATACTACCTCTAAGCCTATTATTCGCAGTGACGTCATCCAGTGACGTCACCCCTATCACCCACTACTCATGCAATGACGTCATCCAGTGACGTCATTTCCTGACTTCGCCCTTACTGGTACATACCGGTACCCACCGGTATAGCGAAGCTTGGTCTTCCACTTGCTTCAACACTTGACGCAGCTTGACGAGGTGTCTTCTTCACAGCCGCTGTCTTTTCAACACTCCCTCTCGACTCGTTAGCTGCGGCACCTTGGATCCCAAGTCGATCGCGAATGTTTTCAAATTGTACAGCGGCGATCGGCTTGGTCATCATGTCTGCCAGCATATCTTGAGTCGGGCAATACTCCAAAACGACTTCACCTGATTCCACCTTCTCACGCACAAAATGGTAGCGTATGTCGATGTGTTTTGTTCTCTTATGGAACTCCGGGTTCTTGGCGAGAGCGATTGATCCTTGGTTGTCTTCATACATCTTGATCGCTTCGTCGCTTGTCATCTCACCAAGCTCCCCCAAAAGCACTTTGAGCCATACTGCTTCTTTGGTTGCTTCGGAAAGCGCCATGTATTCTGCTTCTGTTGAAGATAGCGCGACCGTCCGTTGTTTCTGGCTTTTCCAGCTGATGCATCCTCCGCTCATCATGAACACATAGCCGCTTGTACTTCGTCTTGACTCAATGTCGCCGGCCCAGTCTGCGTCGGTGTACCCGCAGATACGGCTTCCTTCTTCACGTGTAAACTCAAGACCATGATTGGGCGTTGCTTTCAGGTATCTCAGCACACGCTTCAAAGCTTGCCAGTGAGTCGGGCATGGGTCGGACGAGAACTGGGATAATGATCCCACTGCAGCAGCTAGATCCGGACGTGTGGCGACCATGAGATACATGATGCCTCCGACAGCACTTCGATATGGCACGTTGCACATGGTGTCTTCGTGCTTGCATTCTTGTTCACACATGTTCTTGGTTAGCTTCAGGCCGGGATCTTGAGGCGTCTTCACTGGCTTGCTGTTATCCATTCCGAACTTGGTTAACACGGACTTGAAAAACTTGGTTTGTTGTACAGTCACCATTCCCGTCTTACGGTCGTTCTTGATCTCCATGCCGAGAAAGTAATCGAGCTCACCGAGATCCGTCATTTCGAAGCGTTTGCTCAGCGCCATCTTGGTTGACTTGAGGAGTTCGTTGTTGCTGCTGGCCAGGATGAGATCATCGACGTAGAGCACCACGAGAATCATGTCTTGGTCGTCTCGCTTGATGTAGATGCAGTGGTCCGATTCGCACTTCTTGAATCCCATCTTGATCATGAACCCATCGATTGTTTGGTTCCACATGCGAGGCGATTGCTTCAAGCCGTAGAGTGATCTCTTTAGCTTGCACACATAGTCCGGCTGTGTTGCATCCAGGATCCGTCCGGCTGGTCCATGTAGATGTCTTCGTTGAGGGAGCCGTTAAGAAACGCTGTCTTGACGTCCATCTGATGTAGCATTAGGCCGTACTTGGCCGCCATACTGAGCACCACACGAATCGATGTGAACTTGGCCACCGGTGCGAAAGTTTCTTCATAGTCAACTCCGAATTTCTGTGAGAATCCTTTGGCCACAAGTCTTGCCTTGAAACGTTCAACTTCGCCATCTTGATTCTCCTTTACACGAAAAACCCATCGGCACCCGATGGCCTTGCGACCTTTCGGAAGAGGCACGATTTCCCACGTGTCGTTTCTCTGAAGCGAATCGAACTCCGAGTCACACGCTTCTTTCCACTTGCCGGAGTCGCTTGATTCCATCGCCGACTTGAATGTAGTCGGCGTTTCCCCCACTGAATCAACGATGTAGGCTGCTTCAAAATCCATTGCAGCCGCTGACACATGCTCAAGCGACGGACCTCTGTATGTTCTTCGCTTGGGACTTGGAATGATGGTAGCTTTCTCAAGTGATTGAGTGCGCGTGTGTCTCTTGATGTTGCTCTTCGAAGACCTGGTGTCTTCGTTGTCATCGTCGCTCGAGTCCATGTCGTCGTCAGTTTTACCTTCTTCTTTTTCTTCGTCCTCATCATGATCATCAAACTCAACGACACTTGACTCATCGTTGTAGTTGCGCGGACCTTCATCAAACTTGTCTTCCATGAATGTGGCATCGCGACTGATCTTGATCGCTCCTGTTGACACTTCCTCAAATCGATATGACTTCTGGTGTTCGGCGTATCCCAGGAAACGACAGAGTGATGACTTGGAGTCGAACTTCGCGCGTTTGTCTTGAGGCACTTGAACATACGCGTGGCATCCAAACACTTTAAGGTTGGCCAGAATCGGTTTCTTCATCGTCCACACTTGATATGGAGACTTGTCTTGGTGAATGGCACGTGTTGGACAGCGGTTTCGAAGAAACATCGCCGTCATCACTGCTTCACCCCAGTAGCTCTTTCCCAGTCCAGCGTGTTCCATCATGCAACGCGCACACTCGACCAGCGTGCGATTCATTCTCTCAGCTACTCCGTTTAGCTGAGGAGTATATGGAGGTGTGAACCTTTGTTGTATTCCCCGTTCCGCGCAGAATCGTGCCAGCTTGTCGGACTTGTATTCACCCCCATTGTCGCTTTGAAGGTACTTCACGCGCTTTCCGGTTTGCGTTTCGGCCATCGCAGCGTATTCCATGAACTTCGCCGCAACTTCAGATTTGCTCTTGAGCAGATAGACGACACAGTATCTTGACTTGTCATCAATGAATGTCACGAAGTACCGTTTTCCACTGAAAGTTGCCATCGACATCGGTCCGCATACGTCGCTGTGAATCACTTCGAGGAGTTTGGAGGTGCGAGCTGTAGTGTTTGATTGGAAGCGCACTCGAGTCTGTTTTCCCAGAGCACAACCTTCACACACGTCCCACTTCTTCACCGAAGATATGTCGATGCCAATTCCAATGTTCTTCGTCACGATGCAATTGAGTCCATCGTGACCTATGTGGCCAAGCCGAAGGTGCCAGAGGTACGACTTGGTGCCCCCTTGGCATCCCGACGACTTGGCTGCATTTGCTTGTTCTGGCGCCACTGGAGTCATTTGCAGCTTGAACAGTCCTTTACCTTCACGGGCACCAATTTTCCACTTGGTCCCTTTCGCTTTTCCATAGCACCCATCCTTCGTGAACGTCACTGGGCCGACATCCTTGGTGAAGCGGCCGACCGAGAACAGGTTTCTGGATAACTTTGGGATGTGCCACACGTTTGTGAGCACACCTTTCTTCATCCCTTGGGGTGTCTTCATCGACATGACAATGTCCCCACTGCCGATTGCTTGGACGATTCCATCATCCGCGAGATGGACATCCACAGCGTCAAACCCCTTGTAGTTCCGCATGAACTTCTTGGAGCACGTCATGTGCTGCGTCGCCCCGGAGTCGACCAGCCAGATGTCGCTCGATTTCGCAGATGTCGTTTCACCGATCGAAAAGAGGTAGTCGCCCGAGTCTTCTTCTTGAGCGACGTTTGCACGTTGTGATCGATAGCGGTCGCCGCTGTCTTGAGCACGCTGTGGCCGGTGTCTCTCCGTGTTTTCTTGGATGCGCGAGGGGCACTCCGCCATCCAGTGACCAATCTTTCCGCAATTGTGGCACGGCCAGGACTTCTTCACTGGTCGCCCTTTGCGCTGATTGTCCCTTGTGATGAACGCTTGACCTTGCGAAGCTTCATCACCTTTACTTCCTTGCTCCTTCCGCTTCATTTCTTCATGAAGCAGTCGAGACGTCACGAGCTCCCAGCTAAGAGTGTCTGAGCGCGACTCCAAAGCTGTGATCAAGAATTGATACGAGTCACTCAGGCTGCCGAGGAGTGTGATCACCAGATCGTCCTCGCAGACTGGAGCCCCCACCGCTTCTAGCTGTTCCGCCAGCGTCTTGAGCTTGTTGATGTGTTCGAGCACATCGTCGCCTTCTTCCATCATTGTCGTGAAGAAGCGACGGCGCAAGAACAGCTTGTTGGCAAGACTCTTCTTCTCGAAGTGGTCTTCCAACCTTGACCATGCGTCGCATGCACCACTTGCCGACCGGACCAACGGTAACTGGGAATCTTCCATGGCTAGAAAGATCACTGCCATCGCCTTTCTTGACTTCCTCTTGTACGTCGCTTGGTCCAACTGAGTCACGCACTGTTCCGCCTTGATCTCACCGCTGACGACCTCCCATAGGTCCCGTTCCTCCAGCACCATCTGCATCTTGAACTTCCAGGCGTGGAAGTTAGTTCCATCGAACTTGGAGATGCGGAGGGAGGAGGCGTCCATGGCAGCTAAGCTTGAATTGTTGGCGGTTTCAGAGTCTGACGAACTTGGGCTCATAACCTGATGAACTTTAGACTTCTTGGTCCGAGTGCAAAACGCAAAGTGAATATATATTTATAATAGGTACTTAGTTCGCAACTTTGAATACTACCTCTAAGCCTATTATTCGCAGTGACGTCATCCAGTGACGTCACCCACTGACGTCACCCACTGACGTCATGCAATGACGTCATCCAGTGACGTCATTTCCTGACTTCGCCCTTACTGGTACATACCGGTACCCACCGGTATAGCGAAGCTTGGTCTTCCACTTGCTTCAACACTTGACGCAGCTTGACGAGGTGTCTTCTTCACAGCCGCTGTCTTTTCAACAAAAGCACGCACTCGCCACTTGTAATCTTGAGATAAAGACACAGGTCAAAATGAGATACTTGAAATCCAATGGAGCAGACGAACTCATGGAAAGTCTCGTTCCATACGCGCGATGCTTGTTTTAGTCCGTAGATCGCCTTCTCCAATTCGAAGCAGTCAAAGTCTTCATCAACTTCGACCCCTTCTGGGATCGCGCAGAATACCTTTTCCTTCATCTCTCCGCATAGCAAAGCTGTCACCACGTCCAGCAGGTCCAGTGTCCAGTCAAAGTACTTCGTGATTGCAACTACCATGCGCAGCGTCACGTACTTGACAACCGTCGAAAACGTCTCCGTGTAGTCGATGCCATATTTCTGCTTGAACCCTTTTGCCACGAGACGCGCCTTTTATTTCTCGATGGATCCATCAGCTTTCCGCTTGATCTTTAATACCCACTTGGTGCCAATAGTATACTGTCCAGCTGGCTGTTTGGTCGCTCGAAACATGCCACGAAGTTTCATCGAGTCAACTCAGCACAGATTGCTTTACGCCAATGCACTTGATCCGGTCCATCAACAGCATCTTTAAACGTTGTCAGCTCAGACAAGTCAGTACCTTCGACTGCGTTGACACTCGCTCGCCACAAGACTTGAAGTGTAGCATCCTCGTTATCTTCGTCACTGCCCTTTCTCTCTTCGTCCAGATTGGCTCGAGCGCTTGACCGTCGCTTCGCTTGGTGCGATTCAAAGTCATCCGGGGCACTTGCTTCTTCTAACCCGGTTCCACGACGCTCAGGAAGTGTCCGTTGTAGAGCTTGTTCTTGGCTGTTTGAACGGCTTTTGCGTTTTCCAGTTTGCTTGAACTGCATGGGGTGAGGCTCATCGCTGATGTTCATCGATTCGATATCCAGCGCAGTGTCATCAACAATTTCTTGTGGTAGCGTCGGCGAGAAACCAAACGTTGATTCGTCGAATGTGACATCGCGAGATATCACCACTTGATCCGCTTCAATGTCGTAAACGCGATATGCCTTTACCACTTCTTCGTACCCCATGAATCGTCCTTCACGAGCCTTCGGATCCCATTTCGATCTCTTTTCCTTAGGGGTCAGCACCAACGTTTAGCAGCCGAAAAACCCGCATGTGCTTCACACTTGGTCGAAATCCGTTGAAAATCTCAAACGGGGTTTATTCTTGCCACCTGAATGCGATTCTTGATATAGATCGCCGTTGTTGCATTGGTAGAGAGCGGAGCAGATGGAGCGGAGAGGCTAAAGGGAGTGGAGAAGAAGAGACTTGCTCACTCAGTTGGAAGATTCGAAAGCAGTTGATTATCGGGGCTTACTTCTTACTACATGATTTATATGTGGTGCACATGTAAATCATGTGAAGTGTCTCGTCATCCTACGCGTCTAATCAACTATGGTAATTACCGTAAGAACTACTTCGTAAATACCAAGCTGAACGGCGGTTCGGATTGGACCGGTCACGGTTACCTATACTAGTAGGAAACCGATGACCGTCAACACGCTCCCTCAACGCGAACACGCACAAATCCCGAAAGCCGCCGTCATCTCCTTGTGGCGTGGCCCGTGAAGTCCCTTCGTCATGATGTCCGCTAACATCACCGCATTTTCACAGTACTTGAGCTTCACTTCACCGCGCTTGACCTCATCACCGATGTGATGATACTTTACGTCAATGTGCTTGGCACGGCCGTGGTTGACCGGGTTCTTCGTCATCTTGATACACGACTGATTGTCTGCATGGATCATGAGTTCCGTTCCTTCTTCATTGGCAGCCATCATGATCTCACAAAGCAGACGATGAATCCACTTGCCCTCTTGAATCGCCAAGCTGAGTGCGATGCATTCGGCTTCACTCGTGGACAACGAAACACTTGGCTGTTTCTTGCTGCCCCAACTCACTGGCGCACCCAACAGCATGAACACGTATCCAGACGTCGACTTGCGATTAGCGAGGTCACCGGCCCAGTCTGCATCCGAGTAGCCACGAAAGTCGATCTTCGCATTTGGCCTGTAGCAGCTTCCGTGCATCTTGGTGCATTGTAGGTAGCGGAAGATGCGCTTAACTGCAACCCAGTGTTCTTCTTGGGGGTTCTCTATAAATCGCGACACATAGTCCACGGCGAACGCAGCGTTCGTGCGCGTTGCAGTGGTCAGATGCATCAACGCACCAACAGCTTCGCGAAAAGGAGCATTGACCTTGGTGGCTGCATCACTTGAAACAAGTCGAGAGCTCATGTCGACTGGACTTGCGACGGCCTTGCAATCATCCATGCCAAAGCGCTTGAGTACGTCATCTACATACCGACGCTGACATAGTGTCACACTTCCATCTGCGCCGTCCAAAAGCTCGATTCCAAGCACAAATGCACACTTACCGCTGTCAGTCATCTCGAATCGTGTCTTCAGGTCGGTCTTGGTTTGTGCAATCAGCTCGCATGAGCTACCGGTGATCAACACGTCATCCACATACACCAGCAGCAGCGCGCATTGCCCTTCCACAATCCTTATGCAAAGACACGGGTCGAGGCTTGACGCTAGAAATTCAATAGCACACACGAACTCGTCAAACGTTTCGCTCCATACGCGCGACGTTTGTTTTAGTCCGGAGATTGCCTTCACCAACTCCAGACAATCGAAGGAGTCTTCCAATTCCACGCCTTCAGGGATGACTCAGAACACTTGTTCCTTCATGACGCCATACAGGAATGCCGTCACAACGTCAAGTTGGTCGATGGTCCATCCGAAATACTTGGCGACTGCAATCACCATGCGTAGCGTCACGTACTTGACGACGGGCGAGAATGTTTCCGTGTAGTCCATCCCATATTGTTGCTTGAAACCCTTTGCCACAAGACGCGCCTTGTACTTGTCAATTGATTCGTCCGCTTTGCGTTTGATCTTGAAGACCCACTTCGTGCCAATGGCGCGATATCCTTCAGGTAGCTTGGCTGCGCGGAATACTTCACGAAGTCGCATCGACTCAAGTTCCGCACGGACAGCTTCGCGCCAATGCACTTGATCAGGACCGCTCACCGCAGCTTCAAAAGTCGATGGCTCGGATAAGTCCACTGCTGTTTCGATGGCGTTCGCACTCGCACGCCAAAACACAGGCGGAGTCGATGCATCAGCATTCTTTGTTTCTTCATCTTCTACTTGGTGGGTCGTGTGGTTGTCTGGCGCACTTGATTCTTCCAGTCCAGGCCGTTGACGCACTGTGCGCGCGGGTGGAGCTATTACTCCTTCATCATGGGGACGACTCTTGCACTTGTCTGTTTGCTTGTACTGCGCTTGACCTGGCGCTTCATCATCCAGATCGAGGGAGTCGAAGTCAAGGTCATCGGCGTCTTCAGCGGTGGTAGGCGGCGAAAGTCCAAAGGCGGACTCGTCAAAGTTGACATCGCGACTGATGAACACCTGCCCCGCCTCGATGTCATAAACGCGATACGCTTTGGATGCTTCTTCGTAGCCCAAGGATATCCCAGTGCGAGCCTTGGGGTCCCACTTGGGCCGCTTCTCCTTCGGTGTCAGTATGCAAACTTGACAACCGAACACCTGCATGTGCTTGACATTTTGCTTGGAGTTGTGGACGATCTCGAACGGAGTCTTGTGCATAACTTTAGGTGAAGGCAGACGGTTCTTGACGTAGTTTGCCGTCATTGCTGCTTCGGCCTGTTGAAAAGACAGCGGCTGTGAAGAAGACACCTCGTCAAGCTGCGTCAAGTGTTGAAGCAAGTGGAAGACCAAGCTTCGCTATACCGGTGGGTACCGGTATGTACCAGTAAGGGCGAAGTCAGGAAATGACGTCACTGGATGACGTCATTGCATGACGTCAGTGGGTGACGTCAGTGGGTGACGTCACTGGATGACGTCACTGCGAATAATAGGCTTAGAGGTAGTATTCAAAGTTGCGAACTAAGTACCTATTATAAATATATATTCACTTTGCGTTTTGCACTCGGACCAAGAAGTCTAAAGTTCATCAGGTTATGAGCCCAAGTTCGTCAGACTCTGAAACCGCCAACAATTCAAGCTTAGCTGCCATGGACGCCTCCTCCCTCCGCATCTCCAAGTTCGATGGAACTAACTTCCACGCCTGGAAGTTCAAGATGCAGATGGTGCTGGAGGAACGGGACCTATGGGAGGTCGTCAGCGGTGAGATCAAGGCGGAACAATGCGTGACTCAGTTGGACCAAGCGACGTACAAGAGGAAGTCAAGAAAGGCGATGGCAGTGATCTTTCTAGCCATGGAAGATTCCCAGCTACCGTTGGTCCGGTCGGCAAGTGGCGCATGCGACGCATGGTCAAGGTTGGAAGACCACTTCGAGAAGAAGAGTCTTGCCAACAAGCTGTTCTTGCGCCGTCGCTTCTTCACGACAATGATGGAAGAAGGCGACGATGTGCTCGAACACATCAACAAGCTCAAGACGCTGGCGGAACAGCTAGAAGCGGTGGGGGCTCCAGTCTGCGAGGACGATCTGGTGATCACACTCCTCGGCAGCCTGAGTGACTCGTATCAATTCTTGATCACAGCTTTGGAGTCGCGCTCAGACACTCTTAGCTGGGAGCTCGTGACGTCTCGACTGCTTCATGAAGAAATGAAGCGGAAGGAGCAAGGAAGTAAAGGTGATGAAGCTTCGCAAGGTCAAGCGTTCATCACAAGGGACAATCAGCGCAAAGGGCGACCAGTGAAGAAGTCCTGGCCGTGCCACAATTGCGGAAAGATTGGTCACTGGATGGCGGAGTGCCCCTCGCGCATCCAAGAAAACACGGAGAGACACCGGCCACAGCGTGCTCAAGACAGCGGCGACCGCTATCGATCACAACGTGCAAACGTCGCTCAAGAAGAAGACTCGGGCGACTACCTCTTTTCGATCGGTGAAACGACATCTGCGAAATCGAGCGACATCTGGCTGGTCGACTCCGGGGCGACGCAGCACATGACGTGCTCCAAGAAGTTCATGCGGAACTACAAGGGGTTTGACGCTGTGGATGTCCATCTCGCGGATGATGGAATCGTCCAAGCAATCGGCAGTGGGGACATTGTCATGTCGATGAAGACACCCCAAGGGATGAAGAAAGGTGTGCTCACAAACGTGTGGCACATCCCAAAGTTATCCAGAAACCTGTTCTCGGTCGGCCGCTTCACCAAGGATGTCGGCCCAGTGACGTTCACGAAGGATGGGTGCTATGGAAAAGCGAAAGGGACCAAGTGGAAAATTGGTGCCCGTGAAGGTAAAGGACTGTTCAAGCTGCAAATGACTCCAGTGGCGCCGGAACAATCAAATGCAGCCAAGTCGTCGGGATGCCAAGGGGGCACCAAGTCGTACCTCTGGCACCTTCGGCTTGGCCACATAGGTCACGATGGACTCAATTGCATCGTGACGAAGAACATTGGAATTGGCATCGACATATCTTCGGTGAAGAAGTGGGACGTGTGTGAAGGTTGTGCTCTGGGAAAACAGACTCGAGTGCGCTTCCAATCAAACACTACAGCTCGCACCTCCAAACTCCTCGAAGTGATTCACAGCGACGTATGCGGACCGATGTCGATGGCAACTTTCAGTGGAAAACGGTACTTCGTGACATTCATTGATGACAAGTCAAGATACTGTGTCATCTATCTGCTCAAGAGCAAATCTGAAGTTGCGGCGAAGTTCATGGAATACGCTGCGATGGCCGAAACGCAAACCGGAAAGCGCGTGAAGTACCTTCAAAGCGACAATGGGGGTGAATACAAGTCCGACAAGCTGGCACGATTCTGCGCGGAACGGGGAATACAACAAAGGTTCACACCCCCATATACTCCTCAGCTAAACGGAGTAGCTGAGAGAATGAATCGCACGCTGGTCGAGTGTGCGCGTTGCATGATGGAACACGCTGGACTGGGAAAGAGCTACTGGGGTGAAGCAGTGATGACGGCGATGTTTCTTCGAAACCGCTGTCCAACACGTGCCATTCACCAAGACAAGTCTCCATATCAAGTGTGGACGGTGAAGAAACCGATTCTGGCCAACCTTAAAGTGTTTGGATGCCACGCGTATGTTCAAGTGCCTCAAGACAAACGCGCGAAGTTCGACTCCAAGTCATCACTCTGTCGTTTCCTGGGATACGCCGAACACCAGAAGTCATATCGATTTGAGGAAGTGTCAACAGGAGCGATCAAGATCAGTCGCGATGCCACATTCATGGAAGACAAGTTTGATGAAGGTCCGCGCAACTACAACGATGAGTCAAGTGTCGTTGAGTTTGATGATCATGATGAGGACGAAGAAAAAGAAGAAGGTAAAACTGACGACGACATGGACTCGAGCGACGATGACAACGAAGACACCAGGTCTTCGAAGAGCAACATCAAGAGACACACGCGCACTCAATCACTTTAGAAAGCTACCGTCATTCCAAGTCCCAAGCGAAGAACATACAGAGGTCCGTCGCTTGAGCATGTGTCAGCGGCTGCAATGGATTTTGAAGCAGCCTACATCGTTGATTCAGTGGGGGAAACGCCGACTACATTCAAGTCGGCGATGGAATCAAGCGACTCCGGCAAGTGGAAAGAAGCGTGTGACTCGGAGTTCGATTCGCTTCAGAGAAACGACACGTGGGAAATCGTGCCTCTTCCGAAAGGTCGCAAGGCCATCGGGTGCCGATGGGTTTTTCGTGTAAAGGAGAATCAAGATGGCGAAGTTGAACGTTTCAAGGCAAGACTTGTGGCCAAAGGATTCTCACAGAAATTCGGAGTTGACTATGAAGAAACTTTCGCACCGGTGGCCAAGTTCACATCGATTCGTGTGGTGCTCAGTATGGCGGCTAAGTACGGCCTAATGCTACATCAGATGGACGTCAAGACAGCGTTTCTTAACGGCTCCCTCAACGAAGACATCTACATGGACCAGCCGGACGGATACCTGGATACAACACAGCCGGACTATGTGTGCAAGCTAAAGAGATCACTCTACGGCTTGAAGCAATCGCCTCGCATGTGGAACCAAACAATCGATGGGTTCATGATCAAGATGGGATTCAAGAAGTGCGAATCGGACCACTGCATCTACATCAAGCGAGACGACCAAGACATGATTCTCGTGGTGCTCTACGTCGATGATCTCATCCTGGCCAGCAGCAACAACGAACTCCTCAAGTCAACCAAGATAGCGCTGAGCAAACGCTTCGAAATGACGGATCTCGGTGAGCTCGATTACTTTCTCGGCATGGAGATCAAGAACGACCGTAAGACGGGAATGGTGACTGTACAACAAACCAAGTTTCTCAAGTCCGTGTTAACCAAGTTCGGAATGGATAACAGCAAGCCAGTGAAGACGCCTCAAGATCCCGGCCTGAAGCTAACCAAGAACATGTGTGAACAAGAATGCAAGCACGAAGACACCATGTGCAACGTGCCATATCGAAGTGCTGTCGGAGGCATCATGTATCTCATGGTCGCCACACGTCCGGATCTAGCTGCTGCAGTGGGATCATTATCCCGGTTCTCGTCCGACCCATGCCCGACTCACTGGCAAGCTTTGAAGCGTGTGCTGAGATACCTGCAAGCAACGCCCAATCATGGTCTTGAGTTTACACGTGAAGAAGGAAGCCGTATCTGCGGGTACACCGACGCAGACTGGGCCGGCGACATTGAGTCAAGACGAAGTACAAGCGGCTATGTGTTCATGATGAGCGGAGGATGCATCAGCTGGAAAAGCCAGAAACAACGGACGGTCGCGCTATCTTCAACAGAAGCAGAATACATGGCGCTTTCCGAAGCAACCAAAGAAGCAGTATGGCTCAAAGTGCTTTTGGGGGAACTTGGTGAGATGACAAGCGACGAAGCTATCAAGATATATGAAGACAACCAAGGATCAATCGCTCTCGCCAAGAACCCGGAGTTCCATAAGAGAACAAAACACATCGACATACGCTACCATTTTGTGCGTGAGAAGGTGGAATCAGGTGAAGTCGTTTTGGAGTATTGCCCGACTCAAGATATGCTGGCAGACATGATGACCAAGCCGATCGCCGCTGTACAATTTGAAAACATTCGCGATCGACTTGGGATCCAAGGTGCCGCAGCTAACGAGTCGAGAGGGAGTGTTGAAAAGACAGCGGCTGTGAAGAAGACACCTCGTCAAGCTGCGTCAAGTGTTGAAGCAAGTGGAAGACCAAGCTTCGCTATACCGGTGGGTACCGGTATGTACCAGTAAGGGCGAAGTCAGGAAATGACGTCACTGGATGACGTCATTGCATGACGTCAGTGGGTGACGTCAGTGGGTGACGTCACTGGATGACGTCACTGCGAATAATAGGCTTAGAGGTAGTATTCAAAGTTGCGAACTAAGTACCTATTATAAATATATATTCACTTTGCGTTTTGCACTCGGACCAAGAAGTCTAAAGTTCATCAGGTTATGAGCCCAAGTTCGTCAGACTCTGAAACCGCCAACAATTCAAGCTTAGCTGCCATGGACGCCTCCTCCCTCCGCATCTCCAAGTTCGATGGAACTAACTTCCACGCCTGGAAGTTCAAGATGCAGATGGTGCTGGAGGAACGGGACCTATGGGAGGTCGTCAGCGGTGAGATCAAGGCGGAACAGTGCGAGACTCAGTTGGACCAAGCGACGTACAAGAGGAAGTCAAGAAAGGAGATGGCAGTGATCTGTCTAGCCATGGAAGATTCCCAGCTACCGTTGGTCCGGTCGGCAAGTGGTGCATGCGACGCATGGTCAAGGTTGGAAGACCACTTCGAGAAGAAGAGTCTTGCCAACAAGCTGTTCTTGCGCCGTCGCTTCTTCACGACAATGATGGAAGAAGGCGACGATGTGCTCGAACACATCAACAAGCTCAAGACGCTGGCGGAACAGCTAGAAGCGGTGGGGGCTCCAGTCTGCGAGGACGATCTGGTGATCACACTCCTCGGCAGCCTGAGTGACTCGTATCAATTCTTGATCACAGCTTTGGAGTCGCGCTCAGACACTCTTAGCTGGGAGCTCGTGACGTCTCGACTGCTTCATGAAGAAATGAAGCGGAAGGAGCAAGGAAGTAAAGGTGATGAAGCTTCGCAAGGTCAAGCGTTCATCACAAGGGACAATCAGCGCAAAGGGCGACCAGTGAAGAAGTCCTGGCCGTGCCACAATTGCGGAAAGATTGGTCACTGGATGGCGGAGTGCCCCTCGCGCATCCAAGAAAACACGGAGAGACACCGGCCACAGCGTGCTCAAGACAGCGGCGACCGCTATCGATCACAACGTGCAAACGTCGCTCAAGAAGAAGACTCGGGAGACTACCTCTTTTCGATCGGTGAAACGACATCTGCGAAATCGAGCGACATCTGGCTGGTCGACTCCGGGGCGACGCAGCACATGACGTGCTCCAAGAAGTTCATGCGGAACTACAAGGGGTTTGACGCTGTGGATGTCCATCTCGCGGATGATGGAATCGTCCAAGCAATCGGCAGTGGGGACATTGTCATGTCGATGAAGACACCCCAAGGGATGAAGAAAGGTGTGCTCACAAACGTGTGGCACATCCCAAAGTTATCCAGAAACCTGTTCTCGGTCGGCCGCTTCACCAAGGATGTCGGCCCAGTGACGTTCACGAAGGATGGGTGCTATGGAAAAGCGAAAGGGACCAAGTGGAAAATTGGTGCCCGTGAAGGTAAAGGACTGTTCAAGCTGCAAATGACTCCAGTGGCGCCGGAACAAGCAAATGCAGCCAAGTCGTCGGGATGCCAAGGGGGCACCAAGTCGTACCTCTGGCACCTTCGGCTTGGCCACATAGGTCACGATGGACTCAATTGCATCGTGACGAAGAACATTGGAATTGGCATCGACATATCTTCGGTGAAGAAGTGGGACGTGTGTGAAGGTTGTGCTCTGGGAAAACAGACTCGAGTGCGCTTCCAATCAAACACTACAGCTCGCACCTCCAAACTCCTCGAAGTGATTCACAGCGACGTATGCGGACCGATGTCGATGGCAACTTTCAGTGGAAAACGGTACTTCGTGACATTCATTGATGACAAGTCAAGATACTGTGTCGTCTATCTGCTCAAGAGCAAATCTGAAGTTGCGGCGAAGTTCATGGAATACGCTGCGATGGCCGAAACGCAAACCGGAAAGCGCGTGAAGTACCTTCAAAGCGACAATGGGGGTGAATACAAGTCCGACAAGCTGGCACGATTCTGCGCGGAACGGGGAATACAACAAAGGTTCACACCCCCATATACTCCTCAGCTAAACGGAGTAGCTGAGAGAATGAATCGCACGCTGGTCGAGTGTGCGCGTTGCATGATGGAACACGCTGGACTGGGAAAGAGCTACTGGGGTGAAGCAGTGATGACGGCGATGTTTCTTCGAAACCGCTGTCCAACACGTGCCATTCACCAAGACAAGTCTCCATATCAAGTGTGGACGATGAAGAAACCGATTCTGGCCAACCTTAAAGTGTTTGGATGCCACGCGTATGTTCAAGTGCCTCAAGACAAACGCGCGAAGTTCGACTCCAAGTCATCACTCTGTCGTTTCCTGGGATACGCCGAACACCAGAAGTCATATCGATTTGAGGAATTGTCAACAGGAGCGATCAAGATCAGTCGCGATGCCACATTCATGGAAGACAAGTTTGATGAAGGTCCGCGCAACTACAACGATGAGTCAAGTGTCGTTGAGTTTGATGATCATGATGAGGACGAAGAAAAAGAAGAAGGTAAAACTGACGACGACATGGACTCGAGCGACGATGACAACGAAGACACCAGGTCTTCGAAGAGCAACATCAAGAGACACACGCGCACTCAATCACTTGAGAAAGCTACCGTCATTCCAAGTCCCAAGCGAAGAACATACAGAGGTCCGTCGCTTGAGCATGTGTCAGCGGCTGCAATGGATTTTGAAGCAGCCTACATCGTTGATTCAGTGGGGAAACGCCGACTACATTCAAGTCGGCGATGGAATCAAGCGACTCCGGCAAGTGGAAAGAAGCGTGTGACTCGGAGTTCGATTCGCTTCAGAGAAACGACACGTGGGAAATCGTGCCTCTTCCGAAAGGTCGCAAGGCCATCGGGTGCCGATGGGTTTTTCGTGTAAAGGAGAATCAAGATGGCGAAGCTGAACGTTTCAAGGCAAGACTTGTGGCCAAAGGATTCTCACAGAAATTCGGAGTTGACTATGAAGAAACTTTCGCACCGGTGGCCAAGTTCACATCGATTCGTGTGGTGCTCAGTATGGCGGCTAAGTACGGCCTAATGCTACATCAGATGGACGTCAAGACAGCGTTTCTTAACGGCTCCCTCAACGAAGACATCTACATGGACCAGCCGGACGGATACCTGGATGCAACACAGCCGGACTATGTGTGCAAGCTAAAGAGATCACTCTACGGCTTGAAGCAATCGCCTCGCATGTGGAACCAAACAATCGATGGGTTCATGATCAAGATGGGATTCAAGAAGTGCGAATCGGACCACTGCATCTACATCAAGCGAGACGACCAAGACATGATTCTCGTGGTGCTCTACGTCGATGATCTCATCCTGGCCAGCAGCAACAACGAACTCCTCAAGTCAACCAAGATGGCGCTGAGCAAACGCTTCGAAATGACGGATCTCGGTGAGCTCGATTACTTTCTCGGCATGGAGATCAAGAACGACCGTAAGACGGGAATGGTGACTGTACAACAAACCAAGTTTCTCAAGTCCGTGTTAACCAAGTTCGGAATGGATAACAGCAAGCCAGTGAAGACGCCTCAAGATCCCGGCCTGAAGCTAACCAAGAACATGTGTGAACAAGAATGCAAGCACGAAGACACCATGTGCAACGTGCCATATCGAAGTGCTGTCGGAGGCATCATGTATCTCATGGTCGCCACACGTCCGGATCTAGCTGCTGCAGTGGGATCATTATCCCAGTTCTCGTCCGACCCATGCCCGACTCACTGGCAAGCTTTGAAGCGTGTGCTGAGATACCTGCAAGCAACGCCCAAGCATGGTCTTGAGTTTACACGTGAAGAAGGAAGCCGTATCTGCGGGTACACCGACGCAGACTGGGCCGGCGACATTGAGTCAAGACGAAGTACAAGCGGCTATGTGTTCATGATGAGCGGAGGATGCATCAGCTGGAAAAGCCAGAAACAACGGACGGTCGCGCTATCTTCAACAGAAGCAGAATACATGGCGCTTTCCGAAGCAACCAAAGAAGCAGTATGGCTCAAAGTGCTTTTGGGGGAACTTGGTGAGATGACAAGCGACGAAGCGATCAAGATGTACGAAGACAACCAAGGATCAATCGCTCTCGCCAAGAACCCGGAGTTCCATAAGAGAACAAAACGCATCGACATACGCTACCATTTTGTGCGTGAGAAGGTGGAATCAGGTGAAGTCGTTTTGGAGTATTGCCCGACTCAAGATATGCTGGCAGACATGATGACCAAGCCGATCGCCGCTGTACAATTTGAAAACATTCGCGATCGACTTGGGATCCAAGGTGCCGCAGCTAACGAGTCGAGAGGGAGTGTTGAAAAGACAGCGGCTGTGAAGAAGACACCTCGTCAAGCTGCGTCAAGTGTTGAAGCAAGTGGAAGACCAAGCTTCGCTATACCGGTGGGTACCGGTATGTACCAGTAAGGGCGAAGTCAGGAAATGACGTCACTGGATGACGTCATTGCATGACGTCAGTGGGTGACGTCAGTGGGTGACGTCACTGGATGACGTCACTGCGAATAATAGGCTTAGAGGTAGTATTCAAAGTTGCGAACTAAGTACCTATTATAAATATATATTCACTTTGCGTTTTGCACTCGGACCAAGAAGTCTAAAGTTCATCACGGCCCAGAAGCACTTTTCCAACTTAGCATGGTGGAGCATGCTGCGACCAATTGTGACGATAGTCCGAATGGCGCGCTCTACCGTGCAGTTGGTCTGGTGTGCATATGGCACCGTCTTCTGCTGCTCAATGCCTTCATCTTCGTAGAATTCTTGAAGCGAGTTGGTTGCGAACTCGCGGGCTCCGTCGTGTCGAACGAGCTTGACCTTCTTGCCAAACTGCGCTTGCACCATCTTGATGTATCGTGTGATGTAGTTTTCACTCTCCGACTTCACACGTAGACAGAAGCCCTTCATGCATCCACTGGCTTCGTCAAAGATCAGCAGTATATATTTGCTGCCACCCATAGAATTCATTTCTATGGGTCCGCAGATGTCGACGTGAAGTAGCTCGAAGGTGTCGAATCTGCGCTTGTCCTGGTTGTGTGGGAATGGTTTTTGGACCATTTTCCTTCGTTGACATCCTCGGCATGCGCTTGATCCATTTTACTTGAGAGGTACCTTCACATCCTTGATCATGTTCGGGGGCCACCATTTTGCGAAGCACATCAGCTGGAGCGTGTCCCATCCGCGCATGTAAGTCGACACCGTTGCATCCGTTTGTTGTCGCATTGGCCGATCGATGAGCTGTGTGAAGCCAATAAAGGCCATCCACAAGATCTGCAGTTGCCACCACTTGTTGCGATCCTTTGCGAGCGACAAACATCTTGGTCCCGTCGAACACGACTTGAAACTTGCCGTGCTTGTTGACCTGCGGTACCGAAAGCAGATTCTTGCTCATGCTTGGTACTTAAAGCACGTTCTTGATCTTGATCTCGATCTCACGCTCTTCACCGCTGGGCAGAACCACCTTTTCAAAGATGGTTCCAACACCCTTGATGACCACTTTGTTGCCATCCGCCACCAAGATTTCACCGTCGTTGCGCTTGTTCAGTCTTGCAAACTTGGTCTTGTCGTGGCATATGTGGTGTGTTGCACCACTGTCGACGGCCCACATTCCGGACACGTCCTTCTTCGCTGAGAGTCCACACTCTAGCGAAAATGCAAACGCTAATTGATCGTAGTCGCTGTCTTCATCACGATATTGTCCCCACTGGACATTGTTTGCCCCGCGTCCACGACCATTGCCGCCGCGTCGGTCTCCTCGACTTTCATTATTCTGCTTGGACCAACAGCGATCGACGGTGTGTCCCACCTTCCCACAGTAGGTGCACTCGAATGGCTCGCGCTCAGTGTTGAAGGCCTCGGCCGCATCTTCAGTCTTGACCATCGTCGCTGTTGTTGTCACCTTCTCCCCTTGGCGCTTGGTGTGCTCATTCGTGAGCACCTTCACCACATCTTGGGTACGAAGCTCCGCGCTGCTCATCTCCAAGTTAAGAACAACGTTCTCAAAACTCTTAGGGAGGCTGAGCAGCAGGCAAATTGCGACGTTCTCGTCCTCCATCTTCGCACCGATGCTGCTAAGCTTGGCGGCAATGTTCATGACTTCATTGCAGTGATGCATGACGTTGACGCTTTCATCCATCTTCATGCTGAAGAGTTGACGCTTGAGGTAGATCCTTCCCGCTTTCTGGGATCCACCGTACAGCACCTTTAGGCTCTGCCACGCAACCCACGCTTCCTCGCAGTTGTCGACCACATGGTGGTAGTCTGCGCCCATGTGTAGCAACATCTTTCCAAACGCGATGTTGTTGGTCTTGACGTAGTCGTCCTGCGCTCGAGGGTCCACGAACGTCGAGGAGCTCTCCTGGCTGACAGCATGCCACACTGACTTCGTCAGGAACACGCCACGCATATATCGACTCCAGGTCGAATAGTTGTCCCCATCGAACTTATCGATGAGTACGTTGGAGGATGCGTGGCCGGCAGAAGACATTGCGCTTGGGCTCATAACCTGTTGAAAGTATGGCACGGGAGTGACGAGAAGACCGGAAGAGACCGGAAGGAGCGAAGAGGCTGGAGGAGCGGAGCAGAGAAGACTTGCTCGGGAGAAGGAGAATTCGAAAGTGATTGATGATCGGGGCTTACTACTTACTACATGATTTATATGTGGTGCACATGTAAATCATGTGAAGTGTCTCGTCATCCTACGCGTCTAATCAACTATGGTAATTACCGTAAAAACTACGTCGTAAATACAAAGCTGAAAAGGCGGTTCGGATTGGACCGGTCACGGTTACCAATACTGGTAGGAAACCGATGACCGTCAACAAACTCGTCAAACGTTTCGTTCCATACGCGCGACGCTTGCTTGAGTCCGTAGATTGCCTTCATCAATTCCAGACAATCGAAGGAGCCTTCCAATTCCACGCCTTCAGGGATGACGCAGAACACTTGTTCCTTCCTGACACCATACAGGAATGCCGTCACCACGTCGAGTTGGTCGATGTTCCATCCGAAATACTTGGCGACTGCAATCACCATGCGCAGCGTCACGTACTTGACAACGGGCGAGAATGTTTCCGCGTAGTCCATCCCATATTGTTGCTCGAGACCCTTTGCCACAAGACGCGCCTTGTACTTGTCAATTGATTCGTCCGCTTTGCGCTTGATCTTGAAGAACCACTTCGTGCCAATGGCACGATATCCTTCAGGTAGCTTGGCTGCGCGGAATACTTCACGAAGTCGCATCGACTCAAGTTCCGCACGGACAGCTTCGCGCCAATGCACTTGATCAGTACCGCTCACCGCAGCTTCAAAAGTCGATGGCTCGGATAAGTCCACTGCTGTTTCGATGGCGTTCGCACTCGCACGCCAAAACACAGGCGGAGTCGATGCATCAGCATTCTTTGTTTCTTCATCTTCTTCTTGGTGGGTAGTGTGATTGTCTGGCGCACTTGATTCTTCTAGTCCAGGCCGTTGACGCACTGTGCGCGTGGGTGGAGCTGGCACTCCTTCATCATGGGGACGACTCTTGCGCTTGCCTGTTTGCTTTTACTGCTCTTGACCTGGCGCTTCATCATCCAGATCGAGGGAGTCGAAGTCAAGGTCATCGGCGTCTTCAGCTGTGGTTGGCGGCGAAAATCCAAAGGCGGACTCGTCAAAGTTGACATGTGACTGATGACCACCTGCCCCGCCTCGATGTCATAAACGCGATACGCTTTAGATGCTTCTTCGTAGCCCAAGAATATCCCAGTGCGAGCCTTGGGGTCCCACTTGAGCCGCTTCTCCTTCGGTTTCAGTATGTAAACCTGACAACCGAACACCCACATGTGCTTGACATTTTGCTTGGAGTTGTGGACAATCTCGAACGGAGTCTTGTGCATAACGTTAGGCGACGGCAGACGGTTCTTGACGTAGTTTGCCGTCATTGCTGCTTCGGCCCAGAAGCACTTTTCCAACTTAGCATGGCGGAGCATGCTGCGACCAATTGTGACGATAGTCCGAATGGCGCGCCCTGCCGTGCTGTTGGTCTGGTGTGCATATGACACCATCGTCTGCTGCTCAATGCCTTCATCTTCGTAGAATTCATGAAGCGAGTTGGTTGCGAACTCGCGGGCTCCGTCGTGTCGAACGAACTTGACCTTCTTGCCAAACTGCGCTTGCACCATCTTGATGTATCGTGTGATGTAGTTTTCACTCTCCGACTTCACACGTAGACAGAAGCCCTTCATGCATCCACTGGCTTCGTCAAAGATCAGCAGTATATATTTGCTGCCACCCAGAGAATCCATCTCCATGGGTCCGCATATGTCGACGTGAAGTAGCTCGAAGATGTCGAATCTGCGCTTGTCCTGGTTGTGTGGGAATGGTTTTTGGACCATTTTCCCTTGTTGACATCCTCGGCATACGCTTGATCCATTTTACTTGAGAGGTACCTTCACATCCTTGATCATGTTCGTGGCCACCATTTTGCGAAGCACATCAGCTGGAGCGTGTCCCATCCGCGCATGTAAGTCGACACCGTTGCTTCCGTTTGTTGTCGCATTGGCCGATCGATGAGCTGTGTGAAGCCAATAAAGGCCATCCACAAGATCTGCAGTTGTCACCACTTGTTGCGATCCTTTGCGAGCGACAAACATCTTGGTCCCGTCGAACACGACTTGAAACTTGCCGTGCTTGTTGATCTGCGGTACCGAAAGCAGATTCTTGCTCATGCTTGGTACTTAAAGCACGTTCTTGATCTTGATCTCGATCTCACGCTCTTCACCGCTGGGCAGAACCACCTTTTCAAAGATGGTTCCAACACCCTTGATGACCACTTTGTTGCCATCCGCCACCAAGATTTCACCGTCGTTGCGCTTGTTCAGTCTTGCAAACTTGGTCTTGTCGTGGCATATGTGGTGTGTTGCACCACTGTCGACGGCCCACATTCCGGACACGTTCTTCTTCGCTGAGAGTCCACACTCTAGCGAAAATGCAAACGCTACTTGATCGTAGTCGCTGTCTTCATCGCGATATTTGTTGCATTGTAGATCGGAGCGAGGAAAGCGGAGCAAACGGAGCGGAGAGACCGAAGAGAGTAGAGCAGAAAATACTTGCCCAATAGTTGGAAGATTCGAAAGTGATTGATTATCGGGGCTTACTACTTACTACATGATTTATATGTGGTGTACATATAAATCATGTGAAGCGTCTCATCATCCTACGCGTCTAATCAACTATGGTAATTACCGTAAGAACTACGTCGTAAATACTAAGCTGAACAGGCGGTTCGGATTGGACCGGTCACGGTTACCTATACTAGTAGGAAACCGATGACCGTCAACACGCTCCCTCAACGCGAACACGCACAAATCCCGAAAGCCGCCGTCATCTCCTTGTGGCGTGGCCCGTGAAGTCCCTTCGTCATGATGTCCGCTAACATCACCGCATTTTCACAGTACTTGAGCTTCACTTCACCGCGCTTGACCTCATCACGGATGTGATGATACTTTACGTCAATGTGCTTGGCACGGCCGTGGTTGACCGGGTTCTTCGTCATCTTGATACACGACTGATTGTCTGCATGGATCATGAGTTCCGTTCCTTCTTCATTGGCAGCCATCATGATCTCACAAAGCAGACGATGAATCCACTTGCCCTCTTGAATTGCCAAGCTGAGTGCGATGTATTCGGCTTCACTCGTGGACAACGAAACACTTGGCTGCTTCTTGCTGCCCCAACTGACTGTCGCACCGAGTAGCATGAACGTGTATCCCGATGTTGACTTGCGGTCGGTAAGATCACCAGCCCAATCCGCATCCGAATATCCACGGAAGTCGATCCTTGCACTTGGCTTGTAGCAAATTCCATGCGTCTTGGTGCCTTGTAGGTAGCGAAAGATACGCTTAACTGCAACCCAGTGTTCTTCTTGGGGATTTTACATGAACCGCGACACATAGCCCACAGCAAACGCAATGTCCGGACGCGTTGCAGTGGTCAGGTGCATCAACGCACCAACAGCTTCGCGAAAAGGAGCATCGACCTTGGTGGCTGCATCACTTGAAACAAGTCGAGAGCTCATGTCGACTGGACTTGCGACGGCCTTGCAACCATCCATGCCAAAGCGCTTGAGTACGTCATCTACATACCGACGCTGACATAGTGTCACACTTCCATCTGCGCCGTCCAAAAGCTCGATCCCAAGAAAAAACGCACACTTGCCGCTGTCCGTCATTTCGAACCGCGTCTTCAGGTCGTTCTTGGTTTGTGCAATCAGCTCGAGTGAGCTTCCAGTCACCAAGACGTCGTCCACGTAGACCAGTATAAACACGCAATGGCCGTCCGAAGTCTTGATGTAGAGACATGGGTCGAAGTCCGATACTTGAAATCCGATGAAGCACACATACTCGTCGAACGTCTCGTTCCACACTCGCGACGCTTGCTTGAGGCCGTAAATTGACTTCACCAATTCCAGGCAGTCGAACGTACTGTCAAGTTCGACGCCTTCAGGAATCACGCAGAACACTTGTTCCTTCATGACGCCATACAGGAAAGCTGTCACCACATCAAGCTGGTCGATGGGCCATCCAAAATGCTTGGAAATTGCGATCATTATTCGCAGCGTCACATACTTGACCACAGGCGAAAACGTCTCCGTGTAGTCGATGCCATACTTTTGGCGGAAACCCTTGGCCACAAGTCGTGCCTTGTACTTCTCGATTGACCCATCCGCCTTGCGCTTGATCTTGAACACCCATTTTGTGCCAATGGCGCGTTGTCCGTTGGGCAGCTTGGCTGCACGAAACACACCGCGAAGTCGCATTGACTCGAGCTCTGCATGAATTGCTTTTCTCCAGTGCACTTGGTCAGGGCCGCTTACTGCTGCTTCAAATGTTGAGGGTTCTGATAAGTCCACTGCTGCTTCAACGGCATTTGCACTCGCACGCCAAAACACAGGCGGTGTTGAATCACCAGAATCCTTCGTTTCTTCGTCTTCTTCTTGTCGTGACGAGTTGTTTTCCGGCGCGCTTGACTCTTCTAGTCCTGGTCGTTGACGCACTGCACGCGGTCGTGGAGCTGCTGTATCTTCATCATTGAGTCGGTTCTTGCGCTTGCCTGTTTGCTTGTACTCCATTTGACGCAGCTCTTCGTCATCAAGATTCAGCAATTCGAAGTCCAGGTCATCGACATCTTCATCAGTGATCGGCAGTTGAAGTCCAAAGGTGGACTCGTCGAAGTTGACATCGCGGCTGATAACCACCTGCCCCGCCTCGATGTCATAAACACGATATGCCTTCGAAACTTCTTCGTAGCCCACGAATATGCCAGCGCGAGCCTTTGGATCCCACTTGAGTCGATTCTCTTTAGGCGTCAGTATGTATGTCTGACACCCGAATGTTCGCATGTGCTTGACGCTTGGTTTCAAGTTGTAGACGATCTCAAACGGGGTCTTGTGCACGACTTTAGGTGACGGCAGTCGATTCTTGACGTAGATGGCCGTCATCGCTGCTTCGGCCCAGAAACACTTGTCCAGTTTGGCATGATGAAGCATGCTGCGGCCGATCGTGACAATAGTCCTAATGGCACGCTCTGCTGTTCCGTTTGTTTGATGTGCATACGGCACCGTTGTCTGCTGTTCAATGCCTTCGTCTTCGTAGAACAGTTGAAGCGAGTTGGTTGAAAACTCGCGAGCTCCGTCGTGTCGCACGAACTTGACCTTCTTACAGAATTGCGTCTGTACCATGGTGATATATTTCCGGATGTAGTCTTCACTCTCGGACTTCACTCGTAGACAAAAGCCCTTCATGCATCCACTGGCTTCGTCGATGATCAGCAGCAAATATTTGCTGCCACCGAGCGAATCCTTTTCCATGGGCCCGCAGATGTCCAGATGAAGTAGCTCAAACGTATCGTAGCTGCGCTTGTCTCGGTTGCTTGGAAATGGTTTTTGGACCATTTTCCCTTGTTGACATCCTCGACATGTAGTTGCTCCACCCGACTTGAGAGGGACTCGCACATCCTTGATCATGTTGGTCGCGATCATCTTGCGAAGTACATCGACTGGAGCATGACCCATTCTCGCATGTAGATCGGCACAACTGGTTCCACTTGTTGTCACATTCGCTGATCGTTGAGTCGTCCGAAGCCAGTAGAGTCCATCCACGAGATCCGCTGTCGCCACCACTTGCTGTGAGTTCTTGAGAGTCACATACATCTTGGACCCGTCAAACACGACTTGAAACATGCCATGGCTGTTAATCTGTGGCACCGAGAGCAGGTTCTTGCTCATACTTGGAACATATAGCGCGTTCTTGATTTCGATCCCACGCTCTTCACCGTTGGGCAGAACCACCTTTTCCATGATGGTTCCCACACCCTTGATGGCCACCTTGTTGCCATCAGCCACCAAGAGTTCGCCCTCATTGCGCTCTGCCAAACTTGCGAACTTGGTCTTGTCGTGGCAAATGTGGTGCGTTGCACCACTGTCGACGGCCCACATTCCAGACACGTCCTTGCTCGTCGAAACTCCACATTCGAACGAGACTGCAAACGCCACTCGATCGTAGCCATTGCCTTCATCATGATGTCCCCACTGGACATTGTTAGCCCCGCGTCCACGACCATTGCCGCCGCGTCGGGCTCCCCGACCTTCGTTCTTCTGCTTTGTCCAGCAACGATCCACCGTGTGTCCCACCTTGCCACAATACGTGCATTGGTAGGGCTCACGCTCGGCGCTGAATGCCTTGCTTGCATCTTCAGCCTTCACCGTAGTCGCTGTCGTTGTCCCTTTTTCTCCTTGACGCTTGGCATGCTCATTCGTCAGGACTCTCACCACATCTTGAGTGCGAAGCTCGGTGCTGCTCATTTCCATGTTGAGCACCACATTTTCGTAGCTCTTCGGAAGACTGAGTAGCAGACAAATTGCAACATCTTCGTCTTCCATCTTCGCACCGATGCCGCTAAGCTTGGCGGAGATGTTGAGGACCTCGTTGCAGTGATGCATGACGTTCGCGCCTTCAGCCATCTTGATACTGAAAAGTTGTCGCTTGAGGTAGATGCGTCCTGCCTTCTGCGACCCACCGTACAGCGTCTTCAGACTTGTCCACGCAACCCAGGCTTCCTCGCAGTTGTCCAGCACATGATGGTAGTCCGCGTTCATGTGCAGCAGCATCATACCAAACGCGACGTTGCTTGCCTTGACGTAGTCATCGGACGCTCGCGGGTCGGTGAAAGTCGGAGTCACTTCACGGTTGACAACGTGCCAGACGGACTTCGTCAAAAACACACCGCGCATGTACCGGCTCCACGTTGCGTAATTGTCTCCATTGAACTTGTCAATGGAGGCGTTGCTGGTGGACGACATGGCGCTTGGGCTCATAACCTGTTGCATTGTAGATCGGAGCGAGGAAAGCGGAGCGAGGAAAGCGGAGCGAACGGAGCGGAGAGACCGAAGAGAGTAGAGCAGAAAACACTTGCCCAATAGTTGGAAGATTCGAAAGTGATTGATTATCGGGGCTTACTACTTACTACATGATTTATATGTGGTGTACATATAAATCATGTGAAGCGTCTCATCATCCTACGCGTCTAATCAACTATGGTAATTACCGTAAGAACTACGTCGTAAATACTAAGCTGAACAGGCGGTTCGGATTGGATCGGTCACGGTTACCAATACTGGTAGAAAACCGATGACCGTCAACAATATTGTCCCCACTGGACATTGTTTGCCCCGCGTCCACGACCATTGCCGCCGCGTCGGTCTCCTCGACTTTCATTCTTCTGCTTGGTCCAACAGTGATCGACGGTGTGTCCCACCTTCCCACGGTAGGTGCACTTGTATGGCTCGCGCTCAGTGTTGAAGGCCTTGGCTGCATCTTCAGTCTTGACCATCGTCGCTGTTGTTGTCACCTTCTCCCCTTGGCGCTTGGTGTGCTCATTCGTGAGCACCTTCACCACATCTTGGGTACGAAGCTCTGCGCTGCTCATCTCCAAGTTAAGAACAACGTTCTCAAAACTCTTAGGGAGGCTGAGCAGCAGGCAAATTGCGACGTCCTCGTCCTCCATCTTCGCACCGATGCTGCTAAGCTTGGTGGCGATGTTCAGGACCTCGTTGCAGTGATGCATGACGTTGGCGCTTTCATCCATCTTCGTGCTGAAGAGTTGACGCTTGAGGTGGATCCTTCCCGCTTTCTGGGATCCACCGTACAGCACCTTCAGGCTTTGCCACGCAACCCACGCTTCCTCGCAGTTGTCAACCACATGGTGGTAGTCCGCGCCCATGTGCAGCAACATCATTCCAAACGCGATGTTGTTGGTCTTGACGTAGTCGTCCTGCGCTCGAGGGTCCACAAACGTCGGGGAGCTCTCCCGGCTGACAGTATGCCACACTGACTTCGTCAGGAACACGCCACGCATATATCGACTCCAGGTCGAATAGTTGTCCCCATCGAACTTATCGATGAGCACGTTGGAGGATGCGTGGCCGGCAGAAGACATTGCGCTTGGGCTCATAACCTGTTGAGGTATGGCACGGGAGTGAAGAGAAGACCGGAAGAGACCGGAGGGAGCGAAGAGGCTTGAGGAGCGGAGCAGAGAAGACTTGCTCGGCAGAAGGAGAATTCGAAAGTGATTGACGATCGGGGCTTACTACTTACTACATGATTTATATGTGGTGCACATATAAATCATGTGAAGCGTCTCATCATCCTACGCGTCTAATCAACTATGGTAATTACCGTAAGAACTACGTCGTAAATACCAAGCTGAACGGCGGTTCGGATTGGACCGGTCACGGTTACCAATACTGGTAGGAAACCAATGACCGTCAACAAACTCGTCAAACGTTTCGTTCCATACGCGCGACGCTTGCTTGAGTCCGTAGATTGCCTTCACCAACTCCAGACAATCAAAGAACCCTTTTATTTCCACGCCTTCAGGGATGACGCAGAACACTTGTTCCTTCATGACACCATACAGGAATGCCGTCACCACGTCGAGTTGGTCGATGGTCCATCCTAAATGCTTAGCGACTGCAATCATCATGCGTAGCGTCACGTTCTTGACCACGGGCGAGAACGTTTCCGTGTAGTCCATCCCATATTGTTGCTCGAGACCCTTTGCCACAAGACGCGCCTTGTATTTGTCAACTGATCCATCCGCTTTGCGCTTGATCTTGAAGACCCACTTCGTGCCAATGGTGCGATGTCCTTTAGGTAGCTTGGCTGCGCGGAACACTCCACGAAGTCGCATCGACTCCAGTTCCGCTTAAATGGCTTCACGCCAATGCACTTGATCAGGACCGCTCATCACAGCTTCAAAAGTCGATGGCTCGGATAAGTCCACTGCTGTTTCGATGGCGTTCGCACTCGCAAGCCAAAACACAGGCGGAGTCGATGCATCAGCATTCTTTGTTTCTTCCTCTTCTACTTGGTGTGCCATGTAATTCTTTGGTGCACTTGATTCTTCTAGTCCAGACCGTTGATGCACTGTGCGCGTGGGTGGAGCTGGCACTCCTTCATCATGAAGACGACTCTTGCGCTTGCCTGTTTGCTTGTACTGCTCTTGCCCGGCTCTTCATCATCCAGTTCGAGGGAGTCGAAGTCAAGGTCATCGGTATCTTCATAATTGATAGGCGGCGAAAGTCCAAAAGAGGACTCATCAAAGTTGACATGCGACTGATGACCACCTGCCCCGCCTCGATGTCATAAACGTGATACGCTTTAGATGCTTCTTCGTAGCCCAAGAATATCCCAGTGCGAGCCTTGGGGTCCCACTTGAGCCGCTTCTCCATCGGTGTCAGTATGTAAACCTGACAACCGAACACCCGCATGTGCTTGACACTTGGCTTGGAGTTGTTGAAGAACTCGAACGGAGTCTTGTGCATAACGTTAGGCGACGGCAGACGGTTCTTGACGTAGTTTGCCGTCATTGCTGCTTCGGCCCAGAAGCACTTTTCCAACTTGGCATGGTGGAGCATGCTGCGACCAATTGTGACGATAGTCCGAATGGCGCGCTCTACCGTGCCGTTGGTCTGGTGTGCATATGGCACCATCGTCTGCTGCTCAATGCCTTCATCTTCGTAGAATTCTTGAAGCGAGTTGGTTGCGAACTCGCGGGCTCCGTCGTGTCGGACGAGCTTGACCTTCTTGCCAAACTGCGCTTGCACCATCTTGATGTATCGTGTGATGTAGTTTTCACTCTCCGACTTCACACGTAGACAGAAGCCCTTCATGCATCCACTGGCTTCGTCAAAGATCAGCAGTAGATATTTGCTGCCACCCAGAGAATTCATTTCTATGGGTCCGCATATGTCGACGTGAAGTAGCTCGAAGATGTCGAATCTGCGCTTGTCCTGGTTGTGTGAGAATGGTTTTTGGACCATTTTCCCTTGTTGACATCCTCGGCATGCGCTTGATCCACTCGACGTGAGAAGTACCTTCACATCCTTGATCATGTTCGTGGCCACCATTTTGCGAAGAACATCAGCTGGAGCGTGTCCCATTCGCGCATGTAAGTCGACACCGTTGCTTCCGTTTGTTGCCGTATTGGCCGATCGATGAGCTGTGTGAAGCCAATAAAGGCCATCCACAAGATCTGCAGTTGCCACCAATTGGTGCGATCCTTTGCGAGCGGCAAACATCTTGGTCCCGTCGAACACGACTTGAAACTTGCCGTGCTTGTTGATCTGCGGTACCGATAGTAGATTCTTGCTCGTGCTTGGTACGTAAAGCACGTTCTTGATCTCGATCTCACGCTCTTCACCGCTGGGCAGAACCACCTTTTTCAAAGATGGTTCCAACACCCTTGATGGCCACTTTGTTGCCATCCGCCACCAAGATTTCACCGTCGTTGCGCTTGTTCAGTCTTGCAAACTTGGTCTTGTCGTGGCATATGTGGTGTGTTGCACCACTGTCGACGGCCCACATTCCGGACACGTCCTTCTTCGCTGAGAGTTCACACTCTAGCGAAAATGCAAACGCTGCTTGATCGTAGTCGCTGTCTTCATCACGATATTGTCCCCACTGGACATTGTTTGCCCCGCGTCCACGACCATTGCCGCCGCGTCGGTCTCCTCGACTTTCATTATTCTGCTTGGACCAACAGCGATCGACGGTGTGTCCCAGCTTCCCACAGTAGGTGCACTTGTATGGCTCGCGCTCAGTGTTGAAGGCCTTGGCTGCATCTTCAGTCTTGACCATCGTCGCTGTTGTTGTCGTCTTCTCCCCTTGGCGCTTGGTGTGCTCATTCGTGATCACCTTCACCACATCTTGGGTACGAAGCTCCGCGCTGCTCATCTCCAAGTTAAGAACAACGTTCTCAAAACTCTTAGGGAGGCTGAGCAGCAGGCAAATTGCGACGTCCTCGTCCTCCATCTTCGCACCGATGCTGCTAAGCTTGGTGGCGATGTTCAGAACCTCGTTGCAGTGATGCATGACGTTGGCGCTTTCATCCATCTTCGTGCTGAAGAGTTGACGCTTGAGGTGGATCCTTCCCGCTTTCTGGGATCCACCGTACAGCACCTTCAGGCTTTGCCACGCAACCCACGCTTCCTCGCAGTTGTCAACCACATGGTGGTAGTCCGCGCCCATGTGCAGCAACATCATTCCAAACGCGATGTTGTTGGTCTTGACGTAGTCGTCCTGCGCTCGAGGGTCCACAAACGTCGGGGAGCTCTCCTGGCTGACAGCATGCCACACTGACTTTGTCAGGAACACGCCACGCATATATCGACTCCAGGTCGAATAGTTGTCCCCATCGAACTTATCGATGAGCACGTTGGAGGATGCGTGGCCGGCAGAAGACATTGCGCTTGGGCTCATAACCTGTTGAAGGTATGGCACGGGAGTGACGAGAAGACCGGAGGAGATCGGAGGGAGCGAAGAGGCTTGAGGAGCGGAGCAGAGAAGACTTGCTCGGCAGAAGGAGAATTCGAAAGTGATTGATGATCGGGGCTTACTACTTACTACATGATTTATATGTGGTGCACATATAAATCATGTGAAGCGTCTCATCATCCTACGCGTCTAATCAACTATGGTAATTACCGTAAGAACTACGTCGTAAATACAAAGCTGAAAAGGCGGTTCGGATTGGACCGGTCACGGTTACCAATACTGGTAGGAAACCAATGACCGTCAACAAACTCGTCAAACGTTTCGTTCCATACGCGCGACGCTTGCTTGAGTCCGTAGATTGCCTTCACCAACTCCAGACAATCAAAGAACCCTTTTATTTCCACGCCTTCAGGGATGACGCAGAACACTTGTTCCTTCATGACACCATACAGGAATGCCGTCACCACGTCGAGTTGGTCGATGGTCCATCCGAAATACTTGGCGACTGCAATCACCATGCGTAGCGTCACGTACTTGACGACGGGCGAGAATGTTTCCGTGTAGTCCATCCCATACTGTTGCTCGAGACCCTTTGCCACAAGACGCGCCTTGTATTTGTCAATTGATTCGTCCGCTTTGCGCTTGATCTTGAAGACCCACTTCGTGCCAATGGTGCGATGTCCTTTAGGTAGCTTGGCTGCGCGGAATACTTCACGAAGTCGCATCGACTCAAGTTCCGCACGGACAGCTTCGCGCCAATGCACTTGATCAGTACCGCTCACCGCAGCTTCAAAAGTCGATGGCTCGGATAAGTCCACTGCTGTTTCGATGGCGTTCGCACTCGCACGCCAAAACACAGGCGGAGTCGATGCATCAGCATTCTTTGTTTCTTCATCCTCTTCTTGGTGGGTCGTGTGACTGTCTGGCGCACTTGATTCTTCTAGTCCAGGCCGTTGACGTACTGTGCGCGTGGGTGGAGTTGGTACTCCTTCATCATGGGGACAACTCTTGCGCTTGCCTGTTTGCTTTTACTGCGCTTGACCTGGCGCTTCATCATCCAGATCGAGGGAGTCGAAGTCAAGGTCATCGGCGTCTTCATCGGTGGTTGGCGGCGAAAGTCCAAAGGCGGACTCGTCAAAGTTGACATGCGACTGATGACCACCTGCCCCGCCTCGATGTCATAAACGCGATACGCTTTAGATGCTTCTTCGTAGCCCAAGAATATCCCAGTGCGAGCCTTGGGGTCCCACTTGAGCCGCTTCTCCTTCGGTTTCAGTATGTAAACCTGACAACCGAACACCCACATGTGCTTGACATTTTGCTTGGAGTTGTGGACGATCTCGAACGGAGTCTTGTGCATAACGTTAGGCGACGGCAGACGGTTCTTGACGTAGATTGCCGTCATTGCTGCTTCGGCCCAGAAGCACTTTTCCAACTTAGCATGGTGGAGCATGCTGCGACCAATTGTGACGATAGTCCGAATGGCGCGCTCTACCGTGCAGTTGGTCTGGTGTGCATATGGCACCATCGTCTGCTGCTCAATGCCTTCATCTTCGTAGAATTCTTGAAGCGAGTTGGTTGCGAACTCGCGGGCTCCGTCGTGTCGAACGAGCTTGACCTTCTTGCCAAACTGCGCTTGCACCATCTTGATGTATCGTGTGATGTAGTTTTCACTCTCCGAATTCACACGTAGACAGAAGCCCTTCATGCATCCACTGGCTTCGTCAAAGATCAGCAGTATATATTTGCTGCCACCCAGAGAATTCATTTCTATGGGTCCGCATATGTCGACGTGAAGTAGCTCGAAGATGTCGAATCTGCGCTTGTCCTGGTTGTGTGAGAATGGTTTTTGGACCATTTTCCCTTGTTGACATCCTCGGCATGCGCTTGATCCACTCGACGTGAGAAGTACCTTCACATCCTTGATCATGTTCGTGGCCACCATTTTGCGAAGAACATCAGCTGGAGCGTGTCCCATTCGCGCATGTAAGTCGACACCGTTGCTTCCGTTTGTTGCCGTATTGGCCGATCGATGAGCTGTGTGAAGCCAATAAAGGCCATCCACAAGATCTGCAGTTGCCACCAATTGGTGCGATCCTTTGCGAGCGGCAAACATCTTGGTCCCGTCGAACACGACTTGAAACTTGCCGTGCTTGTTGATCTGCGGTACCGATAGTAGATTCTTGCTCGTGCTTGGTACGTAAAGCACGTTCTTGATCTCGATCTCACGCTCTTCACCGCTGGGCAGAACCACCTTTTTCAAAGATGGTTCCAACACCCTTGATGGCCACTTTGTTGCCATCCGCCACCAAGATTTCACCGTCGTTGCGCTTGTTCAGTCTTGCAAACTTGGTCTTGTCGTGGCATATGTGGTGTGTTGCACCACTGTCGACGGCCCACATTCCGGACACGTCCTTCTTCGCTGAGAGTTCACACTCTAGCGAAAATGCAAACGCTAATTGATCGTAGTCGCTGTCTTCATCACGATATTGTCCCCACTGGACATTGTTTGCCCCGCGTCCACGACCATTGCCGCCGCGTCGGTCTCCTCGACTTTCATTCTTCTGCTTGGACCAACAGCGATCGACGGTGTGTCCCAGCTTCCCACAGTAGGTGCACTTGTATGGCTCGCGCTCAGTGTTGAAGGCCTTGGCTGCATCTTCAGTCTTGACCATCGTCGCTGTTGTTGTCGTCTTCTCCCCTTGGCGCTTGGTGTGCTCATTCGTGATCACCTTCACCACATCTTGGGTACGAAGCTCCGCGCTGCTCATCTCCAAGTTAAGAACAACGTTCTCAAAACTCTTAGGGAGGCTGAGCAGCAGGCAAATTGCGACGTCCTCGTCCTCCATCTTCACACCGATGCTGCTAAGCTTGGTGGCGATGTTCAGAACCTCGTTGCAGTGATGCATGACGTTGGCGCTTTCATCCATCTTCGTGCTGAAGAGTTGACGCTTGAGGTAGATCCTTCCCGCTTTCTGGGATCCACCGTACAGCACCTTCAGGCTTTGCCACGCAACCCACGCTTCCTCGCAGTTGTCAACCACATGGTGGTAGTCCGCGCCCATGTGCAGCAACATCATTCCAAACGCGATGTTGTTGGTCTTGACGTAGTCGTCCTGCGCTCGAGGGTCCACAAACGTCGGGGAGCTCTCCTGGCTGACAGCATGCCACACTGACTTTGTCAGGAACACGCCACGCATATATCGACTCCAGGTCGAATAGTTGTCCCCATCGAACTTATCGATGAGCACGTTGGAGGATGCGTGGCCGGCAGAAGACATTGCGCTTGGGCTCATAACCTGTTGAAGGTATGGCACGGGAGTGACGAGAAGACCGGAGGAGATCGGAGGGAGCGAAGAGGCTGGAGGAGCGGAGCAGAGAAGACTTGCTCGGGAGAAGGAGAATTCGAAAGTGATTGATGATCGGGGCTTACTACTTACTACATGATTTATATGTGGTGCACATATAAATCATGTGAAGCGTCTCATCATCCTACGCGTCTAATCAACTATGGTAATTACCGTAAGAACTACGTCGTAAATACAAAGCTGAAAAGGCGGTTCGGATTGGACCGGTCACGGTTACCAATACTGGTAGGAAACCAATGACCGTCAACAAACTCGTCAAACGTTTCGTTCCATACGCGCGACGCTTGCTTGAGTCCGTAGATTGCCTTCACCAACTCCAGACAATCAAAGAACCCTTTTATTTCCACGCCTTCAGGGATGACGCAGAACACTTGTTCCTTCATGACACCATACAGGAATGCCGTCACCACGTCGAGTTGGTCGATGGTCCATCCGAAATACTTGGCGACTGCAATCACCATGCGTAGCGTCACGTACTTGACGACGGGCGAGAATGTTTCCGTGTAGTCCATCCCATACTGTTGCTCGAGACCCTTTGCCACAAGACGCGCCTTGTATTTGTCAATTGATTCGTCCGCTTTGCGCTTGATCTTGAAGACCCACTTCGTGCCAATGGCGCGATGTCCTTCAGGTAGCTTGGCTGCGCGGAATACTTCACGAAGTCGCATCGACTCAAGTTCCGCACGGACAGCTTCGCGCCAATGCACTTGATCAGTACCGCTCACCGCAGCTTCAAAAGTCGATGGCTCGGATAAGTCCACTGCTGTTTCGATGGCGTTCGCACTCGCACGCCAAAACACAGGCGGAGTCGATGCATCAGCATTCTTTGTTTCTTCATCCTCTTCTTAATGGGTCGTGTGACTGTCTGGCGCACTTGATTCTTCTAGTCCAGGCCGTTGACGTACTGTGCGCGTGGGTGGAGTTGGTACTCCTTCATCATGGGGACAACTCTTGCGCTTGCCTGTTTGCTTTTACTGCGCTTGACCTGGCGCTTCATCATCCAGATCGAGGGAGTCGAAGTCAAGGTCATCGGCGTCTTCATCGGTGGTTGGCGGCGAAAGTCCAAAGGCGGACTCGTCAAAGTTGACATGCGACTGATGACCACCTGCCCCGCCTCGATGTCATAAACGCGATACGCTTTAGATGCTTCTTCGTAGCCCAAGAATATCCCAGTGCGAGCCTTGGGGTCCCACTTGAGCCGCTTCTCCTTCGGTTTCAGTATGTAAACCTGACAACCGAACACCCACATGTGCTTGACATTTTGCTTGGAGTTGTGGACGATCTCGAACGGAGTCTTGTGCATAACGTTAGGCGACGGCAGACGGTTCTTGACGTAGATTGCCGTCATTGCTGCTTCGGCCCAGAAGCACTTTTCCAACTTAGCATGGTGGAGCATGCTGCGACCAATTGTGACGATAGTCCGAATGGCGCGCTCTACCGTGCAGTTGGTCTGGTGTGCATATGGCACCATCGTCTGCTGCTCAATGCCTTCATCTTCGTAGAATTCTTGAAGCGAGTTGGTTGCGAACTCGCGGGCTCCGTCGTGTCGAACGAGCTTGACCTTCTTGCCAAACTGCGCTTGCACCATCTTGATGTATCGTGTGATGTAGTTTTCACTCTCCGAATTCACACGTAGACAGAAGCCCTTCATGCATCCACTGGCTTCGTCAAAGATCAGCAGTATATATTTGCTGCCACCCAGAGAATTCATTTCTATGGGTCCGCATATGTCGACGTGAAGTAGCTCGAAGATGTCGAATCTGCGCTTGTCCTGGTTGCGTGGGAATGGTTTTTGGACCATTTTCCCTTGTTGACATCCTCGACATGCACTTGATCCACTTGACGTGAGAGATACCTTCACATCCTTGATCATGTTCGTGGCCACCATTTTGCGAAGAACATCAGCTGGAGCGTGTCCCATTCGCGCATGTAAGTCGACACCGTTGCTTCCGTTTGTTGCCGTATTGGCCGATCGATGAGCTGTGTGAAGCCAATAAAGGCCATCCACAAGATCTGCAGTTGCCACCAATTGGTGCGATCCTTTGCGAGCGGCAAACATCTTGGTCCCGTCGAACACGACTTGAAACTTGCCGTGCTTGTTGATCTGCGGTACCGAAAGCAGATTCTTGCTCGTGCTTGGTACGTAAAGCACGTTCTTGATCTCGATCTCACGCTCTTCACCGTTGGGCAGAACCACCTTTTCCATGATGGTTCCCACACCCTTGATGGCCACCTTGTTGCCATCAGCCACCAAGAGTTCGCCCTCATTGCGCTCTGCCAAACTTGCGAACTTGGTCTTGTCGTGGCAAATGTGGTGCGTTGCACCACTGTCGACGGCCCACATTCCAGACACGTCCTTGCTCGTCGAAACTCCACATTCGAACGAGACTGCAAACGCCACTCGATCGTAGCCATTGCCTTCATCATGATGTCCCCACTGGACATTGTTAGCCCCGCGTCCACGACCATTGCCGCCGCGTCGGGCTCCCCGACCTTCGTTCTTCTGCTTTGTCCAGCAACGATCCACCGTGTGTCCCACCTTGCCACAATACGTGCATTGGTAGGGCTCACGCTCGGCGCTGAATGCCTTGCTTGCATCTTCAGCCTTCACCGTAGTCGCTGTCGTTGTCCCTTTTTCTCCTTGACGCTTGGCATGCTCATTCGTCAGGACTCTCACCACATCTTGAGTGCGAAGCTCGGTGCTGCTCATTTCCATGTTGAGCACCACATTTTCGTAGCTCTTCGGAAGACTGAGTAGCAGACAAATTGCAACATCTTCGTCTTCCATCTTCGCACCGATGCCGCTAAGCTTGGCGGAGATGTTGAGGACCTCGTTGCAGTGATGCATGACGTTCGCGCCTTCAGCCATCTTGATACTGAAAAGTTGTCGCTTGAGGTAGATGCGTCCTGCCTTCTGCGACCCACCGTACAGCGTCTTCAGACTTGTCCACGCAACCCAGGCTTCCTCGCAGTTGTCCAGCACATGATGGTAGTCCGCGTTCATGTGCAGCAGCATCATACCAAACGCGACGTTGCTTGCCTTGACGTAGTCATCGGACGCTCGCGGGTCGGTGAAAGTCGGAGTCACTTCACGGTTGACAACGTGCCAGACGGACTTCGTCAAAAACACACCGCGCATGTACCGGCTCCACGTTGCGTAATTGTCTCCATTGAACTTGTCAATGGAGGCGTTGCTGGTGGACGACATGGCGCTTGGGCTCATAACCTGTTGCATTCAGATCGGAGCGAGGAAAGCGGAGCAAACGGAGCGGAGAGACCGAAGAGAGTAGAGCAGAAAACACTTGCCCAATAGTTGGAAGATTCGAAAGTGATTGATTATCGGGGCTTACTACTTACTACATGATTTATATGTGGTGTACATATAAATCATGTGAAGCGTCTCATCATCCTACGCGTCTAATCAACTATGGTAATTACCGTAAGAACTACGTCGTAAATACTAAGCTGAACAGGCGGTTCGGATTGGATCGGTCACGGTTACCAATACTGGTAGAAAACCGATGACCGTCAACAATATTGTCCCCACTGGACATTGTTTGCCCCGCGTCCACGACCATTGCCGCCGCGTCGGTCTCCTCGACTTTCATTCTTCTGCTTGGTCCAACAGTGATCGACGGTGTGTCCCACCTTCCCACAGTAGGTGCACTCGAATGGCTCGCGCTCAGTGTTGAAGGCCTTGGCTGCATCTTCAGTCTTGACCATCATCGCTGTTGTTGTCGTCTTCTCCCCTTGGCGCTTGGTGTGCTCATTCGTGATCACCTTCACCACATCTTGGGTACGAAGCTCCGCGCTGCTCATCTCCAAGTTAAGAACAACGTTCTCAAAACTCTTAGGGAGGCTGAGCAGCAGGCAAATTGCGACGTTCTCGTCCTCCATCTTCGCACCGATGCTGCTAAGCTTGGTGGCGATGTTCAGGACCTCGTTGCAGTGATGCAAGACGTTGGCGCTTTCATCCATCTTCATGCTGAAGAGTTGACGCTTGAGGTAGATCCTTCCCGCTTTCTGGGATCTACCGTACAGCACCTTCAGGCTTTGCCACGCAACCCACGCTTCCTCGCAGTTGTCAACCACATGGTGGTAGTCCGCGCCCATGTGCAGCAACATCTTTCCAAACGCGATGTTGTTGGTCTTGACGTAGTCGTCCTGCGCTCGAGGGTCCACAAACGTCGGGGAGCTCTCCTGGCTGACAGCATGCCACACTGACTTTGTCAGGAACACGCCACGCATATATCGACTCCAGGTCGAATAGTTGTCCCTATCGAACTTATCGATGAGCACGTTGGAGGATGCGTGGCCGGCAGAAGACATTGCGCTTGGGCTCATAACCTGTTGAAGGTATGGCACGGGAGTGACGAGAAGACCGGAGGAGATCGGAGGGAGCGAAGAGGCTGGAGGAGCGGAGCAGAGAAGACTTGCTCGGCAGAAGGAGAATTTGAAAGTGATTGATGATCGGGGCTTACTACTTACTACATGATTTATATGTGGTGCACATATATATCATGTGAAGCGTCTCATCATCCTACGCGTCTAATCAACTATGGTAATTACCGTAAAAACTACGTCGTAAATACTAAGCTGAACAGGCGGTTCGGATTGGATCGGTCACGGTTACCAATAATGGTAGGAAACCGATGACCGTCAACGATTCGGTATCCAGCGCAGTGTCATGAACAATTTCTTGTGGTAGCGTCGGCGAAAAACCAAACGTTGATTCGTCGAATGTGACATCGCGAGATATCACCACTTGATCCGCTTCAATGTCGTAAACGCGATATGCCTTTACCACTTCTTCGTACCCCATGAATGGTCCTTCACGAGCCTTAGGATCCCATTTCGATCTCTTTTCCTTAGGGGTCAGCACAAACGTTCGGCAGCCGAAAACCCGCATGTGCTTCACACTTGGTCGAAATCCGTTGACGATTCCGAACGGGGTTTGAGCTTGGCACTTGGGCGATGGTAGGCGATTCTTGATGTAGATCGCCGTCATTGCTGCTTCAACTCAAAAGAACTTTTCCAGCTTGGCGTAGTGAAGCATGCTGCGCCCGATCGTCATAATGGTCCGAATTGCCCGTTCCACCGTGCCGTTGGTCTGATGCGCATATGGAACGGTAACTTGCTGCTCGATTCCTTGATCATCGTAAAATGCCTTGAGCGAATTTGCCGCAAATTCGCGTGCACCATCGTGTCGAGCGAACTTGACCTTGTAGTTAATTGCGTCTGTACTGCCATGATGTACTTCTTGATGCACTCTTCGCTGTCGGACTTGGCGCGCAGACTGAAACCCTTTATACATCCGCTGCCTTCATCGACGATCAGTAGCAAGTACTTGCTTCCACCTAGCGAGTCAACTTCCATCGGACCACAAGTGTCGATGTGTAGAAGCTCAAACGGATCGTAGTAGCGCTTGTTTGGATTGCTTGGGAACAGTTGTTGAACCATTTTTCCTTCTAGAAAACCCTGATACACGCTTGATCCGCTCAATTTTGTTGGCATCTTGGCATCCTTGATCATGCCCTTGGAGACCATCCTGCACAAGACATCAACCGGTGCGTTGCCCATAAGAGCATGAATGTTTTCGACTCTTGGTCCTGAACCCGCATTCACGGATAGTTGGGATGTATGTTAAGATGTAACGAGCACTGGGCGAGAGAAAGAAGCTTGAAGAACTTGAAAGAAGTCTACACTGCGAAGTGAAGACGACTTGTGTAGGAGGAGGAATATTTGAAAGTGAATTTATTTGTGGGTTTTTGTTAAAGCTACCTGATTTATCCATGCACTGATTTATATTTTGGCCACATGTAAATCATGAATCACAAATCATGTAGGTCATCCAATCATCCTATGCGTCTAATCATTGGTAAAAACTCACCGTAATTACGCGGAATTGACTTGGACAGGTTTACGGTTCCCATGGTAGCTGATAGCAGTACCTCAACCGTTAACCCACAATAATGTGCTTGAAAACTGTGAGGAAGCGTGGGTTGCGTGGCAAAGCCTGAAGGTGCTCTACGGTGGATCACAGAATGCGGGGCGAACCAACCTCAGTCGTCAACTGTTTAGCATGAAGATGGCTATAGGCGCGAACGTCATGCATCACTGCAATGAAGTCATGAACATTGCCGCCAAGCTTAGCAGCATCGGTGCGAAGATGGACGATGAGGACGTCGCAATTTGCCTGCTGCTCAGTCTCCCTAAGAGTTTTGAGAACGTTGTTCTTAACTTGGAGATGAGCAGCGCAGAGCTTCGTACCCAAGATGTGGTGAAGGTGATCACGAATGAGCATACCAAGCGCCAAGGGGAGAAGGTGACAACAACAGCGACGATGGTCAAGACTGAAGATGCAGCCAAGGCCTTCAACACTGAGCGCGAGCCATACAAGTGCACCTACTGTGGGAAGCTGGGACACACCGTCGATCGCTGTTGGTCCAAGCAGAATAATGAAAGTCGAGGAGACCGACGCGGCGGCAATGGTCGTGGACGCGGGGCAAACAATGTCCAGTGGGGACAATATCGTGATGAAGACAGCGACTACGATCAATTAGCGTTTGCATTTTCGCTAGAGTGTGAACTCTCAGCGAAGAAGGACGTGTCCGGAATGTGGGCCGTCGACAGTGGTGCAACACACCATATATGCCACGACAAGACCAAGTTTGCAAGACTGAACAAGCGCAACGACGGTGAAATCTTGGTGGCGGATGGCAACAAAGTGGCCATCAAGGGTGTTAGAACCATCTTTGAAAAAGGTGGTTCTACCCAACGGTGAAGAGCGTGAGATCGAGATCAAGAACGTGCTTTACGTACCAAGCACGAGCAAGAATCTACTATCGGTACCGCAGATCAACAAGCACGGCAAGTTTCAAGTCGTGTTCGACGGGACCAAGATGTTTGCCGCTCGCAAAGGATCGCACCAATTGGTGGCAACTGCAGATCTTGTGGATGGCCTTTATTGGCTTCACACAGCTCATCGATCGGCCAATACGGCAGCAAACGGAAGCAACGGTGTCGACTTACATGCGCGAATGGGACACGCTCCAGCTGATGTTCTTTGCAAAATGGTGGCCACGAACATGATCAAGGATGTGAAGGTACTTCTCACGTCGAGTGGATCAAGCGCATGCCGAGGATGTCAACAAGGGAAAATGGTCCAAAAACCATTCTCACACAACCAGGACAAGCGCAGATTCGACATCTTCGAGCTACTTCACGTCGACATATGCGGACCCATAGAAATGAATTCTCTGGGTGGCAGCAAATATCTACTGCTGATCTTTGACGAAGCCAGTGGATGCATGAAGGGCTTCTGTCTACGTGTGAATTCGGAGAGTGAAAACTACATCACACGATACATCAAGATGGTGCAAGCGCAGTTTGGCAAGAAGGTCAAGCTCGTCCGACACGACGGAGCCCGCGAGTTCGCAACCAACTCGCTTCAAGAATTCTACGAAGATGAAGGCATTGAGCAGCAGACGATGGTGCCATATGCACACCAGACCAACGGCACGGTAGAGCGCGCCATTCGGACTATCGTCACAATTGGTCGCAGCATGCTCCACCATGCCAAGTTGGAAAAGTGCTTCTGGGCCGAAGCAGCAATGACGGCAAACTACGTCAAGAACCGTCTGCCGTCGCCTAACGTTATGCACAAGACTCCGTTCGAGTTCTTCAACAACTCCAAGCCAAGTGTCAAGCACATGCGGGTGTTCGGTTGTCAGGTTTACATACTGACACCGATGGAGAAGCGGCTCAAGTGGGACCCCAAGGCTCGCACTGGGATATTCTTGGGCTACGAAGAAGCATCTAAAGCGTATCACGTTTATGACATCGAGGCGGGGCAGGTGGTCATCGGTCGCATGTCAACTTTGATGAGTCCTCTTTTGGACTTTCGCCGCCTATCAATTATGAAGATACCGATGACCTTGACTTCGACTCCCTCGAACTGGATGATGAAGAGCCGGGCAAGAGCAGTACAAGCAAACAGGCAAGCGCAAGAGTCGTCTTCATGATGAAGGAGTGCCAGCTCCACCCACGCGCACAGTGCATCAACGGTCTGGACTAGAAGAATCAAGTGCACCAAAGAATTACATGGCACACCAAGTAGAAGAGGAAGAAACAAAGAATGCTGATGCATCGACTCCGCCTGTGTTTTGGCTTGCGAGTGCGAACGCCATCGAAACAGCAGTGGACTTATCCGAGCCATCGACTTTTGAAGCTGTGATGAGCGGTCCTGATCAAGTGCATTGGCGTGAAGCCATTTAAGCGGAACTGGAGTCGATGCGACTTCGTGGAGTGTTCCGCGCAGCCAAGCTACCTAAAGGACATCGCACCATTGGCACGAAGTGGTTCTTCAAGATCAAGCGCAAAGCGGATGGATCAGTTGACAAATACAAGGCGCGTCTTGTGGCAAAGGGTCTCGAGCAACAATATGGGATGGACTACACGGAAACGTTATCGCCCGTGGTCAAGAACGTGACGCTACGCATGATGATTGCAGTCGCCAAGCATTTAGGATGGACCATCGACTAACTCGACGTGGTGACGGCATTCCTGTATGGTGTCATGAAGGAACAAGTGTTCTGCGTCATCCCTGAAGGCGTGGAAATAAAAGGGTTCTTTGATTGTCTGGAGTTGGTGAAGGCAATCTACGGACTCAAGCAAGCGTCGCGCGTATGGAACGAAACGTTTGACGAGTTTGTTGACGGTCATTGGTTTCCTACCAGTATTGGTAACCGTGACCGGTCCAATCCGAACCGCCTTTTCAGCTTTGTATTTACGACGTAGTTCTTACGGTAATTACCATAGTTGATTAGACGCGTAGGATGATGAGACGCTTCACATGATTTATATGTGCACCACATATAAATCATGTAGTAAGAAGTAAGCCCCGATCATCAATCACTTTCGAATCTTCCAACTAGTGAGCAAGTCTCTTCTTCTCCACTCTCTTCAGCCTCTCCGCTCCATCTGCTCCGCTCTCTACCATTGTAACACGCGCTCCTTGAAAATCTTTATTGAGGCTCGCTTCTGCGCTCCAGCCAAACTCGATGATCCAGAGCGTTCCGTTTAGTCCGCCCCCCCCCATCGTCCAGCACCACGTCACATCTTGGCATCTCGTAGTAGTCGTTCGCCTTGTATGTAGCTTCCGCTTCTTCTTAACCACAAATATACTCGTCACCACTTAACTTGACTCTTCCTTCGATAGCACTCGCGCATTCAGACCATCTTGCATCACCACCCTTGCACAAACCCTTTTCGACTGCACGCGCACCGTCAACGATCCCTGTCGATGATTTCTTCGGCGCCTTACTTGTGCATCAAGTGCCTTTTCTGGCGGGGTGTCCCTCGCACAAGTTGGTCCTTGGTAAAATGTCTGCAGCGAGCACTTGGGCTCAAAACCTGTTAAACGTAGGAGTGAAGTAAAGTAAACGACTTGTATATTACCGCGCACCAGACGCGTTTCGGCCCTTCGCTGGGGGCCTCATCAGTGGTTTGTCAATCTACGAGTGAGAACTATCCATACATCTAGCCGCTGTACGACCTATTATAATGCACATAGCCCCAAAAAACCGTCTACACTTCCCCTATTATGGGTCGAATCTCTGTGGTCAAAACCAGTGCATCATGCACTTCCAACAACGAGTGCCTCGATTAGATAATATTCTCTTGATATAAGACATTCCATAGTTAAACGTAAATTAATTTCAGTTCCCTTTGATCTTGTCCTAGATACGTGCCTTGAGAGGCGTCTCTGATAGTAGATCGCTAAGATTTAGCGACACCTCCATGAGGTAGCTAGTCTTGAGCACTAAGTGCGGTAGATTCACTGTATCGTTCGGTCCAATGGAACAGTGACCTTACGCTTCACGCTTGTTGACTCATAAAGGGTAGTTCTTTGGAACTAATATCGCTCTTTGAGCACCAAGTCTTCCTCCGACTTAAGGAGATGTGTAGCTTTGCTATACTTGGTAGCACTTGAAGTAATTAACGCCTGATTCCTTAAGGGCTGATCACAAGTGAGAATCAAAAACCTCATTCTCTCCCTAAGGTTCAAATGGTCGCGCTTGATAAGCTTACCACACCTCTGTGACCAGAGTATGTAGAATTTTTTGTGTCACAAGTTATAGAGGTGCTGACTGCAATCGTTGAGGGCTTCTTGAAGAATCAAGCGTTAATTATAGGGAAGGTCCAACACTAAATGGCGTCGGCTATTCCTACACGCTATGTGTATATTTCAGACGAAGAGGCTAGGCCTCGTCCACTTAGAGTGGAAGTTCAAAACTACACAGGATAAGGGAGGGGGATTCCTTATCTTTTGGACCCGTGCAGTTCAGATGATCATGAGATCAGGCCTGATCAATCTTTACCATCAACAAGTCTCGCTGGCTATCTCAAAGCTCGATTTAAGAGCTACAGAGTGAGCCTTGACGTGTAGCACGTCGGTCGACTTAGCGTTTCCCACATGGAAGTCTCTTAAGTCACAATTGGTACACGTATTTAATACATTAACCAGGCTTACCGCGTGCGTTCACGCTTTTTAGTAACCCGGCAGGATAAGAATGAGTTAATATCCAGGATCTGAGAACTATTATGGCTGCTATGCAGTCTGAACCTTTGCCTGAGGCAGTTCATGTGACTATCTTCATGGACGGTCTCCATACTGGCATTTCCAGAGCCTAAGTCTTGCAGGTCCGCCCCTCGACTTTCGAAGAGGCTGTGAAATTTTTCTTGATGCTGAGCATAACTTTAAGTCGGCCAGGCTTGGCTGGAATGAGTGCAACCCTAAATCTGCGGGGGAAAACTCCACGAGTACTCCGGCCATTAATAGGCCGGAGCCGATGGAACTCAGTTATGCTGAAGATGGAGGTGAAGCTGAACTTCAGGCTGCTGAACAGCAACGCGTCGTACGAAAATGCTTTACGTGCGGAAGCACTAAACACTTGCGGCATGGTTGCCCTTTGCGTAGACAGCTCCAGGCTACGAGTCAACACTCTACTCCGAGCCAGAAGTCTGACATGGGACGGGCAAAAGTCGACACCCAGTAGGCGCGGGGCGCCCTAATGGGGAAGAACTATGTTCTGTAACACCTTTTGGAGGTAAAGTTGAAAAGGGCTTAGCCCCAAAGAGTTCCGTAAGTACTGGTATGGAGCGTGGATTAAATTCTGGTTGTTAGTCGCCGAGGCGAAAATTAAGGGCTTTGAGAGGCCTTGGTCGATATTGATCGACTCTGGAGCGTCTTGCAATTATGCTCGACGTCGTTCCCTTGAGGAAGGTCAGCTTATGCTGAGGCGCTTACAGCGCATGAGGGCAAGTCTATCACGGTTCGTTTAGCGACTGGAAGTGTTGTCACCGTGCCGAAAGCTATATTGAACTGAGGTATAGAGTCTATTGATTTTAACAGCTTTGAACGCTGTCTTATCCTTGTTTTGGACTCGATATGTGATCTCATCCTTAGTACGGATTGGCTTGAACACCATGAGCCATGATTTAATTGGAGGTCTAAGAACTTTGGCGCTACGCGCAATTTTCCTAGAGAAGTTCTGAAAATTCATGAATGTGTTTTTACTGGGCAGCAAAAAAACTATCGACACGGCCCTTTAACAGAAGATGTCAATGTGCTGGACATTGGGATATCTGAGCTAATCGCCCTAACGTTTATAACATGAACCTCGATCGTAGCTCGTCGAGTTTTACTATTGTGGCAGGTACTCCGTTGAATGTTACTCGTTGTGATAATGATTCACTGCATACTGAAAGCATAGTTAGCCTAGGGACGAGTTATCAAGGATGTGATTATGTTAATGGGTGTAATGGCACGTGAAAATGCACCAGGTGTGGCCGGCCGTGAAGGCACCAAGCTTAATGTCGGCAACGACATTGTTGGCGAAACGCCATTAACTTTAGAGCTAGTCCCGTATAATGTAAGTGGAGTGGTACGTCTAAATTCACTGGTTGAAGTGTTCGAGTTACGTAACACTTTCTCAAATGTCAAGTAAGACATTAGCTCTCGCATAGTGAGTACTACTACTAGTAGTAATTACGAGGACGCTATTGTCCCGACCCCAGAGAGGTGTAAGGTCTCGTCGACTAGACGAACACGACGCAGGTGACCACTATAAAGCCCCATACGTCCGAGCAGTCACATAGTTAGAATAGCGATACATTATATACACTTTTAAAAGGAGTGACTGGACAGGTTATGGGTATTGTTAAAGCCTGGAACCCTTACGTCTTTGGATGCTCTTTGTGATCTTGACAAAATGTCTGATGACAAATTTAGCCAGGCCTTGAGGGCATTATTTATTCAAATATTTGATCATATGACCCGATGCAGAGTTGGAATCGTCCTCATTAATGGACGAATCGGTCCTATAGGACACCAAGGCGACACTCAGTGCCCGGAGTGGATCTTCAAATCTTGAACATACATTGGATTCATTCTATAATTTAGTACAGGAATCTCAAGGCGTGGCTTGTCACAACCCACTATCTTTACAACCTCCCGATAATTTATGAAATTGACTTCGTTCCAGGACTAAATGCTGCGTAACACGGCAGTGGCCTTTAGCTAAGGAGCTTTGTGGCGTCATTGACGATTTCTTTCGTGCAAAACACGCTGCTGAAATGGAATGCAAAATTAAATCTCCCATTCCACACCGACATTTTGTGTCAGGCAGCCAAATGGTAAGTGACGAATTGTCCGTAATTATAATTTGCTCAATGCCGCCACCGTACCGGCGCAGACACGAATCTCCAGAAATGATGTTCTGTAAAAAAACGTATGGTGGGATGAACGTTGTATAGTGCGCTCGACTTAGTCGATGGTTATTGCCAGCTGATCATACGAGCAAGAGATATTCCGCTTACAGCGATGAGTACCTCGAGCGGTATGCTCCGGGAGTGGCTCGTTATGCCACAAGGGCTGTCGAATGCCTCGGCTGCTTATAACCGTCTGGTGACGCAACTATTCAGACCTTATCAAAGCTATGCACAAGCGTACCTGTATGGCATCTTTATCCATATTCGTGTAACGAACGGTCGATCTGATGTGGATAATCAACTCGATCATTTACGATTGGTGCACGAGCGCATTCGCATAAATAAATTGTATTCAAATGCATCTAAGTGCATCTTTATTGCAGAAGATATTACCTCTTAATGGTGCTTCATGAGGAAGAGAGGCCTTCGACCGGACCCTGCTAAGGTAAGGGCCATCGCCAATTGGCCGGTTCTGAAAAAAACCAAAAAGATCTACGTAAGTGACTTAACCTTTCCAATTGATTGTGTAATCATAGTGCTAATTAGGCAGATATGGCTAGGCCATTATCCAATCTCCTCACGAAGGATGCGGATTGGTGTAGGGGTAACATCTAATAAGATCCTTTTCATGAAGTTAAGAATATCTCATCCTGCTCCAGTACTTTCTATGCCCGATCACGATCGACCCTATAGTGTCATCTGTGACGCACCTGACTTTGCCATAGACGGTGCTCTTTTACAAAAATATGTCGATGGACGAGAAAGTGTCATATCATTCGAATCTCGACAGCTGCTGAAAACTAGTATCCAGTTCACGATAAAGAGCTACTTGCTAAAACGTTTTCTCCAGTCAAATTCAGAGTACATCTGCTTGGCTCAAAGCCATTTGTGATATACAAAAATGCTTCATTGCGCACTGCAACACAGCCGCCGCATCTTTCTCAAAGAATAGCTCGTTGGCTTTCATTCTTTGTTGAAGAAACCTTGGAAGTGAAGAATTAGCCAGATAAATTAAATTCGTTGTATGATGCGCTATCGCACCGACCTGAATATGAGCCTGCGCAAGTCACTACGCTGTCCTTGTCAGTCCATGACTTAATCAGTGCGGCTTATGCCAATAGTGAAAAATGTGTAGCTTTGCTACGGGATCTTGGGAGCAAAGAGTTTAAAGACTCCGACACTGAATTGTCGTCACGCATGCGTGCGAGGCTACATCGATATTTCACGATTATGGCCTGTTGTGGTATCGCACATGTATTGAGAATGACCCTCGTATCGCTGTCCCTCATTATGAGGAGTTAACGTATCGAACTCTCTACAGGCACATGATACCGCTTTAAGCGGTCATCCCGGTTGTGAAAAGACCAATAGCTAAGTAAGCCAGGCTTTTGGTGGCCTAAACTATATAAGTGGTTGATTACCTACGTGCGTACATAAGATACGTGTCAACGCATTACACCCTCAGCACATGCGGCTGCACCGCTGGCTAGTCTTCCTGTACCCACTGGGTGTTGAGAATCCATGAGTATGGGCTTTGTGTTTGGCCTTAAGAAAACTTTATTAGGTAAAACTGGCATTGTGATCTTTGTTGACCGAAGCTATATGGCTCATTTAGCGGCAGTGCCGTACTCTATTGGTGCCAAAGGTACAGCGAAATTATTAATCGACCGTGGATTTCGACAACATGGTTTGCCTGTGGCAATTGTATCTGATGGAGATCTTCGATTCACTGGAAAGTTTAGGAAGTCCATCTTGAAGGTGCTCGGCGCCCGATTGGATATGTCCACAGCAGACCATTAACAGACCGATGGTCAAACTGAGCGTGTTAGTCACGTCATTAATGACATTTTACGCAGTGTTTGCACTGATACGCCTAAGATTTGGAGCCCCCATGATCCCTATTGTTTTGTTTTCGTTGGACAACTCTGTTCATGCCTCTACAGGATGTACTCCGTTCTACATAAACGGTCTCACCCACTTTCGCGCTTCCTTAACGCTATCACTATGTTTTTTAGGGATTAGTGGGGGATAGGTTACCGATCTGCTCGATGATATTAGACCCACTACTGCTCAAAAACAGGTAGGAGACTTTTTCGCAATGCAAATTAAAAGTCTTAAGACATGTGCGTGACGCAATGTCTGAAAGCCAAGCTTAACAAACGAACCAGCAGATGCTAAAAAAAGAGGTTGTGTTGAACGTTATCAGATTGGAGACCAAGTATTTCTGAATGCTCAAAACCTACCTAAAAAGTAGTATCCGCTGTATTTATGAAAGTGTTGCGTACGCGCTTCATTGGACCATTCACGGTCGTTGCCGAGAAGGTACTTGCGTATATGCTCAACCTTTCATACAAATTGCGCACACATCCTGTGTTCTACGTTGGCTTGTTTAAATTGTATTGGAATTCATACCACGTTAACTTGGAGGCGCTTGCGCCTCGGAAGTTGGCCTTGCCATCGGTTGCTAAGTTCGAATAAGGGGGTCAAGCTGGGCCTCCATCCGGGTGTGACCCGACTTCAACGCCTGAACGCGAGCTTGCGTCGCGTCGAGCGCACTCTGGGTCTCACGCAATGTCTCACGGAGATCACTTGGCTCGAGAAGCACCTTCTCATGCTCCTACTTCGTTACACCTAACCTTACCGACCTTGCTTGATAAGCAAGGAAACCGCCAGTTCCATGTGATGAGACTCCTAAAACGACGTCTTTGTCATGTCAAATACCTGTATCTGGTGAAGTGGCGTGGGTACTCGGAGTCGTAGAACTCATGGGAGTATGATATTTCCCTTCGGCAAGATTTTCTTTATGCCGTGGATGTATTTGAACATCGTGGCCAAAGCCATCTCGAGCCCGAGGCTTTTCCCACCACTGGTTGGCGGAATGGTGGTCACAGTCTGACCAACACTCGCGGCAATAGTATTAATCGAAGCATAGCGTGTGCGATTGTGCAATTGGCCTAATACCCAAAGCTTGGCATAATCATTCAGAAGCCTGTGCTCAAAATTCACATCGACACATTGGAACTAGCTCTCATAGCGTACATACTGCTGAGGCGTTGCGGTGCACCCAGCGAACAAAGTCATCCTCTTCTTCTTCAGTCGTTTTGCTTGCATACAAGAGAAAAGGTATAATATTAATCGGTGGAACCGGTGCACTACGTGCTTGCTGATCAAGGCGTGCCTTGTACTGACTTTGCGCTGTCAGATATGACTCCAGGTACCTCTCGCAAAGTGTCTGTCCCTTTGCCACTTCCTCAGGAAAAGTAGTTACAGGACCAATGGTCCAAGTTGCCAGCGTTTGGCCGGTCGTTTGACGTAGAAGTTCCTCCACACTAAGTGAAGTGAACACATAGTCACGCTGGATCTTAATGGTCGTGACCATTTGTGCACGGCGCCGAGCATTTTCTTCTTGCTGAACGGTCAACTGTCGATTCTCATCAAGCGGGTTGGTGATGATTGCATCATCCGAACCGGGTGTTGAATGCAGCGCTATTGGCGCATTCGCATCATCAAGTTCATGGAACGAGCTTAACGTAGTAGGAGGTTGTACCTTAAGCATGGGTGTACCGTACATTGTCATTGCATCATCCAGGACACTGATATTTCTACCACAGTTGATTGCCTCCTCCATCTCGAGATATGCGCAAAGAGTCTCTGACTCGTAAAATGATTAGGACACGTTGCTAAAGCTTTGCTCTCCGTGATGTTAACCGCAAGCGTACTGACCTAGCTGAGAAGCGAAGATCGATTGACGTTTGGGTAAATTTTAGATGAGCTTAGTATGGGGAGGTTATAAAAGGGTTACACGTCTTAGGGTATTCGATACCCTCCGTCTTAGACAAACGGGATGGTATCCCACTGAAAGATATATATAATATATAAATGGTTTGCAGGGGATGACGGGTTGCCACAAGATAGGAAAGATCTTAATTTACGCCACAAGATAGGAAAGATCTTGCTTTGGGATGTGAGTGCCTAGATTAGATAACATTTTCTTGAATTAAGACATTCCATCGTTAAACGTAAATTAATTTCAGTTCCTCTTTGATCTTGTCTTAGATACGTGCCTTCAGAGGCGTCTCTGATTGTAGATCGCTAAGATTTAGCGACACCTCTCTGATGTAGCTAGTAGTGAGCACTAAGTGCGGTAGATTCACTGCATCGTTCGGTCCAATGGAACAGTGACCTTACGCTTCACGCTTGTTGACTCATAAAGGGTAGTTCTTTGGAACTAATATCGATCTTTGAAACCAAGTCTTCCTCTGACTTAAGGATCTGTCCAACTCTGCTTTAGTACATCTAGCCGCGTTGTTTGCAAACACAGACATATAAGTACAGTTTTAAAAGTTCGGCATTCAGCTTGCGCAAAGTCACTGATAGCTTCATCTTTCACGCCTGCAAGTAGTATAGTTCTTGTAAGGTCAATGGTGATCAAGCGAATACTCACGTTATCGAGCCCCAGTGTTGGTGGTCGCGATTGAAATCACCCGCGCATTATTCAAGTTTACGACAATTTAGAAACAGCAAAAATTGCATTTGTGTTCACGGGTATGGGTACTGCAACACTGTTTCGTCAGCACTGAAATATCAAGTACTGGGTACAATGTACGACTTGCAGCAAACGGAGAAAGGTACTATCACTAAATGAAAGTGGGCAGCATTATATAATTTATTAGAGCTAAAAACTGTTATTTTTTAACCTGGATTCGCCCTTGGCAAAGATTCATACGAACAACGAACCAACATTACTTCCTCCTGTGTACCTTAATAGCACCAATCTTGCACATTCAAACTTCCCACAAAGAGTCTTAAACAAATGCATGTGGACGGACTAAGCCTCGATATGTTTTTATTTCTCGTGTTGTACGCTGGGTACCGGGAGCATGGTCTTGCTAGCGTTGGGGATAGTCGATGCGGCATTAGCTTAATGATAACATCGACTGACATCTTTACTTGGGCGCGCGCTTGTCACGCGTGATCGCGAGCATGGGCAAAGAAACAATATTTTTTTTCGGCAATTAAAGCCATTGGCAGGTCATGAGAGATTGCCTGTATCCCCGTATTGTACTCGGAAGAGTAGAAAGAAAAGTAATTAGTCCCAGGCAGGTCGCTGTGGACGACGCTTACATCGGAGCCTCGGTTTAGATGGGACTGCTTGACGTTTTCACGGGATCTACCGAGCTACCAAAGAGACTAGTTGGTTGTATAGCTCACCAGCTCCTTGACGGAGTAAATGAGGATGGAACGGTCAGCTTGGTCTTTCGCTTAATCGCTGTTGAGTGTACAATAATTCAAACGAATGGAGAGCCGGCACGGTGTAGGATGTGCGAAGCAGAAACAAACCGACTTTGTCAGTGTATTTTGGCAAAAAGGTCAAAAAAGTAAAGTCACCCGTACAAGACGTCTGGAATGTCCTGAGTAAGGCTAGCAAAGCCGGGGTCGACTGGTCCAATATCTATTAGTGGCTCACCACATGACGAAGTGCTCTTGGAGGTCTAGTGTATCGTATGTCAATACATTGCCAAGACGTATTCCTTGCGTATTCGTATGTATCTTTCTGCGCCTTCCGGTTGGCAACGCACGTATTTGTCCAAGCTCACTAAGTCTGAACTCGTAAACACGTACTTCTTCACAGCGTCATTACTTTTCAGAGCATGTATGTCTTAGGTGAATACAAGCATATGCACAATGAAAACAAAAGCGGTCGATACATTCACATGAGTGCGTGAGCTCCAAGTAGAGATGTGGTCCAAACATGCATCATGCAGTAGCAGCAAGCGTGACACACGCTATTATATTCAAATGCATAAGAATTCATCGGGAAGGCGGTTAAGGTAAGCATGCTTGGGGTGTTCAAGGAGACGTGAAAGGAGCGAAAATATTGAGAAGTTGGAAGAGTCACGGGCTCGGTCCAAAGCCGCCAACTGCGCGCCCACAACGTCCTCTACAACGACAAAACAAAAAACGTCCGCATGATCTCTTCAACTATCGGTTTTAACTTGGCAATCCCTTCAACTAGCCGCCAGAGTGCCAATGATCCCATTGTCGATTTTATGATGCATCCATGAGGCAGAATTAATGCGCTTGCATGACTTCAGCTCGGGGTCACAACTAAACTCAAGGCACACGTAAACTGTAACGCTATTCCTAGCTAACGCCATTGTGAGATTCTCCCTCTTCAAGGTCGTTAAATTGGGAGCTAAAAGGTGGCAGCAAGAATCCCACCATGTCTGCTCTGAAGACGGCAGCCGTCCTGTCCATTTAAGTCGTGCTGGATAATCCTTTGCAAGGACATGCCATCTTTTTGTCGTCACCGCATTCAGTTCCGCCACATCATCATAGTTTTGATGCACCAATACCTGTACGAGGGTATACCGTGGCCTTGTCTGATTGTACAAGGCACTCACTAATTGCTGTGTCGACCGACGGGTCGCTCATCCTTTGGTCCAGTGACCAAGATATTAATCATGGCGCTGCAGCGCAGGAGAAGTCCCGGTACAACGACTTGTAGGTTTCACGTGGATTTGACAGGCTGTTTACCCTTGCAACTGCTTGTCTTGTCCCTCGCACCATGACGCAAGCAACTCGGTGTGTGCAGTGTTGCCGCGCATTGACATTCATCTGTCTTCGCTGTTGTGGCAAGGCAATCCACGGACCCATCACTTGTCATGCGAGCACTTGGAAATGTATGTTTCGGCTCCAAGTCCTCGTGTGAGAGTTGTTTGCAAGACTACTTGTGGAAACCGATGAAGCCGCAGTTGTACTGCGAACAGCGAGTGACCACGCACGTTTAGTATGACAACTTGGCTGTCTTTTCCATTGCAAGTCAGCATTGAGCTCTGACTCACTTGCTCAGGCGAGTCCGTTTTGCATTTTCGCAAAGGCGCAAGAGTTATCGCTTGCGCCAATTCCATCTCCAAAGAAATCGCTGTCGGCACCTATCAAGAAATCCGAAACGACCCTAGCAAATGCATTGACTGACGGTCATATGTGGTGACTTCACCATAGTGCCGTTCAACTCCCACAATAATTGGCGCATATTTTGCAAACTGCAATACTCGACGTATAATCGATAACATTACCGGTATTTGTTTTTAGCAACTCTAGACACCGCATATTAATTTAGCTTTTAATCGTCCAAATATTTCATCGCAATATCGTGTTTGTTTAAACACTGTTTCACCACAACAAGAATATTTTTAGTTGCATTCTTGTCGCCCCATAACTGACTTAGCGCTACTGACTTGAAGCGAACTTAACTCTTCTCGCATCCCTCATGTCGGACCGAGCTGATCAGCTCAAGCTGCAGGGCAACACGTTCTACCACAAGGGCAAGTTTCGCGCTGCCATTGACATGTATACAGAGGCCATCGTACGCGTACTTTCCATTACAAACTCCACTCACTCGCTCGTTCTTTGCTAACTTTTTGTATTGCGCTACGTCAATCTAGATTATGGCTCCAGGAAGATCGATCTACTATTCCAACCGTGCCCTTTGTCACTTGAAGCTCGAGAAATGGAGCCACTGCCGAGATGACTGTCAGTTGGCGCTAAAGTTTGATGCGCTCAATGCCAAAGCCAGTTACATGCTGGGCACAAGTTACATGCAATTGCTGGACTTTGATATGGGCGTGGAAGCGCTGATAAAGGCACTCAAAAGTGCTAAAAAGACTCAGAAATCTGCATCGTTCCAAAACGATATCGTCGCAGAGCTGAAGCGAGTCAAGAAGTGCCAGTGGCATCACGAGCAGCAGCAGCGGATCGCTCGCCACGTAGAGGCTATGAGCCAATTGCGTCGGCTCTTCGGAGACAATCAGAAAGATGGAGTGATGGATGTGGGGGCAAATAATGATAAGATTGACGCGTTGATGGCGTATGTGGAACACATGGCGCAAACATTTGAGAAAGACATGTACCCGGGCGAGGTGCCTGACTATTTCATGTGTCCTATTAGCATGGAAGTCATGCGTGATCCGGTGACAACGCCTAATGGCGTCTCGTATGTTACCAAGCTTTTTGTGTGGGTGAGAACTGATGATTTGGCTGATTAATTGTGTGGTAATGCAGATATGAACGACACTGTTTGGAAGAACATTTGCGCTTAAATGGAACGATAGATCCGTTGACGCGCAAGAAACTAACACACGATATGTTTCGGCCTAATACATCGCTACGCGCTGCAATTCAAGATTACCTGGACAAGAACGCGTGGGCTTACGAACATTAGTGTGTGTTCGGACTCGTGCAAGAACAACAAGCGTACACAGAAATGTGGTGAAGAGACATGTGACCTTTCTTGACGGATGCATTTCAATTTGCGCACGTTCTTAGGAGCGTGCATGATGGTAAGGTATGGTTGCAATGGAGAGCGCAAAGAACAAAACCGTTGACAGAATTAACTCGTGGAAGACCGAATGGCTTAATAATTGATAAAGGCGTTTGATCCTCTACACAAGTAAGTCCATCACGAAGGCGTAAGATTCACGTGCTTATTCGTTGTCTCTACATAGCCAAAGATCTGCTTGAAATGTTGCTGAGGTCTGTGTCGACGCATGAAGCAATACATATTAGGGCACGCGTGTCGTATGTTGGTGAAGTATTGATGACCGTTTTGTTGTTGAGGACGGAGCATTCGCTCACGCTCGTTCAGCTTAAGTTGTTCGTTCAAGTTAGGTGGGATGTAAGTACTTATTCAGCGGACTTGTATACAACGTTGCATGGAAGCACAAGATCGGTCCTTCTTGATACTAGTAGACCTCGACTAAAAGTTGTCGGGCTTTTCAGACAGATCTACTATTTGTATGACAAACGTTCACACTTTCTTTGCATTGTGGTTGATGATGTCTGAACTACGAAATAGTCGTGCCGGATGATCATGTCGCAAGAGATGAAATAGCCCTGGCTTGTAGAAGCGATCGTGCAAGTGTGAAATGTAGAACTGAATGAAAAGACGTGAACGACACCTGTAACGAATCGTGACGTGTCTTTCTACAACTAATAAACGTAATGAAACTACTTTAATTAATATGCCGGTGTTGCAAAAATAATGTTAGGAGCACGCCCGCTGCAGAACATCTTCCAAACAGATAGGAACCACCTGAAATTTAGATTGGAGAATTAGAGCGTTTTTGGTCTTGACATCGTTTGCACTAGGCACAAAAATAATTGTTGTCACCATTCACAGCCGCAAAGCTTTCGATCGTGGACCTTTTCGCGCTTAGTCCATACAATTGATGGACCAGTAGTGTAAGAAGCAGGAAATCAGAAAATGCGCGTCTAATGGCAATGCGAGGCAAAGTATTCTTCGACACTCCTGAATGAACGTTGCGACTGCAGTAGGTAACTATTACTGCTGTAGTCTGCTGTCATTGAAAGCAAAACTTCCTGAGTTTGTTCGAATTTGTCACTTTGGTGCACTATTGACTTTATGTTGTCATACACGTGCAAGATTGGCAAAACTTTTTCGTGCGAGGCGTGCTAACGAAGAGACCAATACTTACAAGTTTGTGCAATAACATATTGATCCCGTCTGAAATAATCGTAACTGTTAGCAATACTGCAGTAAAGTTGTGAAAATCTGAACAAGCGAAGGCATCGTTCGAGATGATAAAAATCACCTATCGGACTCGTCTCGAGAAAAGTGTGGGTCAAATGGGCAAGACATAAAACGTGTCGTTTCATGCGTACACGATTAACAAAAAAAGGAAAGTGGGCAATGGACAGCGGGATAGCATGAGTCCTTTTGTTTTCCAAAACAATACTGCACACAACATTCATACCAGCACAGCACATTTCCACTCTTCAGAAATTGCGTTCAACTGCACATCGCAAATCCTCGACTCTTTCGGTCAGCAACGTGCTGACTTTTAGAAAGCTGAGTGATACTAACGATGCGCCTGTGTATGAAATAAACCATGACTTTGTCCTTGAAACACGGATCATCCAATAAGTACATACATCGAGTGCCCGGACACACTTCACAAAAAGACGTGCAAATGATGAAGGGTGTGTAACTCCGCTATTGCCTTGACATCAGCATAAACTTTCCAGCTACGGATTTCATTAAATGACCTTGCAATAGCTTCGTCGCGATCCAGCTGCCGTCAGCGGGTCTTTGTTGCCGGATCCATTGCAACAATATCAAATGCCAGCATCGCATAGTAGCTCATCTAAACGCAACTACCTAATGATCATTAGTGTATAATAAAAAACATCATCATACAAAACGCTTTAAAATTGCTGCCAACCTGTCACTCTTTTTGCATGAATTGTATACTCCGTGTAACGGGACACCGATAGCTTGTACTGTCACAGTACAAGCTACCTACTCTGAACACACAGTAAGCAGGTGCCTCGCAATATTACATACACGTACGTGCAGACGAAGATTCCGATACGAGATAAGGGTAAAAGTAGAACTGTATTCGGTATTGTTGGTCGTCTCCTGTTGATAGATCCTATTTAGTCTTTTTTAACTATGCCTCAGTACAAACATGTGTTGTTATTATCTGCCTACCGCTCATTGCATTCTTCCGTCGTGACTCGGCTTTGTTGTCCATATCATTTTCCATATCAACCAATGAAGAATGTATTACTTCTGTATCACACAATTACTTGTTAATCGAACATTGTGAGAATGTGACGTCTGTCTTAACTTAGTATTCATGCTTGATGTTTATCTCATGTAAAACATCATGTAACAGAGGCACTCCGTCATATCATCTTCCTTAAACATCATGCACATTAGTCAGTGATTGATGATTGAGTGACTTCATTAAGTGACCCTCGGACAGGGAGGCGCTTGCTGGATCATTCCATCTATTCCCCGTTCACATCATATACATAACAAGTACATGCGGTGCTCGGCTAATGCTGACGGTAGTGCAGCAATAAGACTACGTTATGCTGCCGTAGAAGAGGCAAACACATTGAATGCAACAGGCAAAAACCCGCCTGTTGCTACTTTTACTCAGCCTGCAGCAGTCTTTGTTGTAGGATCACGCAATGATGCACCGCTTGGCATCATAGATTATGAGATCGAGATTAGATACTCCGGATAGTTGACACCGTCTCGAACAAAACGGCTGCGAAGAAAGAGCTAGACATGGCCAAGCCGGAGTCGTCCAAGTCGGACTCGCGAGGCGCTATGAGCCTCGCTTAACTCATGAAGTCTTGTCATTGACTGTAGCGGAGCTACACAGCTCTTTGAGTCAGAGGAAGACTTATTTGACAGGCCAACGGCTTACGGCTGACAGCCTATTAGTTCTACGGAACTAATATATCAATTCAAAGAGTCACCCAGTTCTACGGAACTCGGGTGGACTCTACGAGCTAACAGCTCAGCTACTGTAGTTCTAAAGAACTACACGCACAATGCGCAAAAGGGGAATACCGGAGTATAAAGACTCTCTAACCCACGACATTTCTATGGAACTGTCAAACGCAAGGTGCGAAAGGGGGGGAAGTCTAGGGATTTCTGCTCAAAATGAGAACTGAACTTTATTTAAATCTCATATCAAGAAAATTCCTACTTTATGTACCCTATATTATCCTAAATACAAATATTAGTATTCGAATTAAATGGATGGTTGCCACATCACTCAGTCATCAAATGATGACGGTACAAAGTACGTACACGGTAAGTACCGTAAACCCGGGAATATCGATCAAACGATATTATCTTGCTGATATAAAATCTAAGGTCACACGCATTCACCATATCATTGATGGGAGGTCTTTGACCAATTCAGCCAAAGGCTAGTATGACCCCGATACACCCTCCCCCACCAGACTGACGTTCCCACAAACGTCACTCGACTCATTCTCCTTTGAGACTTGTTACAAAGTAACGCACTCACATGGACCGACCTGTGCACCTCCTGGAAGATAAGGATCTAGCCAAATTTTTTGTTGTCGAGGACGTGGACTTTGATAGTGGTTGTGATACCAAAGTCGAGTGAAAGGAGCAATCCAAACCCAGCACCTGTGCGTGGGGACATTCCCCATCCGGCACCTAATTCGTTCCCCGACGTAGTGCCGCGACTGCCCTAATTGCGCTGGGAGCAATGTCCCCCACGGATACATCCATTATCACTTACCCATTTGACGAGGAGCAACAACGTATGCTCAATCAAGCGGCAAGCGCACGGCGCAAATCAGAAGTTCAGACAACGTTGCAACGACACAGTGAATATACGCTCACTCCACCTGGCGTGGATGAATTCATTTGTCAAGCATCACGCCATACTTTGGCAACATGGGCCACCGGCCCCGAGGCGAAAACGCCCACTGAACTCGAATGTCGCAAGGCTTTTCGAGAGAGGTACTTGGAATATAATGTGATGACTTTGAGTCAATACAGAGAACGGCTGCAAAAGCAGGCCCAAGGAAAACCGGTTCCACAAATTCGTGGTATACCCATCATTATGTCCGTGATGGGGATGAAACTGCGGAGGTCAATATGTTCATCCGCTGGGTGCATGGCATTCGACGCCTCAGTAGCATGCACGCGCTACGCGAAAGTGCCAGTGTGGCAGACGTTCGTCTGGAGCGAAAGCTTCACTATGACTATGCGAAGTTAAAGACCAGATGCCGTCTGTAGGGAGTATCACGCTCCCGCTGTGTCTCGTCTGCCTCTGCAGCCGCGAGTTCACGTCGATCTTTTGACACGAGCTCGCCCGCGCTCACTAAGACGAGTGAGAAGCGTGACGCTCGTGAAGACGAGCTCGGCCGTGGCGCTCAAAGTGTCAACGGCGTATGGGTAGTCTTGCTGAAGGGGAATCTCATACTTTCTTGAGTTTTCATAATCAGGGCACCCACGGCAATTCACCAGATGTTGGTAGTGACTATGACAACGACGTCGTTGAAGTGGCCGCTCCACATGGAACTGTAAGTTTCATGCTTCTCAAGCAACGCCGGTGGCGGTCGGAGTATCGGTTGAAAGCCATGCTGAGTTGATGAAGAAAGTGGAGGATCTCCGTAAGACTTTAAGTCAGACTAAGAGCGCCCTGGGGGAAGCCCGATCTCGTCTGGCGACGTTAAAAGGGGATCGCACCCGTCTTCAGATGATGGAGTCACGTCATACTTGTTTCGAGGATCAACTTGACCACTTAATTCGGATGCAAAATTATGTGGCAAAGCCAATGTACGCGGCGCAAGCGCCTTTGAGTCAACATGGGACGGGTCCCAGTGTGACTTAAGCAGGCCGACATAAAAGACGGGATGTGTAAGGAATTTGTGCGGCAAGCTGAGCGTATACGCAAGGCCCTTCTTGGCCACGACCATAAGATGTACAATGAAGCGAGGACGCAATTTCACTTAAAAACAGCTGACACTACATTTGTAGGTAACTTTCCAGTGTTTAGCAAGACTTGATCTCCGACCTCATAACTTTTTATACAATTTCTGCGTTTGACATTTGCTTGTTCCATTTGTTTATCTTGGCTATCAGCCATTGCGTCTCGCACATGTCGTAAGACATCTAACCTTGTTGCAAGGAACTCATCAACTCGTTCCTGAACAGTGGCAGGGCTGACATCAGCAAGCCGATCGGCCATCCCTCCCCCACTAATCCCTGAACCACGGAGTGGTAGCATTAATGGGACGAGCGGATGGGTGAGGCCGTTCACATAGAATGAGGTGTAGCCAGTCGAGGCATGGACCAAATTGTTCATGGCAAATTCGACTACCGGAAGCATAGAGCTCCAACGCCCAGGCGTACCAGCACAAACGCTGCGCAAAATGTCTCCAATGACACGATAAACTCGTTCAGTTTGACCATCGGTCTGCGGATGATCCTCGGTGGATACGTCCAATCTGGTGCCAAGCACTTTTTTTTGGACTACAAAATTCTCTTCGTAAAGCGAGGATCGCGATCTGAAACCTTTGCCAAAGGCAAACCGCGTTGACAAAAGACGTGATCGATAAACAGCTGTGCTGTACGTTCACCATCAATCGAAGCCGGCATAGCCGCTAAATGAGTCATCGTACTTTTTAAACGGTCAAAAAAGACCACAATACCAGTGTTGCCGTCCAAATCTGTTGGCAAACCAAACACAAAGTCCATTCTGATAATTTACCAAGAACCCGTGGGTATAGGCAAACTCGCCAAAGGCTCAGCCGCATGAGCGGAGATTTGACCCGTTGACACGTTTCACACGTACGCACATATGTGCTCAACCATTTAAATAATTTGGGCCACCAATAGTGCTGGCTGACCGAGCCATATGCCTTCTCTCGACCGAGACGACCGCTCAAAGCTGTATCATGCGCCTCAAAGAGGATACGATACTTCAATTTCTCATCATGAGGTACGACGATGCGCGGAGATTCCGCCGCATCCAGGCTATAGCACAAGAGGCCATGATCGAAATAATATTGATGTAGCCCTGCACGCGAGCGTGCCGACAATTCAATGTTCGAGTCTTTAACTCATCACAACCGAATGCGCGTAACAACGAGACACACTGATCATCCTTGGCATAAGCCACACAAAAAAACTAGGGATAGAAGACGACAGAGTCGTAACCTAAGCAAGCTCATCATCCGGCCTGCGTAATAAAGCATCGGCCAAAGCATTTTGCTTCCCTGGTTTATACTTTACCTCGAATTTATACTCAGCGAAGAATGAAATCCAACGGGCCCTACGTTGCGAGAGATGAGGCGACTGGGTCGCAGTGCGCAACGACGCATGATCAGTGTAAATTAAAAACGGCTTGGAGCCAAGTAGATGTACTCTGAACTTGACAAGAGCATACTTCAGTGCAAGTAACTCTTTGTCATGAACTGGATAGTTCTTTTCAGCAGCTGTTAGCTGGCGAGACTCATACGCAATGACGCGCTCATGTCCATCGACATCAGTTTGCAACAATGCACTTATAATGGCAAAATCAGATGCGTCACAGACGACAGTGAAAGGTCTCTCCGGGTCAGGCAAGCCAAAACTGTAGTATGAAGGAGATTTCCTTTATAGCTTTAAAAGCTCGAGCCTGGATTGTATCCTAACAGCGCACTGCACCCTTCTTAAGAAGGTTGGTTGATGGCCTTGCCATCTCAGCATATTTTGCACTATACTTGTGTGAGTATTATTAAGGCCGAGCCATTTACGCAAGTCTTTGGGTTAGACGGAACCGGCCAATTCACAATGGATATTTTTAGCGGGATCTGCCCGTAGGCCGCGCTTTCCAGTATAGCACCCTAGTAAGGAGATTTCTTTAGCACCAAAAATGCGTTTCGATGCATTTGCATACAACTTGTTGGTGTGCATGCACCCGAGCACTGCTTGCAAATGATCAATGTGATCTTCCACATCTGATCTTTTTTGTTCTGCACGGCTAAGGAAAAAAATATATCAATAAAGCTTTGTGCATATCCTATATCAGGGCGGAACAACTGCGTCACGAGACGATTAGAGGTTGCGAGGGCATTAGAAAGTCCTTGGGGCATAACAAGCCACTCCCAAGCTGGCCACTCGGCGTGCTAACCGCTGTGAGCGGCATATCACTCGCTCGCATGAGCAGTTGGTAATAACTATTGACTAAGTCAAGTGCGCTAAACATGGTTTAACCCACCATAGCGTTCTGAAGAACATCCTTTCATGAAATAGGTGTCTGCGAAGGTATAGTGGCCGCATTGAGCTTATTGTAAGCGTGAACAATACGCCACTTACCATTCGGCTTTCCGACACAAAATGTCGGTGTCGAGTGTGGAGATTTGCTCTTCCGCACCATGCCTGCCGCGTGCTTAGCACGAAAGAACTCGTCAATGACGTCACACTGTTCCTTAGGCAATGGCCATTGACATGTAACACAATATTTGGTCCCAGTGACTAGGTCAATTTCATGACGTACACCTCTGTCGGGAGGTAGAGCGGATCGTGGATCTTGACACACCACGTCCTGAAATTCCTTAACGAAATGATAGAAGGGATCCAAAGGATCCTTCAAAATGGCAGATCCACTGCAAGCACTGATTGTAACTTTAATTTCTTCAAGGACTGTCTCGTCTACAAGGGATGACGATTTTCACCTTGATCAGGTCTAAGGACCACCATATTGAAAAAAACACCAGCCTTTAAGGCTTGATGAACTTCGTCTACAGACATTTCGTCTAGCTCTAGCAGAGAATTGATCGATGGGAGGGCCTCGAGACCGACTTCTCCATCAGTCGCACAAGACACCCCATTGACCAACGTGTACAACTGTTCACTAGTGTCCTTCTGGGTCATGGCAGAAGCCTTTCTTTTCACAGCCGCCATCTGGCGTCGCTGTTGTCTCTGTACAGAAACTGTAAGCTTCCACGTGTTAGGAACATCCGGTTCCACGAGGTGAAGATTATCTGTAACCTCGACCTGCTCTCTCTGAGAGCCAATGTCATTACCGACATTTAGTGTGGTGCCCTCACGGCCGACCTCATTCTGCGGATAATACGTGCCACTACACTCGCATCTGTTGCGCATAGCTCTTGATGCCTTGGCGAATCGCCAACAATGTCATTACCGAATATGATACCGATTATAGTGGGGTGCCATCACGGCCGACCTCACACTGTGGATGTTTACGTGTCACTCCACGCGCATCACAGGGATCCAACCCAGGTTGACTCGGCCTTAAGCCATCAATGCTTCCAGCATTCAGTAATTCACTGTCATTACTAGTGCTACTTAACGGAATACGTGCCGTTTCACTATTGTCAATAACATCAGAGTTAACTAGCTCAGACACTTCAATGTCAAGCACACTGACAGACTCTGTCAGTGGCGCGCGCCAATAGCGCTTGTGTTGCCTAGCAAAGGTGGGTTCATGACTCTTCAAAGCTTCACTAGGAACGTTGCGCGTTGCGCTTAAGGTCTTCGGCCTCCAATTAACCCATGGCTCATGGCGTTCAGGCCAAGCCATACCAAGGATGAGATCACATCTCGAGTCCGAATCCTGGACAAAACAACGTTCGATACTATCAAAATCTAAAAATTCACACCTAAGTTCAACGGGACTTTAAGTTCGGTGAGACGAGTACCTGTCGCTAAGCGAACAGTGATAACATCACCCTCATGCGCTTTCAGCGCCTCAGCATATTGCTGACATACATCTAGAAACTGGCGTCGAGCATAGTTGCCTGACGCTCCAGAGTCAATAAATATTGACCACGGCTCTTTCAAGCTCTCAATTGTAGCCGAGTTTACTAATAAGCCTGGCTTATACTCACGTCTCGTACAAACTTCCACAAGACCGTCTGTGGCTAAGCCCTGTCTATCTTTACGACCTTAAGATTCGGCAGAACCTAGTTCCGCCCCTTTAGGGCGCCCCGCGCCTACTGGGAGTTGCCGTTTTTCCGCTCCGTACCCACTTTGGGGTTAGGAGGCGGATTGCGGCTCGGCCGACTTTGACGCGGCTTCTGCAGTGGGCACTGAGGGCGCAAGTGCTTGGTGCTCCCGCACTGTAACGTCTACTGACGTTAAGTTGCTGTTCAACAGCCAGAAGATCTCTCTCTTCTTCTTCAGCATGGCTTAGGTCCATGGGCTCAGCCTCATCAAATGATCTTCGGGCATGCCCATGAGTGCCATAACGAGCGGCTCTAAAGTTGGACCCAGGATTTAACGCTATGTCTACAGCCTCCTCAAACGTTGAGAGGTGGACGCGGAAGACTTCCGTCCTCGCGATCCCCGTGCGAAGGCCCTCCATAAAATTTGGGAACACGGACTTGCTCTGATAGAGGGTCCAGCTGCATAGCAGCTATGAGAGTTCGCAACTCTTGGACAAAGCTCGACAATTCTCTCTATCCCTGCCTGGCGGCTAGGAATCGAGAGCGAACCCGATACGCTTGATTCTGTGGCGCGAACACCTGAGACATCTCTCGTTTAAGCGAATCCCATGCGGGAAACGCAGCGCTAACCGCTGTATCACAGGTAAGGGCCCATTCTTTGGCTCTACCATCGAGCTTAGAAATGGCTAGGCCAACTTTCTGTCGCTCCGATTGAAGCGAGGCGGCTTCTATAGCCGTATAGATTTCTCGGATCCAGAGAAGGAGACTTTCTCCCTCTTTCCCCTCGAAAGTATTAACGCTTAGAGTGAGCGGACGAGTCTTTGACTCACTGTCAGGCACTGGAAAAGTACCGTGTAGGTACGGCTGAGGCTAAAGGTCGTGGACCTGCCTTATCAGCGTGGCCTCAAACTGCATAATTGCATCAAGACGTGCATTAAGCACTTCTGGGCCTCGGGCCACGATATTCGACCTGCTCGACCCCTATGAACGATCTAAGCTTATCAAGCGCGATACGTTGAGCCTCAGAGAGGTAGTCAAGGCCTTCCATCTCTCACAGAGAATTACTCGAAACGACTCAGGTGTAGATTGACTACAAGTGCTACCAAGTGTAGCGGAGCTACACAGCTCTTTGAGTCAGAGGAAGACTTATTTGACAGGCCAACGGCTTACGGCTGACAGCCTATTAGTTCTACGGAACTAATATATCAATTCAAAGAGTCACCCAGTTCTACGGAACTCGGGTGGACTCTACGAGCTAACAGCTCAGCTACTGTAGTTCTAAAGAACTACACGCACAATGCGCAAAAGGGGAATACCGGAGTATAAAGACTCTCTAACCCACGACATTTCTATGGAACTGTCAAACGCAAGGTGCGAAAGGGGGGGAAGTCTAGGGATTTCTGCTCAAAATGAGAACTGAACTTTATTTAAATCTCATATCAAGAAAATTCCTACTTTATGTACCCTATATTATCCTAAATACAAATATTAGTATTCGAATTAAATGGATGGTTGCCACATCACTCAGTCATCAAATGATGACGGTACAAAGTACGTACACGGTAAGTACCGTAAACCCGGGAATATCGATCAAACGATATTATCTTGCTGATATAAAATCTAAGGTCACACGCATTCACCATATCATTGATGGGAGGTCTTTGACCAATTCAGCCAAAGGCTAGTGTGACCTTGTTTCATTGACCGTTGATGCAGACGCTCCATTTCCACTACGAAGTCATTCGCTCGAGAGTGATCGAGGCGGTGGCTAGGTTCAGTGTAATGATCATGGCGATGATGTAGTGATGTGTCATGATCAAGAAGATCGTGCTGGTCATGGTGTCGGTACTTCTTTTGACACCACGCAAGAACCCAGAAATCGCAACATGTTGCGCGTTAATTCTAAGAAAAAGCCCCCCTAGCTAGTGTTGGATCGCTTGTACAATACAGTAATCGATCATTATCGAATACGACTATTCGACATATTGGCACTCCACGGCCTTGTCTCTAGTGCGAGTGACTTTCGCACTGAACATGATTGCTACACCGATGTTTATAGAATCGATAGTAAAGCGGGAACCAAAAAGGTTATGGCACCTCGCTGATCCAGGCATAAAACGCGTTCATTCACAAAGCTAGGGAGATTAGACGCGATGCCTGGATTATCAAGATGGCCTTGTCGCGGAATAGGTTTGAGATGAGAACTTCTACCGGTGCACATTACAAACTGCTTCGTTTTTGAGAAAGACCAGATTTCCGTGTTCCTCCTTTAATGAGCCGTACCAACTTTGTGTCAACAGCTTCACACGAGCTCCAGAAAAGCTTGCTCTATAATTGACTTCTGGCAGAGGGTTCGTCAACCGTTGGAGATGTACGAGAATTTAAATAATCTGCAATCCTTTTACAAACACTCTGGATGTAGCGGAGCTACACAGCTCCTAAAGTCAGAGGAAGACTTAACGCTCAACGAGCAACTTAGTTCTTAATAATTAGACTCAATGAGTCAACGAGCGTAAAGCGTATGGTCCGTGTTCCAGGGGACCAAACGATTTAGTGAATCAATAGTACTTAGTGCTCAATAGTAACAAGCTACCTCAGGGAGGTGTTGCTAACTTTTAGTGATTAGTGATCAACGACCAAAGACGCCTCGCTAGGCACGTGTCCTTAAGATCTAAAGGGGAACTCAATTTTATTTACATTTAAAATATCGAATACATTACTCCTGATCTATAAATTTATGTCCTAAGTAAGTACAACTAAGATCTCTCCTATCTGGTGGCTGGCACTAGTCAGCCCCTATAACCCGATGCGATGTTCTATATCTCTTTCAGTGGGATATCATCCTTGTGTCTAAGACACAAGGTACAAAGTACCCAACTACGTGTAACCCCTTTACAAACACGCTGGACGTCCGCTCTCAGATGACCCTTCTTTAATATCGGATTTGCCTTGTAATACTACTCGGCAAGGCCTAACACACTCACTATTAGTTGCGATCGAGGCTCCCAACTATCACCGAGGGCGGATAGCCGCACAACCGGACGAGATGACCCGTCTGAAGTTCTTTCGCATTGCGTAAGATAAACAGACATTTCACGAATACGCGGTGACCACCGCGGGTATCAACCAATGGATGAGGTGGAGAAGGAAATACATCATCCAACAGATTTTTGAATCCAACCTGATGCTGTGAGTCAGCTTGACCGCGTTACTTGTGAGTTGCGCAAGGACCTCGAACACCAGACGGTCAGGCGTCAGAATTTGCTTGGCAATGCGGACCTCCTGAGCATAGATCAGGAGAAGGACATGATACATTATGCTTTTGTCCTCTTGCGAATGAGCTGAAACAGCGCTCTCTTCGAGATGAGATGATGGAAGATCATGAGGACATCTCTCGGCTTCACGGATAGATATACGAGCTTCAGACGCGGACTGAGATTCATCATCGCGAGCAAAAGTATATGTCGAATTTTCTTGAGCGTAAGGGCTTTCTTTACCAGATGAAGCCCCGTACTGGTACAAAGGCATTAGAAAACCAACGTATAGCGTGCACATCGTACGTGGAAGTGTAATAGTATATGTGCTGCGTTGCGTAGGTGGTGCAGCACACGAAATGGACCAATGAACGTCGATAGTGCTTTTTACTACTCAAATGTGTCACTATGTGTCGATAAGGTTTACCGTAGATGGAAGGACTAGGTTGTTTAAGCCCCATGAAATCTCGAACTCCACATAATCATGCGGAGGTAGTGCATCAGGTAGTGTTGCCATGAAAACATCTTGAAACGAATTAAGCTGTCAATGTAACTTGGCTTCTCGCGGCCCGTCCAAAATTAAAACTAAAGAAACTTTGATACAGATACATATTCTGGTTAGTTTGATTGCTTTAGATCATTTCCAAATTAGCAGAGGAAATAATAACCGGTTTGAGCACTGCATCCTGTGGTTTATCACCATTTTCGAATGACACGTGCGTACGTTAATTGATGACTGGGTCGCGAGCAGTAAACTAAGGTTTACCCAACATCACGTCATGGGTTTATTTATTGGCTACTCGATAACGGAAACGTTAAAAAACGTAATATCCGATACAGGCAATGCTTGCAACACACTTTTTCACCTTTTCTTGATGGTGTTGGTGCCATTAAACCGAGTGACTTGTATGGTCACTTCCGAAATGGCACGTTGAAGCAACCCTGGCTTACCACGTTGCATGTGGTATCCGAATCGAGCATAATATTGACAGCCCGATGGTCAAGAGAACCTTGTTTGACTGTGAAGTCTTCACAAGTGGATAGTAAGTGACATAAGCTTCAATCATTGTAGTAATCACTTCGTGTGACGTTGTGGCTACCGCTTCTTTTTTAAGATCGTCCTTTTTAGTGATTAATTTCCTTTAAAAGAATTCATCTTCAATAAAGTGAACGTTGGCATACTTATGATGATATCTGATTTTATTACTCGCTGACGTGTGCTTGCGCTTGTAACACGTGTTCGAGCTTCTTGCAGTATGCACACTTAGGTCTGTTAACACGAAGCCGTTGATGTTAAACTTGAGATGACCTTTGACATGGCGAAGCATTGTCTATTTTTATTGGCTTGGCCGCACCCGACAAAAAGCTAGTCACATAATGTGCGCTAGGATGCGGAGTTGTGGTGACGTAATGGCTGTAACCATCCAAGACTGTACCACTCAGATCCACCGATTTTTACTCGGTGTGGACACACAACATAACCGGTTCAATAACCGCGTGTAAACCCCGTTTTAATGCGGGCATTTTGCAAGAACAACCGGGCTTTCTCAGAGACCCCTCAAATGTCTTGTTTTGTTCTTTGGATTGATTACTTACACAAGGATGAGCTCCAGAAATTGCTTTCCTATGTTTATCCTTAATTATAGGCAGAAAAGTGAGAAAAAATCAAGGTGTGAAATAGAAGACACACAAAAGCATTACCCATTTTATCGGAAGTAGTACTTTCAGAAAGTGGAAGCAGCAATTCTCTCGATTAATAAGCGAGTTTTAGGGCTTGCTCATCGATCTTATTGTCGTATTACAACCGCCAGCACATGAAAAAACTACGTTTTGCCGCGACACTCCATCTCTTTCTCTTTTCAGGAATGATGTGCGCCAATCCGTGCGTTTCAAACAGTAATACAAATAGAAATACGGCGCAAAGACCGAACGTCCTGCACAAATGAATATTCGACCATGCTGCATCCATCCATCACCTGACCCGGCCGCCCGCCACTTCCCCCCCACAAAAAAACACTTTTTGTCTCAACACGCCGACCAAGCGCTTCTGCACCCGACTCGATCCACCTCCCTCTCCTAATAGAAAAAAGGGAGCGAGCTGATCAGCTATGACCGCCGCCACCGCCTCCGCCGCGGCAGACCTGCCGCCAAACCACACGCTGTATCTCCACAACTTGAACGACAAGATCAAGTCCGACCGCATGAAAGCTTCACTGTACGCGACGCTGTCCCAGCACGGCAAGATCCTCGAGATCGTCATGGGCCGCGCGCGACGGCTACGGGGCCAGGCGTGGGTCACGTTCGACGACATTGCGAGCGCCTCGAACGCGCTGCGGGCTACGAACGGGTCCGTGCTGTTTGACAAGCCCGCGGTGATCGCGTTCGCCAAGGAGAAGGCCGACGTCATCGCTCGGCGCGAGGGCACGTTCGTCCCGCGCGAGAAGAGGCCGCGAGAGCCCAAACCTGTGCAACAGCCTGCACCAAAGAAACAGACTGGTGAAGACGGTTGCGCGAAGGTGACGGCAGCAGGAGCCACTGCTACTGGTGGAAAGTCGGTACTGCCGCCCCCGCCACCGTCTCAGAATGTGCCGAATAAGATTTTGTTCCTTCAGGACCTGCCCGAGACGTGCAATAAGGAGATGCTGAGTGTGCTGTTTAAACAGTATCAGGGGTTCATGGTACGGACAGCATTTTTTTCTGCAGCTGAGGCTGGTGCTGGAAGCACAACGAGACTGACGGGACCAAATGCGGGTGCGGGTGCATGCTCTCTCTCTGTCTCTCTTTTTTTTCTTCTGTGTCGTATGAAAGGAAGTGCGGATGGTACCGGGCAAAAAGGGACTGGCGTTCGTCGAGTTTGGCGACGAGGCGCAGGCGGCGATTGCGCTGCAGGGACTCTTCGGCTTCAAGCTCACGCCAACGGACACACTCAGGGTCTCGTTTGCCAAGCGATAGATTGGTTACGCTCGTCACTGAACGACCAGCGGCCACAAGCTCTGACAATAATAAACAACGAGGACGCTATCACTCATTGCTCGTATCTAACCGTCTTCGAAGTAGACACGGACGGGGTAGAGGGTTCGCCACGAACGGGTAAAACCACCACAAAAAGCACACCCGCCCCCACTTTAACGACCTGACCTGCTTTTTACACTCGAGAATTGCCGAATTCGGGCCCCGACCACTCGAGCCACCGAATCCTCCCCACTTCAATGACATGCCCGTCCACTCTCTCTCTCTCTCATATCCACCCGCTCGTCCACCTCCACCACCCGCTCGTCCACTCGCCCTCCTTCATCCATGGCAGCGGCACCTCCCGCGACGGCTCTCGAGGCGCGCGCGATGGCGCTGGCCACCAACTCGCCCGAGCAGCTGGCGAATCATCTCCGTGTCACGCAGGGCAAAGTGCGCACGCGGTTCCCGCCCGAACCCAACGGGTATCTGCACGTGGGCCACGCCAAGTCCATGCACATGAACTTCTTCGAGGCCTTTGAGAAGCTCCGCGTGCCGCTAGAGCAGCGTGAGACATTTTTCCGCTACGACGACACGAATCCAGAGGCCGAGAGCAGCGAGTACATTGCTGCGATTGCACAGAACGTGCGCTGGTTAGGGTACAGCCCCACGCGAGTCACGTACAGCAGCCAGTACTTCCAAGAGCTCTACGATTTGGCTGTGCAGCTGATAGAGAAGGGAAAAGCTTACGTCTGCCACCAGAGCAAAGCGGAGATCGAGGCCTCACGGCTCGTGCTGCAGCAGTTCCATGCCACGCCCGGGGTCAAGTACGAACAGGACGTGGCTGACGCTGGCAGATCGCCCTTTCGGTCCCGGTCTATTGCGGAGAATGTCGCGGAGTTTGACAAGATGCGGCGGGGAGAGTACGGAGAAGGCGAGGCGTGTTTGCGCATGAAGATGGACTTGGGAAGCCCGAATCCGAACATGTGGGACCAGGTGGCCTACCGCATCAAGTTTGTGCCACATCCACATGTGGGCGACAAGTGGTGCATCTACCCGACGTACGACTATACGCACTGCATTGTCGACGCTCTGGAACACATTGACTACTCGATCTGCACGCTCGAGTTTGAAACGCGGCGCGAGTCGTACTACTGGCTGCTGCATGAGCTGAATCTGTTCAAGCCCAAGGTGTACGAGTTTGCTCGTCTCTCGATGACGTACACGGTGCTCAGCAAGCGGAAATTGCTCAAGCTCGTCATGTCTAACGCAGTGCGGGGATGGGACGATCCGCGCATGAGCACACTCAATGGACTTCGTCGCCGCGGCTTCACGCCTGAGATCATCAAGCAGTTCTGCAAAGAGATTGGGGTGACTCGTGTACAGTCGACGATCCAGATTGAGCGACTCTATTCGGTGGCCCGCAGCATCCTAGGGGACTCGTCGAAGAGGGTGATGGCAGTACTTGACCCGATCGAGCTCGTCATTGAAAACTTTAGTGCAGCGCCCGATGAGAGCGCGCTTTTGGTGCGCGTACCAGACTATCCACAGGATGTGGATCGCAACGGCGGTCAAGCGTACCACCACGTGCAATTAACACCGAAGCTTTTCCTCGACCGCAGCGACGTCCACACGGAAGACTCGAGCGACTTTTTTGGCGTGGCGCCGAACAAGCAGGTGCGATTGAAGTACGCGTTCCCATTTACATGCACAAAGCTGGAGACAGATGCTCGTGGACGCGTGACGAAGGCGTTAGGTCAAATGGACTGGACAAGTGCGGCAAAGTCCAAGGGCGTGCTCTCGTGGGTGCCATCGAATAGCCCAGAGGTGGAAGTGCGTGTGTACTCGCACCTGTTCACGGTCCCGGAGCTGCCGAGCGATGTGGAGGACTGGGAGTCGCTTGTGGACTCGAAGAACTCGGAGCGCGTGTATGCTTCTGCGCGCATAGACCCCGAGTCACATGCTACGAATCTGGACCGCATCGTGCAGTTTGAGCGCATTGGCTACTTTGTGGCGGACAAGGACTCGACGAAAGAGAAGCTCGTGTTCAACCAGATTGTGGCGCTTCGTGACAGCGGCGGTGAGACACCCGGGAGTGCACCTGCATCAAGTGCTTCTACTGCCAGTCGGAAGGATGCGCAAATGCAGCAGCTGGCGCTCAAGATGGAGAAGATGAAGGTAGCACCGGCTGATATGTTCACGAAGCAGCCCGAGCTGTTCGCGCGCTTCGACGCCGAGGGCTTGCCCACGCACACCGCTGCGGGCGAAGAGTTGACCAAGAGCCAGCGCAAGAAGCTCAAGAAGGAGCAGGAGAAGCAAAAGAAGCTGTACGAGGCTTACTTGGCCAAGGAGAAGACAGCGTCGTCAACGAGTACGACGTAAGTAGGTTGGTGTGGTAGGTGAAGTAGCTGACGGCACTCGATGCAACCTGGCGACTTGAGCAATGCCCTGTGTAAAATTCAACGCCGTCGTACTCAAAGTGAAGGCGATTTTGATCGGATCGCGGGGTTTCGTGGCGTCTTGTTGGTCCGACCGAGCACATCATCTCGTACAGTATACAGTACAGCAGTAGCACCTCACGCACGGAGCCATTGGCACAACATGGTGGCTGCCGAATCTCCACATGACATGGGGCCAGGGTGGGCGACAGGACGCACGTCAATGAACAAGACCGACGTGAGCAAGTCAAAGTCCAAAGCGGCAGCGACTCGCACGGAACACTCGCTGTTGCTCGTCAAGGCGGACGAGGAGATCCACCCTTTGCCGTGGTTCCTCAGCCCCGAGTGGACAAAGCGCTCGGTCCCGCCTGCTAACAGCTCTGGTCCTAGTAGTGCCCTGCAAGATGCGGGAACGAGGCACTGTGCGTGTCTATTCGCGCTCCTGTTCTGCTCTTCCTCGTCGACGTATCCAGACGCGAACTCCGAGTCCGATCTGGAGCTGGGTTACCTCGGGAGAAGAGCCGTAAACTCGAGGGAAATCGTGGACGAAGCGGACGGCTCCAAGAAGTGCATCCGGTTCCTAGTGGGGCTCATTGTCACCATGGCCCTCGCACTCGTGCTGCTGATCATTTTGCAGCCAGGAGCGGGACGCGCGAGTTAGGCTGGTGAAAGTGGACGAGCGCGAGGTGATAAGAACGAGAAGTAAGATGGGGCTGGCGAGGTCGCTGGAAGTTCACCATGACACAAGATGTATAGTACCCGCTCCTTCGATTGAGCTGCGACGTGTGCTTTTGCATGCAGTAGTAGCTAGAGCAAGACTTAATAATAAAGCTAACGTAAGTGCGTCGATCTCCTGCAATCGCTGACGAACATGCACCGTGTCTGATTCCTGGGCTCTCCAAGTGCTATGAAGTATAGTACTCGACTGTTCCCACTATGCTGTGGCTTGCACGCACACACCATGTCGGCATTGTTTTAACCACAAGGATGCGTGGATTTATTGATACGACGTCAGTTTTGTGTTTGTGTATCAGGTGATAAAAGCTAAAGTTTATAACAAATCGGACAATAGAAATCTCTTGGGCTATTAGAAAGCCAGCTAGACCCCTATTTGAGAGAGTTCACAAATCTTTATTTGTGACATCCAATTGTGAAGGTTTCAGCGATCAAAACCCGAACGGCAATAAATATAGGGAGCTGATATAATTAGACTCCTTTTCCTTAAATATACACCATTGCCAAACCTGATCTTCACACCCTTCCTGCAAAACCTGATGAGCAATCTCTTTTGCCAGACCGGTTATTTCTTGCACCCCCTTTCCTCGTAAGAATTCTATACATAAAACAATTGTGATAGTTCTATAAGATAGGGGAGCAGGCTCTGGAGCTTGCCCTTTGATTTATGTAATTTGGTCGAAAAACTAAATCAAGCCGCAAAACACTATACGTCAGCAGTCACTGAAGAATAGGTATGATGTTGTTAATGTTGGGAAGGCGAGGACAGGCGATGGAAGTAAACGGACTTTTCAGAAAGGTTTATGGGCTTAGTGAAACGGCTGTCAGATCTAGGCGTGGATGGATGGGCAACGGTTGCACGTTGTAACAAAATCCAGGTAGAGGCAGAGAAGAAGTCAGTGTAGAAATCATGGCTAGGAGCAAGTAGAAGAAAAGCAGTGATAGTAAGAACAAACATAACAGAATCAAATTTGGCCTCATCTGCACATTGTCAACTTCCTACAGGTTATGAGCCCAATGGCTAAAGATGACGATACCAAGGCCTCACCTTCACGTACTGCCTCACCAGGACCCGCAGCTATTCCGCCGCGCACTGCGGCTGTCGTTCGAGACGCGCCAGCTCACGAAAGGAGCTCGACGACCGACGAATGAATTCTCGCAGCCCTCGCCGCCCTCTCGGACCGCATGGAGAAGATGGAGACTTCCCAGATACAGATTGGACGAGGATGAGCGTATGCGCGGTGTCATAGAAAGCGGCACGTTTGCATCGGCTCTCGGCGCGAATATGGGCGCAAGGACAGTCTACTACGACGCTCTAAGAAACTCACCAGAGCGCAAACCAGCGGCTCGTGAAGCGCGGTCGCCAGGACCGTCACCCGAACTCGGAGGATCGTTGTTATCATCTCTAGTGACGCGGTCACCGATGCCGTACATGCAACAAACGCGGGGGCGCACCCCTGCTGACGACGCATTTTCCCAAGCGGTAAGTCCAGCAGCGCCACTTTAGCAGCAAGGGGCGGTCAACTATGCGACACCGAAGGCAGCCCAGCGCAAGCTAACGATCCGTAAGTTTGACGGAATAGAGTTGCATCGTGGCTTGGGATCCGGTTTCTATGATTGGGGGAAGACGTTCCTACGACAAGTCAACTTGGCCGAGGCATCGTGCGGTTTTCGGTGGAGCGAAGACGTTAAGGTCGACCTACTCGGCCATTACCTAGACGGTACAGCCGAGAGGTACTACCACAAGCAAGTTGACTTCTGGCGGAAGCAGAACCCAGCACCGGACAACGTGATGGGACGCTTATTGAAGACGTTTAAGACGACGATCACCGCCGGCCAGTCCATGAAACTTGTTTCGCAAAAGAAGGACGCAAAAAGGTCATGGATGAGCATTTCCTGTACCTAGTCGCGGTAAGTGATGCACGAGGAGGAGCAGACTCACTGGTACTGAAAAATATTGTCCATCACGCTTCGCCTGAGATCATGAACGTGATGCGAGCCAAGTACGACCCCACACGGACCGACTACTAAAGACATGCCGAAGAATTGACGCACTTTGCGACATCAATTAAAGCTTGGAAGTAGGCCGGTGGGCGTGAGATTGTTGCTACACATATCGAGGCGTCGTCCCAGCGCAAAGAGTCACGCAAATGTTTTGGGTGTGGCAAGACGGGACACATTCAAGAGAATTGTCGGGGCAAGAAAAAGGTAACTGTTGGCAACAACACAAAGGATAGCAATGCCAACATTGTTCTTGCAATTAGCGACAACAAACCTCGTAGGCGTGGATTTCGCGGCGGGAGAAAGAACAAGGCGCCGACCGAGTCCGTGGATACTGTCGGAAATGCCGACGAAAGCAAATCAAGCGACTGGAGCTTGGACAGCGATTCAAGTAGGCACTTGGTGAATGATTTCTCGCAGATGCAGGACGCCAATGAGTGCTACCACGAGATCTAGATGGCAGGCGGCGAGTATGTCGAGATCACGATGGTTGTAGTGTCCGTCTGTGTGTGGTTGCAAACGGTGAAGACCGTATGATCACTCTTACCGATGTCTACCTGGCGCCGCAGCTTGCGCGCAACATTGTCTCGTACGGGAAACTTGAGCAGAAAGACGCTTGTCTACAGAAGATCATGTCGCTCCCTAGTGTGACGCAGTGATGGGGACATCGCATTTGACGTCAGTATGTAGACGAAATTGCTTTGCATCAAAACATCAGTGACGCAAAAGAACCCAAGAAATGTTCTGATGGCGCTGATATTCGACGCAGGGTCAAGCATGTCAACAGACGATATGCAGAGTGGATCAATTATGCATTTCCATGCACGTATGGGACACCTGTCCCTTGAGACGATTGAGCGAATGGAAAAGACACCTGGTTTGGGTATCACGATTACAAACCACACTCGGACCGTTTGTAATTCGTGCAAAGAAGGAAAGCAGACGAAGAACAAACAGTCCCGGGCGGACACCGGTAAAAATGCGCCTATTGATCGGGTCGACAGAGTGATTTGCTCGGACTTGAAAGGTCCGCTAACTCCAAGAGATCGACTCGGTAATTGCTACCTAGCTAATTTCGTCGACCACAAGTCGAACTACTGTCGCGTTTTCCTAGCACCGACGAAGGACAAGGCTGAAAAAAGATTCGAGGACTTCGTGCTGTTTTTCGAGCGCATGTTCGAGTGCAAGATACACATCTTGCGAACCGACGGAGGAGGCGGGTACAAGAATGTCGATCTGTTCTGCCAGCTCACAGGAATTGCGCGGCAAATAAGCGAAGCAAGAAACCAGGCGTCCAACGGCAAAGCTGAGCGCATGCATCGGAGATACTTAACACGGCACGCAGCATGATCTTCGCAAGTCAGCTCCCTCTCAAGTTTGAAAAATCCGTAGTGGACTACTCGGCTTACATACTAAATAGAAGCCCGACGTGATATAATACGGACGACCATCGCCAATCGAGATTTTAACGAAGAAAGCGCCCGATTTTTTTAGGGATCGTTGTGTTTGTGAGCAAATGCGCTGTGTAAAGGGACCCACAGAAGAACTCGCTGGCACAGCGATCGCAGGTTGGAGTCATCATTGGAATCAGCTGCTAAACCAACGGATTTTGTGTGTATTTACAATAAGAAAACAAGGTCGTAACGACTTAGCACGTCGTGAACATCGAGACGCTAAATGCAAAGCAAAACATTCAGCTGCAGCGCTCATTAAAGTATGATAAGAATCAAGTGATTACGAGTGAGGTCGAAGGTGCAGAAAAAGTACTCAAGAGCGCTCACAAGGAGAAGAAGATTTGGGAGCGTGAGACGCATGGCACGAGATCAAAGTCGACACGTGAAGCTACAGCCACAACCATGAGGAGTCGGCTCAGATTTTAGACGTTGTGAGCTATGTCTTCGAGGGGGAACCGAAGAATTACGGCGAAGCTATGCGCAGCTCAATGCGTGAGGCCTGGAAGAAGGATATGCACGAAGAGCCGACGGCTCTTGAAGAAAACGGTGTGTGGAAGGTAATGAAGCGCCCTGGCAATTGCAACGTTTTACACACGAAATAGAACTATAAAACGGACGCGCAAGGAAACATAGCAAGGCTCAAGGAGAGATTGGTTGCGTGCGGTAACGAGCAAGCCCTAGGCGTGGACTACAGTATCACTTTCGCTGCCGTCATGGAATTGTCGACAGTAAAGTGATACTGGCACTCGCGGCAACGTGGGAGGTACCGGCAAAGCACGGGGATGTTTCTAATGCTTTTGTCAAGGCGGACAATAAAGCGCACCTTGACATTTATTTGCAAGTCCCTCAAGGTATGGACGTCGAGTACAAGACGCTCAAGAGTCTCGGCGCGAGAAGAAACAATGATGTGGTGCTTCAGCTGCATAAAAGTCTGTATGGCTTAAAGCAAGCGGGCGCCTATGGAGTCAGCTTCTACACGCGCGACTCACGGAGGCTGATTTTGAGCAATGTGTTGTGGACATGTGTCTGTACCGCAAGCAAGATGGTGAAGATGTTGTCGTGGTCGGCTTGTATGTCGATGATTTGCTTAAGGCCGGCACTAGCGTTGTGGCAATCTATGATTTCTTCACCAGTCTTGGTTCGCTATCGTTAAAGAATATAGGACGTGTTTCGAAGTTTCTAATTATGCAAGTGGTACTTGAAGATGATAACTCATATCTACTGGATCAGGAGGAGGCTATCAAGGACCAACTGCGCGAACACGGACTTCATATAGCGAATCCGACTCTTGCTTTAATTGGGACAGACTGTTATGAGGTGCAGGATAAATACAGCGCGCTACTCGGGGCAACAAGCACTGCTACAAGACCATCAATAAAGACATTCCAGTCGCTTGTTGGTAGTCTACTATGGGAGGCGCGTTGTACAAGGCCAGATGTGGTGTTTGCTGTGCATAGAGCTATGCGACAAACCCACCAGCCACGCGTTCACGACTGGAAATTGGCATAGAGAATCGATCGCTACTTGAAAGGCACTTGAGGACTAAAGCTGAAAATGAAACCAAGAATCGAAGACCGAGACACTCCGACGCTAGAGTCATACAGCGACGCAGATTTCGCTAGTGACAAGAAGGACCGCAAGTCGTTAACTGGAAGCGTCATTTGCTTAACGGCATGCCAGTGAACTGGAGCGCATACAAACAAGGCGGCGTGTCTTGTCAACTATGGAGGCAGAATCTGTGGCTGCTTCCGAGGCATCACGCGAATTACTCGGCGTGAGGGAGACGTTGGGTGAAATCGGCATGGCGCCGGCCTAACCCATGTTGATGCACGTCAACAACCAGGCGACCATCAAGCAACTTGAAGGCTAGGCTTCATCAATCAAGGCCAAGCACATCGACGCGCGGATCAAAATCGTTTGTGACTATGCTAGGCGCGGCATCGTTCTCGCGCAATACGTGCGCTCGTAGGAAATGCTTGCGGACTTGCTCACGAATGCATTGGACCCACCTAAGCTCGCGATATCAAGCACACTTATGTGCTTGTCGCACTAGTCAAAGGATCATGCAATTGACAAAGATGCAAGGCGATGAGGTGCAAGTGGCAGTGGTGATGTGTTGATGGTGTGCTCACGATAGCTGCATCCAAGGAGTAGTGTTGAAGAGGTGAGGACAGGCGATGGAAGTAATCGGACTTTTCAGAAAGATTTATGGGCTTAATGAAACGGCTGTCAGATCCAGGCGTGGATGGATGGGCAACGGATGCACGTTGTAACAAAATCCAGGTAGAGGCAGAGAAGAATTCAGTGCAGGAAGCATGGCTAGGAGCAAGTAAAAGAAAAGCAGTGATAGTAAGAACAAACATGACAGAATCAAATTTGGCCTCACCTGCACATTGTCAATTTCCTACAGTCAATGTATGTATTCACTCAGTACAGTATGCTAGGGCAACGCGATCAGCCTTTTCTTTTGAACAGCCAGCATTTGCTTATACGATCAAAATTACCTCTGATAGCATTCAAGCGAATCTCGTGTATGCACCACAGTAGTGACCTAGCCAAAGATTGCCTTTTTACATGCGCGTACGCGTATGGGGGACGACAGGCAAGATTGCAATTAGAACGTGTAAAGTAAACCTAGCGTTATTTACACACACAGATAGATAAGTACAATTATAAAAGTTCGGTATTCACTTCACGCACAGTCTCTACTAGCTTCACCCTTCGGGCTCGCAATAATTGACTGTTCGTTTAATTTTGGAAGGTGTGGTCGTGAAAAGGTAAAAATGTCATAATTAATGTCATCGTCGTGTTGTCTACAAGTATATGTACTGCTATCATGTACATTTCTGCTAAAACATTTACACTTTCAAAGCACAACTGTAGAATTATTCCTGAACGACAAATGTTATGGATACCAACCTCAAACCTCCTGTGATGTAGATAATTTCCTCTTTTGCACCATCCTTCGAAAGTCTGGGCTAAAAGTTTGACAAAGTGATCATAATTCACGATGCGGATGCACGAAGTAATTGCAAAGTAGTGCTGCACTCACTACGACGAATTACATCATTGTGCTCAGCTTAGGCAATTTACGGTGGGGGGCGAAACAAACGCTCGGATGAGATCGCTTTTGACTGTATCTCAAAAGATTTGGGAAAGGTGCAGGTGTGCGTATTGCCACACAAGCTCATTGTGTACTTTTCGATAGTTGCGCGTTCTGGTTTGGATGAAACATGTTCTATTGAAAGTACATACAGCTTATACGATGCAACTACGTGAAGCTATGCTGCCGGTCTCTTATCCGTTGCAGACTACCCTTTTAATCAAGTAATGACCTGTCAACAAAGTAGTACGTAAGCGCTGAACCGGAACCAATTGCATAGCTTTATTATATAGATGCTCTATATTATGTACGGCTAAAATTATAGACACTTTTATTAGTTTTAACATTGTTTTATCTAGGTAAACGTTATTTAAACATTACCTTTCGTTAAACGGACACCACTCACCAACAGTTTATATGACTTCATGTTCGTTCTGAAAACCGTCCCATTTTAATCGGAGAACAACTACTCTAGGTATTTTTTAGCTCAACTATTTTTTGTTACTTAATCTATATCCATTTTTGGTACCATCTAACAATTAATTCCTTAGCTTGTTTACTATTGCTTGCTATAGTAAAAGCTCTTACTTCACTTCCCGAGATTAAGCTAAATTCTTTGGAGGAAGCGAAGGCAGCGATTAAAGACCATGCACGACAACGAAGCTGTGTCGTTGTATTAGAGCGCATAAAAAGGGTAGCCAATAAATAACATGGTGCCGTATAATGTCATTCTTAGCCTGCCCTCCGTCGAACCTCCCACCGCTACGAACATGACACCGCCAACGTGCTTCATCCAGCCATACCAATGGGTGTTCATTCAAGAAATGTATCAAATGTCAAGTAGATGGCCATTGGCTACCACAAGTCACATGTGGAGATCAAAACTACGTGACCTTTGTTCATCAGTCTGCTCATCTTCAAGGTCGCACGTAATAGAAGGATAGTAATGTATTATAAGTCATTCTAGTATAGCAGCTGGCCGCATTATTTCTTCACTGCACCAAAAATACAACGAATTAGCCACACCACAAGACATTTACAACATACGCAATGTAGATCGCAGCAAAAGACTCACAGGGTGATCTGATTCAACAGCTCTAAATGAATGGTCTTTCTTCCGATGAACTTTTTTCAAAGTTTAAAGGTCTGCAGCAGATTACACACCTGCCAATTAATTTGCCATCAGCGAGAAAAATCGTACATGACTGCAGTACTGGAAGAGCCTGGATCATCGATGTAGCCTCCATAACCAACAGAAACGTGTGCTCCCTCTACATCTAATTGTCAGTGGCACAGCGACAAACACCACTTTCGCCCTCGCATACTGCTTTATAAAGAGCGAAACTTCGACAGACTTCTTATGGGCGAGGCTTAGTATCCAAAATATTTCCAAGAATACGGACACAATCGTGCAGCACTCACATTTGATACAGATCTAGAGCCAGCTCTTGTAATTTCTCTTTATGAACATTCCCACATGCATCATGCTTTATTTACCGTTGGCATACAAACAAGAATATTCTTTCCGAGCAAAAAACTCATTTTAAACTCCGGATGCCTGGCAAGAATTTACTGGAGCTTGACACCTTCTTATTACTGCCAGAAACAGCGCGCATTTTGAGGCCCATTTATCCGATGCGAATGCCAGGTTCCCAACAGCTTCGATTAAAGACAACTTAGCTGGGGTACAAGAAGAAATTGTTTCCACTTTCCTTCACAATAAGCTTCATTACGGACATATCACTACGAATCGGATTGAATATGCCCATGATGCTCTAAAGAAATAGATTTGC